GGTCGTCTCCCCTATGCAGTCAGTGCTAAAACAATCTATAGTTCCTAATTGCAAAATGAGCTTCCCCGGATTCTTCATTTTGCAATAAGGAACTATAGCCTTTTTTTGTAATTATTGGCAACAGTGTGATGTTTTTGACAAATCTGTCAACACAGGGTGTTAAAGGAACTCCTTAGCTATAAAATGAACCATCAAACCGCAACATTGATCGTTTTGATGAAAAACGCCAATGGTTTTTGCAAAAGTTGCTCTCCTGAAAACCTACCGTTCTGCCTATAGTTCCGAATTGCAAAATGCTATCCAGTTGGCCACCTATAGCTCCAGTGAGTCAATGAGATTGGGTTTAAAGTCCATTGATTGCGGTTGCATTGTACCATTCAACGCAGACAAAGTCACACAAAGTTGCAAAGTCTTACAAGAGAGTGTAAAATAAGGAGCTGACTTGACTAGAGTCTTCAACTGCTTTGTTAAAAAAATTTTATCAGAGGAATTTTTAACATTGTAGTAATAAAGTGATAAATGTTTGATTTGTAACTTTACAGTTGATGATAGCAACACCAGTCGTAAAGCTCACAGTGGCCATAGCCGCCGAGATAAATCTTGCGGAAGCTGTGTCAATTGTGATCGAGATGAGGACTGTGGTCTATGTCCTGGATGTGGTGAGATGAGAAAATTTGGTGGCCTTGGGCGCATGAAAACTAAGTGTCATGAGCGTGTTTGCTTGAAGCTGAAGGTACTCTTATTCTCTCACAGTATTTTTTTTTAAATTCCAGGTGCATTATCTCTACATTCGGTAAATCAAAACTACTTTTGAAAAAAATCTCGTCCACAGGAATATGATAAACAGTCAATGCCAGAAACTGTAATTGAATTGGGTTTTATAAGAGCCACTATTGTCCATTTTTCCAAGCCCAAAAATTGCGCTGTGTCACAGACCTATAACTGTCAGTGCACAAAGATTTCCTCAATTTAATTACAAATTGCTAAACTGGCCAACAGTTGGGGCTTTCAGTGACTTATCTAGCAGTGGTTAGGTGAAAAAGTCAATTTAAAAACTTATCAGCATAATTTCTAAACTGAAATGCAAGTCAGGTGGGTACAAAGCTCTGTCCGAATCAAATTGTCATGCCTCTTCACTTGGATTTTGAAAACTACAGCAGGGGTATATGCTCCCTTAGCTTGTTATTTATCTTGGATTTTGGAAGAGGCAAGTCAATGCAAGAGTTTTCCAACTGTTCTGTGCGGTAAAACCATGATTTTTTTCATGCTTGATTGTCGAGTGATGGCCTATTCGATCCCAGGATCCAAACTTAATTCTCAGTCTACCCCACGATAGGTTTTCTAATCGTTCAGTCTTAAGTTTTGATTTATTTCTGTTTCTCTTGAGTCTTTATAACTACATAAAATTTCTATATTTTTTCTAGAAACGCACTGTGTCCAAAGATAAACAGAATCGCCCATCCTACAAAAAACGGAGAAAAGAATCAAGTTCTGAGGGAGAATATGGAAGCTCAAATGAACCTATGAAGCAGTGTTATGGTCCTGCATGTGTTTTTCCAGCTCGGATAGGCTCAAAGTATTGTTCAGATGCATGTGGTCTCAAATTAGCCAGCGCTAGGATTTATCAGGTAAATTTGCTCAGAAAACCAAAAAAGCACACATGAACTCGGACTTTTCATCAAAAAAATATTATCAAAGTTTCTCACTTGTTATTTTTGGTAACTGGCGCCTCTCTGCCCCAGTAGTTTAACTGGAAGCTCTTCAAATCATGGGCCTGCCAAACTGGAGTCAGGAATGTCATGATTGTTTTCGCTGAATCTATGAAATATGTACCTGATTATTTTGAGAAGTTATCAGACATAACTTGTCAATGAATCACACGATCTGTCACCAATCACACTTTCGCTCATCAAAAGACAGGGCATATGACATCAGCTACATAGGTGGTGCATATCATGGTATCTTCCATCTGAGTCTCGTCAGTCATTGCACTGTTGGCTCGACATAAAATACAGATGAAACTATCATACTCTGCCACAAAGGATTATATCATTCACTTTGTCTCCCAATATACAACATCTCCGTCGATATTGAATGTGAACTTTGGTGTTAGGACAGACTTGATTAATTTTTGCTGATCCATAGGTTTAAACCATCAAATCATGATTTTTTCACCAATGAAACTGACGTATTGTCCTTGAAAAACTGAAAGCAAGGCAGGTAAAATTCTGTTAGCTCATCATGCTTCATTCACAAAAGTGTTTGAGAAGGAAGAGGAAGAATATTTTTGTTGTGAATCAATTTTCAATGCTTTGCTCGTTTCTAATTCTAAATAAATCCCCAAATTTTCATTGGTAGAGTAGTCAGTAAAGTTTGTAAACTTCGAAAATCAGGAACTTCATGTCAGTAAACTTTGACCGAATCTAAAAATGGAGTTGTATGATTAAAATGGCCATTATCATTGTCTAAATTCATTATAGCCCAGCAAGGCAGATAGTAGAGAGATTGAATACACTCAAAAAGAAAAATTCTTTGCAGGTACTGCCCCCACGAATCCAAGAGTGGAGTCTATCCCCGTGTATAGCAGAAGAAAATAATAAACGGCAATTGGACGCCATTAGAAAACAACAACTAGAAGTCCGTGATGTGCTCCAAGAATTAGACAAGCGTCATAAAGTAAGATAATTTTTTTGTGCTGCAACAATCAGAGCCTACTAATTTATTGGCTGTGTAAATTTCATATCCAAATATTTGTTCTTAAATCTTGTCTCAAGAGTATATCATCAGATTTTGTTGTTCACTTTCGCAATAATAAGGACAAAAGTACAGCAGATTATAGCTTCTCTGTTTTTTGAAGTATCAATTAGTGCATTTACCTTTTTTGCACTTTTAAATTTCTTTTTGAGTACTTTTAATTTAAAATTTGAATATCAATTTCTGAGATTTGCAAACATTTTCTATAAATTTGATTCAATTTTTATAATTGTTCAATTAAAACCCTTAAATCGTCCTGAAGATAAATGATGAACCACCTAAATTGCAAGGTATTTATCAGAAAAAAAGTGTTCAAATTCATTTTAATGCAGTCAAATTGTTCGCACCTCTTCCAGAGGGTATTATTGAGTGTACAATTTGGCGTAATCATGCTAGAAAGAACTATGTTGCACTCATACCCTGTACACGTAGCTCCTTTTAGCATGAATACGTCCAATTATTGGATAACCCTAAAATGCATTATCTTCCTTATAATAATTCCTTTTGCAAGTTGGTGACAAAGTCTTTTCCTAAAATTAAATCCATTATAAATGATCAATTCTAAAAGAGGCATCCGCCGTGATCATTATCGATCGCTCTGCATAATGTTAAATAAACAAAGACGAATAATACCAACTAAACTATCAAGCTATAGCCAATCTTATTCCACCCCTCTCTTGAATTTTTCTACTACGAGTGCATTTTTAAAAAATTCTTACAGGAGTTGGATGCTGTTATTGAACGAGCTAAACAGTCAGAGGTTGACGAGTCAGCACAAGACGATGCAGAGGAAGATGAAATGAGCATGTACTGCATAACGTGTGGACACGAAATTCACTCAAGGACAGCAATCAAACATATGGAAAAATGTTTTAACAAGGTATGATCTGAGCACCAGAGCTGTTCAAACGATTTCTTGGCAATGAACCATTGATAAACTCCACTTTGCCAGGATTGTTGAAATCCAATAATGCTACAGTTATAATGTAGTGTTAAAGACCTATTAGAAAAATAAGGATACTCTAGGCATGCTTCCAGCTCAGTTTTTCCTTTTTTTTTTTTTTTTTTTTTTTTTTTTTTTTTTTTGGGGGGGGGGCGATTTACAGCGCAAGGCTATTATTTCTATAATTGACTTGTCTTGTGGAAGTGCAGTTCATATCTTTCACTCTCCATGGCTAGATGGTGAATTGGGAGACTACTCTGAGAAAAAAATTTAAATTAAACTGCGATAACAGCCTATGAGGGCCAATTTTTTTCTGTGTAAAATATCCTTGAGGCAATAATAGCTTAAAGAACTACCTAAAATGTCCACTTTAAGACTTGGAGATTAAAGATGTGAAGTGGGTGAAGTTTGCCTCCATGGTTACCTTTTTTGACATTTTTTTTTCCAATCCTGTAAAATGTTTTATATATTAACATTTCATATCAATATCGTTAAGATGAAAAAGTTTAATTCCTGTACGTTGTTTGTATTTTTGTTTCAGTATGAGAGCCAGGCGTCTTTTGGCTCTGTTTACAAAACTCGCATAGAGGGGAACAACATGTTCTGTGATTTCTATAATGCTGCTAATCGAACTTATTGCAAACGTCTGAGAGTTCTCTGCCCTGAACATTGCAAAGATGCAAAAGTTTTAGACTCTGAAGTAAGACTTTTTTGAGACTGATTTCAAAAATGTAATAAATTTACAAAAAAAAACCCATAAGCGATTCCAAATGATTTAGAGGCAAGATGTGCCACGCCACTATGTTGCTCTGCTACACGATCTGTGTCTTTGAGGAGCAATAATTATTGTAATTTACTTATAATGCACCTGCTTTCAGCAGCATTAATACTAAGTAGTATGCCATCAAATTTGTGAGGATTTATTGAAAATTTATATTGGAAACCACCACGACAGACATCTTTCATTGACTTAATGTGTAAGAGAGAGGTAGCGCTAAAATACGCCAACAGACGGGACAGCGCATAGGATAATAAATAATCCAACCACCAAGTAAGAGGTAGCAATAATACTTCATTAACCTGCAGTTCAGATGTAACTGATATCAAAGTGAACAAAATCAATCTTTCAATTTTATAGCAACAAAATGTGCTTTACTTAATTTTACTTGAATTTTAACCCTTTCCACTCAGGTGTCGAGCAGGACTCGACAAAATTGATTCAGGGGTTCCGCTCAGGTGTCGACAAAATTTCCGTCTCCCTCAACGCTCGGAAACAATGTAAATAATGGCCATGGAAACCTGTGCTGCGCTCTCTGGTGACACTACGGAACTACTCGAGTAACCTGAGTTTAAAATTTCACCGCTAGGTGTCACTGGGGAGCCATCCCTCCTAAAAACCTTTATTTTCGGCCAAATTAAATCAGAGTTAGGGGCGGGAGACCTTAAAAAAAATTTGAGTGGAAAGGGTTAACTATTCTGAAGTTGCTTACTTTTAGTGAGCAATGCATGCAGTAGCTTAGATATTGATGATGCACAGTGACATTATGAAGCCGCGCAATGAGGAAGTGGGTCCACGGAAGCCCACTTTTTCAGAATACTAGTGGACAAAATGCAAAGTCGCATAGTGTGTTAGTAAGCAGGAAGTAGTGGTTTCACAATCATCTTTACTGATTGTTTCTGTCTTGGAAATACCAAATTGGTAAATTTACCCTCTAGAACACCTATCATTTTATGTAATTGCTACATTTTAAAGTGCTTTCCCTTCTTTCTTCAATAATTGAAAGTTTTCAATTTTATATCCTGTTACAGGTGTGCGGATGCCCCTTGGTTAAAAATGTTTTCAATTTTACTGGAGAGTTTTGTCGGGTTTCAAAAAAAGCTTGCCTCCGCCATTACTGTTGGGAAAAGTTGCGCAGAGCAGAAATTGATTTAGAAAGAGTCCGACAGGTAAAGATATTCCAATTTTTCTCTTGTCATTAATCTTTCTATGTTTCTCTTACATTTTTAATGCTCACATTGCGAGTAAGTACCAAATGTTCAGTTTATTATCCATTTACTCTAATCAGCTTCCACAGTCGAAAAATTCACCTTAAATACTGCTTAATTTTTACCAATCTTTAATTACCTCATAAGAAAAAAAAAACTCTGAAATCTCTGAATTTTTTTTTATTTTTATATTTACTTTTTGTAGAATATTTTCAAATACATCAAGCAGTGTTATGATTTATTTTTTCTGGAGATGAATGCACCTGGAAATGGGTCAGTTTAGTATGGGAAGTATCAACTTTTATTCAGTTTTTCGTAACATTTTGAAGCTTAAGAAAATAGCTGATGAATATCATTGCTGATTTTATTCATTATTTGAATGTTCTCGCACCGTCTGAGTTTTGTAGTCAGTGTTGGGAAACTTTGTTTCTTTATGGAAATATTTTCCATCAAACATGATCGATGGCTTTTTAGCTCCAGGGTTTTTCTATAGCAAGAAGTTTTTTTCCTCGCCAAAAATATAAAGTTATTTTCATTGCATACTCAAAATTTAATCATTATTATTTTGTTCCCTGGTATCTTTTGATCAGTTTTAATTCTCTTGGTGACTTTAGAATATAAAATCTTTTCCTAACTTTTTTAAGAATTGGTAAAAATTGTACTAGAACGGATGCTTTTGAGAAGTGTTGTTTTCTTTCCCTTTCAAGTACTTTCTATTTAGGATAATATCTTTGAAAAGGGTATAAGAAAGTTTAGATTGCAAAAAGAGAAAAAATCAACACTGTTTTACAGACTTTTACTTAATTGTATTACCTAATGATTGAGATCTAGAATTTTACATAATGCTTTTATTCTCTAGTGGTTAAAATTGGACGAACTAGTTGAAAAAGAACGGCAAATTCGACAGCAAATGGCGAACAGGGCTGGAGTCCTTGCATTGGTTCTTCATTCCACGTACAACCATGACATTATGGATCAGTTGACAGCCCAACAGCAGGAGCAGCAGCCAATGAAAGAGCCCGAAGAAGTGATGCAATGATACTTACTTTATTACTTCGAATGTATCAAAAGTTTGTGTTTCCCTGTGCATTACTGTGATCTTATCATATTAAAAAGAGCTTTCATAAATCAACAAGGATTTTGTATTCATTAGGGGCCTCAGCTTTATTGCATTAATGAATAAATATAGTATAAAAATAAGTCGTGTTGAATTCCAATAGAAAAATCCAAGTTCAGAGCCAAGAAGGGGGTCCTTCCGAAAAATGGCTGGACTGGACTTATTCATCGTGGAGTCAGATTTGAGCGTAGAGGAAGAACTAAAGTAGTTTCCGACACAAAAAAAGTTTAAACAAAGATAGAGAGCAACATTTGTTACCTGACGTGTACATCAGCAGGCCAATTATCGAAATTCCGTGTTTGCTAGTCGACAAAGCAAGACAAAGGTGAAATAAGGCTGTATGATTGGTTAGTTTTGTCAGTCTTCCTCCTCTTCGTGCTAATGCCATGTGAAATTCCCGACAAGCTATCGGCAACTCTGAAGGCGCCTTTAGTTTGTTGTCGGTTCTCATACCCATATCGACGGTGAAACTACCAAACCACGTATCTCGGTTTGCAACGTCGCAGACTTCCTGTCATACTTAATTTTTTAAATGAAAAACTACTTAACGTCCAGTCTTGAAAATTTCTATGATTTTTCCTCTTCGTGCAGAGAAAATTCTGTGAAAATTTCAAGGAATGATATTGATTTGGTCTACTTCAAAAAAATAAAATGCGAGCGTAGATTTTTAAACACCGCAGACGAGATACGTGGTTTGGTAGTTTCACCGTCGATATCCTTTGATAAGCATTGGTTGGCCATTTTTCGCCATGTTGAAAGAAATTGGCTACTTTGTAAAACTTTTGCCAGAATTGTTCTTTTTGTACCAAAAAACCTCAACCCACTATTCCCAGTGAGTTTCCAATAAATCTATTAGCAAACGGACTATGTCAAATTTCCCGCTGTTTTTCGTATGTTACTTTGAAATAAAATGGAGATGGCAACCTGCAACTTGCGCAAAAAATTATCTTTTTTATCATCCTTTAAATGAGGTATCAGTGGAGGGGGTTTCCATTCAAAGGAAGAATTTGGGGGAGGGGCATCCCTACGGAGAGGTGTCCCCAAAAAATTTTGGATTAGAAGCATTTCCCAAGTTTCGTTTCAACAACTCAATTAGGAAAAGTTTAAGAGGGAGGGGGGGCGGACTTTTGGAACACCCTGTATTAGGGAAAAAATTAAGAGAGGCAAAGGGCAAAACCAATAGAGTGATGTTGGATAGGAGTTATTTTTTTTTTTTTTTTTTTTTTTTTTTTTCAAGTTTTAAATAACTCTCAGGTCTAATGCCGTGCACGCCTAATTCCACACCTAGCCCCAGATGGCCACTGCATGAGATCATCATCCTACCTTTTCTATAGCCACCTTGTCGGCCGAGAATCGAACCTGGGACCTCCTGAGTGCTAGAGCTGAACCACTACACCACAGGATGCGTACCATGTTGCCAGTTGTTCTTTATTTCGGAACGAGTATCTATCTAACAGGGGTACCACAATGATACATCTGCATGCCCAATCAGACTAGAAGGTCACGAGTCCGTAAAAAATGACACATATGTCAGCATGATATCTTTTCACGGTGAAAATAGGATCTTTAAAAGAATCTGCGTGATATTCACTCAAAATACAGGGTCATTAATCGTTGAAAAAATAAGGAGAAAAAATGTGCAGCAGCAACTGGTGCGTTTGGTTCCTGCGCGAGGCATCTTTCTGCGTAGTCTGCGCAGTTGGATATGGTTGGATACTGGATTGCACCGTCCGTGCGATGCGGAGCAAGTAAAAGTTAAAGTTGAATTGAATTCGTGATTAAAGTTTGGTGGTCGTCGCAGTTTCTTCGCCCCAAATGAACTTTGTCTAATTAGCGTTGCGAATTTTCAACCGGCATCATGTCATCCTCAGTTGTTGAGTGAAGGTGAGAGGTGTGGCAGGTGACAGTCCGTGGATTTCATCCATCGCGGGTGCGGGCAGGCTACCTTGGTCACCGGATCGTGTTGTGTTTTGTTCCTTTTGGTGCTTAAAAATATGTTTTCATTGAATCATGATCTCATCAGCTCAAACTTTAAAGAGTAAAGCATGGCTTCTTTGTGGCCGTGTCATAGAGTCTAATTATACTCCGAAGTTCTTTTATCAAGATGGCACCATGGCCTGAGCAGTCTAATGAACCAAAAGCCCCAGATAAACCAAGTGAAAGTGAAAAGTGCAGAGAAGTTGGAAGCAACCCCAGCAAACTAAATCACTCTGATTCCAATGATGGGGATACATGTGGTGTTACACTCAAAAGTTCTGATGCTCTGGTAAGTGTTTGTTGCTCCTCTTACCACTAGCAACTGCTTCTATTCGTTTGGTTTGTTTGGAGATATGTGGAGCTAATTTTTTCTCAAAAGACCTGTTAATTAGTTTTAGCCCCCACTATTGTCTAATTTAAACCATCCAACTGTCCCTAAAGTACATTTTCTTATCAGAGTTTCCTCTGCTGCAATGAGTACTATGTATGACCGTAGTCCGACGAGCTTAGGTTCATCTTTCTCTGATAGTCGTGTCTGCCTTAAGGAACCACTACGTCTGATATTAGACCCTATCTGCATCAGTAATTTTGATAATACAATCTCGTTTCATCCTAGTTCAGTGCTATGTCTGCATGAAAACTGCTTGGCTCTGCTGCGAGTAATCAATTTTAGGTTAGGAATGGCTGACCTGTTGTTGGTAGGTAAGGTAGGAATAGGTTACATTTTCTCGAGTTGCTGCACCAATTTAGCACACAACTCATCCTTCAGAGTAATGTGCTGCTCACTAGCATCTATTCTGGGTTACCCTGCAGCTTTAAATGCAATTTAGCAGTGAAACTACCTTTTCATGGTTAGATCTGTAGCGTTGCATGTTAAGACTTTGATTACGTTTACTGTTTCAAATTACTGATCATTTTGAAGATTGACAAAGATTTCTGTTTCTCTGAAGATGAAATGAACTTTTTCAGAATTTTATTCCTTGCTCCTTGCCTACGCCCTCTTTTTTTTTTTTTTTTTTTTTTTTTTTTTTTTTTTTTTTTTTTTTTACTGCAAAAGAATACTTACAAGGGAGATGGATTGAAGGGCACTGGGAAAAATTTCTATCCCATTTATTAATTTAAATTGAGTAGTTCCAACTCCGGAAAAGCCGTTTGGTCTCTGCAGATCACTGAAAAGTAAGTTATGATGGGTATATACTTTCATGATTATGTGACAAATGTGAAGGAAGCCGAAAAACGTTTTAAACTTGGGAACTTTAAATTGAGTAGGTACTTCACCATAATAACAAAAAAAAACAATAAAAAAAATCGCTGGTTCTCAGGTTTTTCCAGGTGTTAATATCCTTTATATTCCTATATAATACCCCTTGGTTTCCAAAAATTTCAATCACATAACTTCCTCAGAGTTTCCATTCAGAACCCATTGTGCAACCCTGCTATCGTAATAATGCAGGAAAAAAGCACCCATTGAAAGAGGAAAGACATGGACAATCTTCTAGAGTCATCTAGTTTTAATTGGCATCTGTTTTCCTCTTCCAGATTTTCACACTTGTGAGCACTGGAAAGCCTCCAAATCCCTCTCCATAGAATACTTATGCTAAGTTTGACAATCGAAAATGAATATAGAGACAGGAATAAAAATAAAACTTCATATTCAACCTCAACTTCATTTCTTGTGTTCAAAGATAGAAACTCTTAATACCGTCTAATAAAATAAAGCACCTTGATGTTGCATTTTTAATGATTCGACTTCAAATTATCAGGTGCACCATCACTATGGTTATATTCAAACTAAATTCTTCCTGAAACTAATCGCAAGGTTATTTGACCAAAAATTTGGACTCTGTGACCAAAATTTAATTTGACTAGACACCTGACATAGAAATGTGTTCAAGGTGCAGTACGGAATAGAGAATTTGCAGGTGTCTGAAATTTGATGGATTTCGTGTTTAAGTGGAAACTACTGAGTGAACTGAACAAGAGGATACCTTTGGTTCATGAATTGAACAATTATTGGAGAAGATATGACAAAATGATCTAATCTGCTAAAACACATGTGTTTAAATGAGAAATGCTGCCAGATGACATCACTGAGCGGTGCATTTTCTCACTTTTAAATCTATTTTTATACTACTTACTTCCTAAATCAGAAAAAAATTATAAAAAATACTGTGAAATCAGCACTTTAAGCACTTTCAGATGAAGCATTAAAAAATTTGTATGCAAATTCCCCATTTGAGCCGCGTGGCGGCCGTTTTTTCGATCGCTAATTTGGATTTTGGGCGTCCTGAAAGAGTCTAAGAAGTATTCCAAGGAAAAATTTGGATCCTCTGATCAATCTGTATTTTATATAGTCACCTTACTCGACACTGGGTATGAAGTCATGAAATTTGACCTCTGTGGCGGCCATATTGCCGGCCGCCATCTTGGATTTTGGGAGCTCCGTAAGAGTTTGAGAAGTACATATTTCGAGCAAAAATTTCGATTCTCTGACCATATTGCAGTGTGGAGCACACTGGACAATTTGCCCGAATCAACAAAAATGGACCCTCTTAACGTCCGTTTAGGCCGCCATTTCAAATTTTAATCACCCGTAATGGTCGATGCGGATTTTCGGGAAAAAGTTCCGTACTCCGTAGTTTGCGACCCCAAATTTGAATGTTACTAAAAATACACAAGAATAGACTTCCATTATGACTATGTGCGCGGATGCAAGCAATTTCATCCGCGTGACCGTCATTTTTACCGCCATCCTAGATAAGGGACGCCGGTTTGATTTTTTATCTTGAAACCACCGAAAATCGAATTCCACAGAACATACGATAATACTTACACATTTTTTCTCCTCAGTTGCACATGAAAATGCAGCCAACCAACAGAAAGACCGAACTTCTACACTTTTTTCTGCATAATTTCGGTTTCTATGAGAAGTATGGGTCAGTGATCAGCAAAAATGTCAAAGGCAGGCTAACTTCGGAGTCTTTAGACTGACAATGAACATTGTGCTTGAACTTTTACACTTTCGGAAGTTTTTTACTCAAAGCTCTACAGATGATAAGGTGGCTGTTTCTATAGATTTATCAAATTTTGTGGCACCGAAGTAAAATTTTGACAAATTTTCGGAAAATTAAACCTAAGTCAACGAGTAAAGTTTTAAGGGCCCAATGTGATACTTTTCGGATGTAAAATTTGATTTCAATACTTTTTTGTTCCCAAGCACGTTTTCGTAGGACGCATATTTTTTTTTTTTTTTTTTTTTTTTTTTTTTTTTTTATTTTAAGTCATTGATATCCATTAAATGACTTCCCCCAGGCTCCGTTCGCCAGTTTAAAGCGAACGTTCCCTAACCCCTCTTATTCATGCCAGTCACCGATTTTAACTGAGTTTCTGGAGTAGGTAAGCCCTTTAGGGGGGGGAGGGGGGGATTTTATGAGGCAATTTTGCTCTCACACTGCAGAGCAACATTAAATAGGTTGCGTACCTACCTACCCTATCTTCTGACATTTTAATTTCTCAATAAATTTTGGCACAACCTTCCTATCCAAGAAACAGGAGAGGGGGGGGGGGGGNAGGAGGGGGGGGGGGGGGTAAACTATCTTTTCTCTTAAATTGTCATGTATGTTAGTTTTTTCGTCCTACTCTTTCTTGTCTCTCGAGATACAGAGCCCTTCACTTAACAAAAGGTATGCCTCTCCCTATTTCACAGTAAGAAATTTGTTTTCGAGTTTTGTTTGTTTTTTTTTTTTTTTTTTTTTTTTTTTTTTTTTTTTTTTTTTTTTTTTTGAAAAAGAGAACCAGCGCTACGATCGCGTTTCAAAGGTTGGGAGGTTGTCAAAAAATAGTGAAAAAGTTCGAAAAATCTTTACGTAATATTTGAACAGCCCCTAAGTTGCAAACCTACAGTTTTAAAGAGTAAAATCACCTGTCCCAATTTCGTTCTGCATAAATTGGTAACGGAGTAACTGCCCCTGGAAACTATGCGATTTTCACGAACGTTATCAACACCCCACTACAAGCCAATAGAAGTTTTCGCTTGTTGAAAATGATACCGTGAGCGCCAATGACATGCGCCAATGTTAAGAGCTCTTAGGCAGCGGCAAAAGGTGATGAACGCCCCCTCTACTGTTTCCATCGAATGACTATTTGTGTTCGCTGTGCAATGACTTGTACTTTGTGCTAATAGGTGAAAGTTATCTCTGAATGTACATAGTGTTATTTGTTAGAAACTTCTATTTTCACGTTACCATAAATTTTGTAAATAGTCTCGTTATTTAGTTTGTGAAGTCCTTTTTTAACGTAGCAAGCGCGATTGAAGCGTCCGTGATAAGCTGTGCCCCAACTTAACCTACATTGTGCTTTTCCAGTTGTTCTGAGACATCATTTAGGCTGTCAAGTAACGTATACTTTTTGAAAATTTTAATGCGATTTCTTCTCTAAGTGTGTTAAAATTCAGATTGATCTCTCTTGTATATACTTGCTTTTCCAACAACGCAATTTTTAAGATTTCTCCCTGCCTTATCACAGCTCTGACACTGGAGACTCAGTTCTAGTTGTAGGATTTTGTAAGGTCATCCTTATCCTTATCCTTATATTTTCACATCGATCGGAAAATTTCGTGGGCAATTACTTTTCTGTTTCTTTCCTGTCAAAATTTCTCTCCTTTTTTTGTCCTTCATCGATTGACTATCATGTATTGTTAGCACTTCAATCTCCAAGGCGAAGTCATAATATCGTCATTGGTTCCAGATTTGGTTCGTTCAATCTCCTGGAAGCAGTTGTCATTGGATAAAGTTACCGCTGCCAAAAATCTCAATGTTGGGCTTTCTTTTCTCATGAGCTTTTTTCTTTTCTTTTGAAATGTGGTGTTAGTATGTATTAGGAGAACAGAAGAAAATTGGTAGACGTGCAGGAAGCATTGCTAGTAGCCAAGTGGAAGTTGGACTCTCCAGTTAAATGGAAAGTGAAATAAACTTAAAAGACAAGAGGTAATGAAACCAATAAATGTATTGAATTAAGACACCCTGAAATACATAATAAATGATAGAAGATCAATGTAGTACGATGTGATAACACAGTGTTTGAATAGACTCCCATCCTTTAGTGGAGTTGTTACTGACCAGGTCCTAGTGGCCAAGGTTTCTCTTGCGGAAGGAGGTCCCTAATCGATCACAGAATAAAGGATGACACTGTGGCAAGAGTTGATTGCGCTATTTCTGGGGACAAAAGCAAAAATCTCATTAGGTTTATGGAGCAGAAAGACTACAACTGAGAATAAAATGGATGAAACTGCATTTGAATCGTATATTTAAGAGGGGAACAAAATTAGCTCAGTCGAGAAAAGATTAAAATACTATGTTGCCCCAAACATGGCAGGGCAACTTTCAATGATTTGAGGATGTTGATTCGAAGGTACTTAAATTTAGGGTCATTCCATACGAAAGCTTTCACTGCGCCTCCTCTGGATTTGATCCAGCTTGATGCTCTCATTCTGTACGTCTATTCTAGAAGAAGACCATTAGTTTTAAATTTTTCTGGCTAATTTTACCAATCTACAGAGGTTTGAATATGCATACAATTGCTAGATTTCTCCAAAATGATCAGCTGTAATTATCTAATTACTCCAGGACCGACTGGAAAATAATGCACACTTGTAAATATTTCAAAAACGGTTACAGATTGTTCCATGAGTCAAAAAGGTAAAAGTGATTACCTCTAAAATGGTGTATTACTTTTTTAACTTAATCACGTGTAACTTGATACAGCATGGCCAATCCTACAATTAGACAAGTTTTTTCATTCCGTCAGTGAGGTATTCTGGTATTCCGCTCTTGAGCCAAGATCGAACAGCTACTTTGACTGCATCATCGAAAGTGTTTTTGCGGCCTTTTAGGTATCTTCTCAAATCGATATTGTAAGGAGCAAAATCCGAGTAGTGTGGAGGATACAATATTGTCTCTAATTTCAAGTACATCTCATAGGACTGGGGAAGTCTTCACAAAACTGAGGCATGAAACATCACACTCTCCGTACAGCTCAGACCTTACTCCTTGCGATTTGTATTTGCCCCCAAATTTCCAAGCCTTTTCTATGGCACAGACGCTATTTAATTGTTTAATTGAGTCTTTTGGTGTAAATACAGGCTTGATACCCAAAGGAAGCACTGTTAAGAGCATTTTAAAATTAGTTTTCCCTACTTGCTCACAGCTTTGGAATAATGCCTGAAAACAGGTGATTCTGGTTATCATTCTATTTGTGAGTTATTAATGGAAATACCTGAAAACCTCTTCCCCTCTCAATGATTTTTTCTTATAGTTGAGATCTATCAAGTATTTTTGATGTTGGCCAAATTAATGAGATGAAATCTTCCATTAAAGCATTCATAAAATGATGGACACTCTTGATCTTCTATCTTGTTTTGACCTCCGGGTACCTAATTGAGTGAGCCATAATATAAACTTTTTTGTGTGCCTAGTTTATACAGTAAAAACCTCTTGTAATAAGAGCGAACACAATTTGTTATAATTTTCATTTATATCTGTTGAACTTGCCACTAGGGGCTTTTAAGTCCCTGGTTTCTGCTCATTTCAAGGGTGTGGTTTACGTTACTAATTTCTGTTTGAATACTTTTTTTTGCATGCCATCTTTTCACTTTTGCTTTGTTTTCCACTCGTTACTTAATGGATCTTTTTCCGTGCATTTTGTAAATGAATAAGTAAGTAAAGAAATAGTTTCAAGTTTTGCCTAATAAACCCCATTGTAATATCCAATGTGGCCAACTTTAGTTCGGAAGAAAAGAGGAGAACTAGAACTGAGGAAAGAAAAGAAGAGACAAAAGTCACATCGGTCTGGATGCATCAATCATCAGTTGGCCATTGGTTAGCCTGTAAATATCTGTTGAATGCAATTTTTGGATGTAACAATTGTCTCTTCTTTTCTTTCCCCTGTTCTATATTTAAAAGCCTCCCCCGTTCCCCCATTTATTTCCCAATTTCAATGCAAGATTTTGCTGACCAAGCTCCATTGTATGATCAAAAGTGGGCAACTTTAGTTCAGAGAAAGGAAGAAAACTATATATAGGAAATTCCTCTTTGTAAGATTTCCCAAAAATAATTGTACCTCTATTTAAATCTCAATGAAGTAGCCCTAATCTACAGGAAGATAACATCAGATGGCCCTTGAATATTTTTCCCCAGTATGAACTTGGAAAATAGACATTTTGTGATGAAGAGAAAAGGTTGCAAGTCTAGTTTGATCTGAGATCACTAATGACCTTGCCTGCTATCAAAGTGCATTTGAGCACTGAAGTGTGTTCGTACTTCTGATAAGATATAGTGAATAATGAATTAGCCCTCATTTCTTCTTTGTGCCACAGCCATTTTTTTTGTTTTTATTTTACTGGCTCATCTTTGGTGCAGCCTCCTCTGTACATAACAATTTTTCCCCCCCTTTGTGACAACTCGAAATTTTAACAAGCATTTCTTCAGGTAGCAAAGCATGAGCTTTTTGACTATTGCCCAAATGTTGTTCTCCTAAATGGTGTTACATTGTAACACTATTGTCTTGTTAATATTTAAGCAACTTTAATTCAAGAAAAGCTAATTTTTGAAGATACCAGTTTGAGGATTTGCATAAGTTGGTTTCAATATGCTTCTGTTTAATAACATTGTGACCATCCTGTTTATTCTTGTAAAATAGTTGAGAATAATTTTTTAAACTAACATCCAGGCTGAGGAGCTTCCATTTACAAGTTTTATGGCAAGTATTTGAGAAAGAACCTAATCAGAACCTAACCGTTCAGTGTCAGAATGATGGCTTTAAGTTTTTTACCGTTTCATGAATAAATTAATAGAAGAATAGGCACATAGACAGGAGCTTCGATGCTAATGAACTTTAGAATTCACTTCATTATTTCCTCTATCCAGGCGAGTTTTCGTGCAGGTCTAACAGCTGTTCAATAATTCAGTATGATGATACAAAATTATGCCCATTATAATTCTCGTGAACATCTCTCATTCATTTCTTCTACCTCTGTTCATTATAAGCCAAGTATTTGATTTACTTCTTTGCTTCCCCTAATTTCTCATACTTAACTGATGTTAGATTTTCGATGGTTCAATCCAAAATTCAAAGCCATTCCTTGGATATGAAATGCCATTGCTTTTCCTAAAAAAGAAAATAAATACCTTGCAGACATGGAATTAAAGAGAATTTGACTTCAGAGGTTCAAACACAGGGAATGCAGAAAAATTCCTGAACTTATGGAAAATTTTGGCACCCTAATGTGATGACTCTTGGAAATCTTGAATTTAGTGAGCATGAATGGTTGTAATGCCGACATGTCTTTTCTTGCTGTGCAAACTCAGGAAAAATCCTGAGAAAATGCAGGACTTATCCAGGGTGAAAGAAATTCTGTTCTGAAACTTTGATAGCAGCCATTTTTTACCATAATTTTTCAGTAGACTTCCGATTTTATAATCATAAAAAATTCTTGACTCTCATAGAATTTTTTTAGTATCTTAAATTTTGTTTTTCTTATAGTCTTATGAAGTGTTGGTTTGATTTGTCTAAGCTACTTTTCTGTTTTTTACAGGCGGATGAGAAAAATCCATGTGTTCTCTCTTTGGATGAATGTCAGTTGAAAGCTTTACTAGATGAAGCTATTGCCTACAAGAATCCCATCGACCGAGAAGGGAAGAGTGATCTTTTCAAGGTAAATATTCCAAAGTGCAACATGTATTTCCAGTCAAACTCTTCTCAGACTCAACGTTCCTAGGTAGCAGTACAGAAAACCTGGAATAGGATCTCATCTTTCTAAGCAAATTTGACTTTATCTGGAAATGTAAGATGTCTAGCAATCTGGTGAACAAGGAATGTTGGCAAGATGTGTGCACGTCTTGAAAACTGGGAATACTGGGAATTGTCAGGGACTCTAACCAGGTCAGAAAAATCAAGGAAAAGCCCGGGACTCTGTAAAAAAAGACTGAAAATTAGAAAAATCTTGTTTGTCATGTGAAAACATCTTTACTATTTAAACGGGGTTCCTGTCTGGTTTAAGGAATGATTCACACCTGAAGATGAAAGGCTTCTATGTTTCTGTCATTTGTAGTGCAATTAATGTCACAAATTGTTCCAAGTTCAGTTCTATGCTTACCATTTGTCCATGTGATAAATGAGGGAATGGAGGATTCGCATGCAAATGTTAAATTGCTTCATCTGAAAGTGCTTAAAGAGATGATTTCACAGTATTTTTTTAAAAAAAATTTCTGCTATGGGAAATAGTATATAATTAGATTTAAAAGTGAGAAAATGCACCGCCTAGTGACGTCATCTGGCGGCATTTCCCATTTAAACACATGTATTCTAGAAGATTAGATCATTTTGTCATATCCTCTTCAATAGTTGTTCAATTCATGAACCAAAGGTATCCTCGTGTTCAGTTCACGCAGTAGTTTCCACTTCAACACATACTTCATCAAATTTCAGACACCTGCAAATTCTCTATTCGGATCATTTTAGTCAGGAAAAACCTGGAAAAGTCAGGAAATGTTTTTCCTATCAGTCTGTCAGCACCCTGATTAGGCATTATTAGATAATTATTTTGGTTTCAGGAAAGACCCATGATACACAATGAATTTTGATTAAAATTCGTTGATCATGGAATTTTTTGGTGATCTTAGGTGACAAAATTGCTCTCGGTGAATCTACAGCGGTAGCCACAGCTCCAACAGCTGCAGACACAGCATTCTTGTAGACAAAGCAGTCGCTGAATCACTTGGAAAATTCCCACAAACCCATAAATGAATTGAACAAATGAGTAAAAATATTTAATACATTACTAGTATCTACAAGTTTCCATCTAAAGTTTATCCAGTATTTGTCTATAAACAGATCTAATGATTAAAAAGAAGCTGTCAATCCATTTCTTCATCAATGTATAATATATTTAAGTAAGACATGATTATTATCTGTATAGGAGTTGCTAGAAGAAGCCGAAGCTGACGACAAGGAAGAGGCGCGGAGTGGTGGCGGTGCAGGAGGTGGAACTGGGATCGGAACGCCTTCTGTTCAGACTAATCATTACCACAACAACTATCGCCGAAGCAACAGGGCGCATAGACGTGATGGTGTCACAGTGGGTGAACGTCAATTGCGTGGTGGCTCCCTCCAAAATATCCATGCCTTCAGCTACGAACTAGAAGGTGGAAGAAAGCGCGGGAAAAACAGACGAAATGATGGTGCTGGCGTGAATGTGAGCGCGCGTCAACGAGAAGGGGGGTCACTTCCAAACAATGTGGATCATGTCCCCCAGCCGGATCATCTAGCAACGGCTGCTGCTCTCATGCTTGAAGATCTTCATCCTCTCCTTCCAATTTCACTCTCGCGAAGAAAAGAAATGCCAATTGCATCTGAAACACTTTCATCTGCAACAAACTATGTCGTTCTTGATGTCAATTCTTCCATGAATGAGGAGGTGTCGTCAGCTAAACAAAAGAACTCCAACGAAGATTCTGCTGGTGGCATTGAGTTACAGGAGCTAAACTCAGATCGAAACGACACTGTCTCTTACACCTCTCGAGCAACTTTAGAAATTAGCGAACACTCAGCTAATAATACCAACTTTGACCAGAAAAAATCAAATTCTCTACTGGTTAAGGACTCTGATGAAGTTGATTTACCCGTTGTTTTCTCCCTTAACAAGGTACGTATTATTTCTACACTCGGTTTTCTCTCATATTGGCTCTTCGTTAAAGTAATAGTTCAAATTATTATCTCAATTGACGAGAATGCTGAGAAATCTAGGAGACGAGGAACACAATTTTCTTTATTTTTTCTGAATGTTAGGGTTTAGGGGAACTAGGCTCCATTGTGTTTTTCTGAAATCCAGCTCTCGAAACCTATTGATCGTAAGAGGAATTGCCAGATTTCTCCAGTTGTGCTGCTCCCTCTCAAATAGTTGGATTTGTATATAATCCTTCTGCCTTAATTTTTTTGATGCATGAACATCCCACGCAATCTGAAACCACCCTTCACTATCGATTAAGTAAGCATCATTCATAATGAGTCACCAAACCATGAACGAATTTTGACTTGCGAAGACCTTTTTCTAAAAGTTAATGAAGTGTAGAACACAATGCGCACATTATAAACGCCAAAAAGTAACTCACAAACTGAAAAATTTGAAATTCTAAAAGCACAACTTTTCTGCAAATTTTAAACGCCTTGGTTTCATGCCACCCTGAGTGATGTCATCTGGCAGCAATCAGAAGATAGCATGGGCCTGTATGACTCCTGTCCAATGTCTTTCTATTCCTTGCTTATGAAAACAATATGCTAGTTGAAACTTTATCCTCAGAATCAAAGAATGGAATCTCATTCATGTCATCTGTAGTAAACAAGCAGCAATTCTTCATTGAAATTCATTTTCTTCTAACAAATATCAGAGGAAAATGAGCAGAAGAGATTGCAATTTGACTGCTGCAGTACCTCACTCAATCATTTTCTTGCCATTCCGGCACATTTGAAGTTCCCTCGAGTTTTTAGACTTTTTGAAAGCAAGCTTGTCAAAGATTTTGGCTCCAAAAATAAGCATTAAATCACCACATTATCTCTTAATTCGGTACTTTCAGAATGTTAAGTAAAAAAGAAAGTTTAGTGACCTAATAGCTGTTGCTCTATGAAAGCTAGCCCAAACATATGCAATCATACCAAATCTTTTCAATCGCTCTTTAACCAAATAATATCAAGGCGTCATCTCCATCGAAACATTGAATGGATGCAGTAAGCGGAATCACTCGGCAATTGATCTTACAGTATGTTTTATAGCAATCTAATGAAATAAATGTCTGTTTTTTCATCTTTTTTCTTCTCTCTCTCTCTCTCTGTGTTTAATAGAATTATGGACTAGTCAATGGAAGAGACAAGGCTCCAATCCAGCTTCTCTCTGCAAGCAATCCTCTAAAATCTATCGTTGCTAATGACAAAGGTATGCATATTTTTTTAAATAATATTAAAACTGAGCAATATTTTACTATTGTTTCACTTCATTCCTAGCTCATGTGGCCAGCAAAAATTGTAAAATGACAATAAATATGTCTTTGTCTGTACAAATTTAGGAAAATCGAATGTTTGTCATGAAAAATGAAATTGTCTGGACTCAGGACTGAACAGTGTTGTATAACTTGTGCTGTGGCTCCATCAATCACAATTTAATTCTAATTGTTTTCATCCTCCAATAATTATACAGTTTTTGCAAGGATTGACATTTCTCTCCTTTTTGTAGAACATTATGAGCAAACATAGTGTGATGTAGCTGAAATGCAGTTGTAGTGCTTCGCTTGAGCAAAGCGGTATCATTACCTTGCAGAAAAGTATGTTACCAGTGATTCTTTTATCATTGCTATTGGATACATCGAATATCGCAAGAATGATGTAGCTACTGAATCAGTCTGTTACAATCTGCAGTAATTTATCTACTGAGCAGAGGTTTTACTCCAGTACTATCAAATATTTTTTTTTCTTTCCTACGAGATGAAGGAGCTTCATGTACGTCTTTGTCACATATGAAACTAGATAATTGGATTTTTGCAAAAAGTTCATTAAAAATTAACAGATTATAATGCAGTTCCCCAACTGCATTCACTAATGCTTACGCTCCCCAGCATGTTGAAAAGCAGAATGACAGATCTTCAATGGTGATCTAATTTTTTTCATTCAACTCCAATAGATGAGATTTGGAAATCGCAACAATTGTGATAAAGGTTATGCTGCACATGTAGAGTCAAGACCATGGTGTTAAATCTGGATAGTAAGATCTAATCATTGTTTCTAATGAGGGAAAGTTGAGAATATTAGTGAAATAAGATATCAAGCGATAATTTTCCTGATTTTACAACCTCTTTCTCAGATGTTTTGGACAAATTAGTCTTATTGCCCCTGGAAAAGCAGGGGAGCATATGCATTTTTTTTTTTTTTTTTTTTTTTTTTTTTTTTTTTGTCTGTGTAATGAATTAAATGATGACTAGATCATTTTGAATTTCTTCGGATAAATTAGAAATGTATGAAGATGTCCTGTTTTTCTCAAAGGACATTTTTTGTGCCCTTACTGAAAAAATTGAAATTTTGTGTTTTCCCATAGCTCCCACTAAGTGATTGATGTTCAAAAAAGAGGTCAAAAAGAAATTTGCAGAAAAAAATTTAAGCTCCTTTCGCAACTGTATCTTCTGATAAAGTGGAAATAGCATTTTAAACAAAACTTTGTTTACCCGCTTTTATTTCCTCTTCAGGAGGGTAGAAATTAAGGAGAAAACAATATTCCAGAAAACTCCTTTCTGGATGCAAGTTCCTTCATTTGCTTGCCTCCAGCCTCTGAAAAATCGTGAAAATAATAAAGTAGAGAATACTAGCGATGAATGGATACTCCCCCCCCCTCCCCGCTATTAGTGAGAGGAATGTTGAAGTTTTTAACCTAATTTTTTGTCTCTTGGCTAGTGAAATGAAATGAATGAAAATTTTATGCATGATTCTCACTCTGTCATAAATTTGAACCATTCTTTACAATTCTTGAAGGATTTACATAATCAATACTAGGGTTTGTGTAGACTTGGGAAATAGGGAATCCAATTTTATAGAAATTAACATGAAAAACACAGGGACTCGAAAAAAAACTCAAAAGACTAAAAGTTCTTGCGTTACACCGTTTTAGTGGTCACCAATTTTAAGTTTTGGCAGCCAAAATAGTTTTAACGCTGCATTTCAGATTTTCTCTCCCTGTACATACAGAAACCGAAAAAATCGGGGGAAAGCGAACGGAGTTCGAAATTTTGAAAAGACAAGAAACTCTGCAATCAGACCTATTTCACGCTTTCAAATTGCAGTTTAATTCATCTGGAATAACTTATTAGGGAGGGGCATAATTTCATATATATTCCCCTTAATGCGACACTCTCTTGTTTTTCGTTTTCTTTTTTATGTTCCTATTGTTTTTTCCTAATTTTTTTTTCATTTTTTATTTTTTTCTCCAATTTGCCCCTCCAGGCTCAACCAAAGAGTCTAAGTCTGCAAAGTCTAATTCTGAGACTGGTGCCTATTCATTCTCCATGCAGCACGTGAGCTTTATAGCCATTCCGCCTCATGAGTCAACCCTAGGCTCTGGTAATTATTTTTTTCTCCATTTACTTTTAGTATCATATTTTATTTTTACTCCCGTTTTCCTTTTTCCTCGCTCCAAGTTATGATAAAAAATCGCATTGCTTCGTCTGTTTAACTTGCCCTAATTTTCCAATCCTCTTCGTAGTTAGTCTTATTAACTTTTTCATCACCAGGGCATATGAGGATTTAGGGGAAGCATTAATCTCACAAGAATACTTCCATTGACACAAGCCTGAACTTCCTATCAATAATTTCTGCACTCTAAAGCACATCAAGTTGTTAGTGCCATTTTGAACCGTTTTCGATCCATTACCTTTAAAATCAGGTTCAAGACACTTTTTTTCCGAGCATAGTTTTGGTCTTTAACCTCCTGCAAGTGCAAATGTCATGTTGCTGGGAGGTGGGAAATCTCTTCTCCTCTCTCTTTTTTACAATTTTACAGCATTCTCTTTTATTTTAGGCCGTTTTTTGGATCAGCCAAATCATTATTATTTGAAAGTTGTTTCCCTGAGTTTTAAGTTAGTTTGGAAGGATCATTTTTTCGGTATTTGCCTCTCCAGAAAAATATGGTTATAGCTATCTTGTTGCGAAGTTTTCGTGTTTGAAGTCCCTGAAGACACATGTGAATACGCCAGACTGACTCAACTGTTCCTTGATGTAACCATTCATTTCTCACATGTAGAATCTGTGAGCGATTCTGTACACATTTATTTCTCTTATATAGAATCTGCGAGCGATTCTGTATATTCACACTTGCTCTCTTGCCATTTGTGAAGCTACATAATGTCTTTGTCTCACTGCTTTTTTTGTTAAATGCCTTTAATGGTGCTGAAAATAGTTAGCTAGCTTAAGTGGTTCATTGCTGGCGTTGTATTGTTTTCTCAAGTCACTGGAAAAATAATTTACTCAAAAAACCCTCCTCATTCCATATTATGAGGGACTTTCCGTGAAGATTTTGAGAAGGAAGAAACCATTTTAATTTTGATTTTACTCCTTATTTTCTCAGATTTTTTGGAAATTATTGAAAATATTTTGAATTCTGTATCCCAATTTAGATCTTAATTACGCCTGGGAACTGAAAATTAAATTTTTTTGTTTAGTGACGTTTTGTATCCTTTTCTCTTGCCATGTTGCTCATCTTTTGAGTGAATACCTCAATAAAGGAGCCTTGTTGTGGTACCTTGAGCTTACCTTGTGTGTGTATGCAACTACCATGGGCTGTTTTCCAAGCGTAATTGATTTGAAACAATACTGTCAAAACAAGGAAATGCCATGCATTTATTAACCAAAAAAGACGCAACATAATTTTACTACTAAACAGCATTGACTAATTTAAAATTAATTGAGAACTTTACTTACAACTTCTTTTGTCAGAAGTATGAAATCTACATGCTGAAAATAAAAAGGAAGGATTGATTTAAAAAATTGGTATTTTATTAAATTTGAAGGGTTACGAGAATTTGCTCATTGTTTGCCTAAAAAACTTAAAAGTTGTTTACCTAGATACCAAAGCAGACCACTTTCCAGGATTCCTAGTGCACCTATAAGCGACCATACCCACTCCAGCCCCCTGTAATCATCACTTGATTATTTAATCCTCATGAAAGTCTTAGTATTAATAAAAAAAAATTTATGCATTTTTAATTCTCAAGAGCATCCAATATCTCAACATTTGTAAAAAATTCAATTAAAATTAAATCCTGAAGTTTAAACGGTATAATTCATCCAGAATCCTTGATTTAAAAACCATCAATGAAGAATACTAAGATGATTGAGAAGTGCCTTTGGTGGTTTTTTTTTTCTTTTTTTTAACCATTTGAATCCTCAATGGAAAGGTTTTCATGTCTGGTGCAGTGGATCTTTTCTTTTCATCTGTTTTCTTCGTTCTTAAACGTAACAAAATTTTTAATCATATACAATTCTAGAAACTAAGGCATTTTTTGAGGGTTTCCACTTTTTGTTCAAGAAGTTTGATACTATGTGCTTTGTCCAAAATTTGAAAACTCCAGTCATTGAATAACTGTGTTTAATAATTTTAATTGTTGCATTCCTCACAATTAAGGTCATTTTCCTTCATTTCCCCTAAAAATTCACAATTATCATTACAGAAAGACTCCGGTCTTAACCCTTTATTTTCTTTAATAATTTTAATTTCTATGGTTTTAGTTGAACTGTATGAATTTGTCTTGCACAGTTTTCTTTTTTTGCCCTCTTTTAACGAATAGTTCAAGTTTTGTTTTAAACCACATTAGATCTCTGTGCCATTAATTTTACTCTCCTTCTTCTCCTTGTATTTTGCCATTATTTTTTAACTTTTTGCATGCTTTTTCTGTTCGTTTGATTTTTCTCTTCTTTTTTTCCTTTTTTTTTTTTACATCTCTCTGCTGTTAACAATTAACTAGACAAGGCCTCATCGATGAAGGAACCCGATTCTGGAATGCAAACCAAAAATGGTGGGATAGTTTCTGATAAGTTTGTACAGCAGAAATCAAATCTTTCGAGCTTTTTCGAACATCCGAGCTTTCTTAGCATCCACCATGACGCTTTTAGCAACGGTGTCACTGTGTTTGAGTTTCATGGTAAGCATTCCAAGCATTAGAATCAATTGAATCATCTGTCTCATTAAGTCACCTTCTCGGTCTGGCAGTTGAATAACATTTACTCCATTTTTAATATTTGCCACCTTCAATTAAGCAATCAAGTTTCACAGTTTTGTTGATGTTCACTTACACATTGAAAAGTGCATCTTTTGAAAGAAATGCTATTGTATTGAGTCATCAATAGACTTATTTTACTAGAATGCTTAATTTTTTGCGAATTCACAATTGTTCTGTCTCTTTTCTTCGGTCAGGCATGGATTGTGAAGAGAAAAAGAAGCCAAAAATTTATCTCAATACCAAATTATTACCTTGAATGGAACCAAAATTTCTCTTATCAATCTTTTAACTAGTAATTTCTATAAGGAGACGAGGACTTGATTTGTGAATTTTTATGACAAAAATTCATCAAAAGACAATGCTCACTTTGAATCAACGCAAGCCAGTGTGCAAAAAAAAATGATCCCCACTATGTCAAAACAATGCTTTAGGATCACCCAAGCTTGAGCAAACATTATTAAAATTGAGCCCCTTGTTTGCATTGCTTTTTTTCATAACTGGAAGGGAGTAGATTTCCAATGATTTCCCATTATCTCACCTTTGATTTTTGATCTGGAACTCTTGTGTGTTTTTTATGTCACTGCAAGATCAAGTTCAAATTTACTTTTTTTATGTTGATCAATGTAAAGAAAACTTTTTTTTTTTTTTTTTTTTTTTTTTTTTTTTTTTTTTTTTTTTTTTTTTTTACAAAAGACAACAAGTATTGAGCTCTCTTAAGTTCCTGTTATGTAGTTCATTTTTTTGTATTATTTTTTAGTATTTCCTAATCATTAATTTTCCACAATACAAGTTGGGTTTCTTGAAAAAAGTTTTGCTAGGGTTAAAGAACATACATTAGGGTCATACAGTTATAACTTGTAGGGGTAAGGTAAGAATTAACTTTGCAGTTATCTTTGAGTCCGGTTTGCTTCCCGCTTTCTCTTAGACAATCAAGATGTACTGTTCTTACCGGTCGAAAACAATGCTCATTTTATTCACATCACAGCTTTTTAGACCATATTTTAAATTAGATAACTTTTTCGTTTACTTTTGCTATCACTGCAAACTCCATCTTCAAATATACATGAAAAGGGTAAACTTACATGAAAAATAGTCCACGTTTATTTAGCTCCCTAGCAATTACCAAACAAAATCCCATAGTTACATTGGAAGTTGTTGATAAGTTAAGTTTAACGTAAATTGATTTGGAAGTTTCATTATTCAACCTTGAAGAAAACATTTTTCAGCAGAAACATCCTGATCATCTGTAACTACACTTGTGTTTTTTATTGCCAAGATGGAAAGAAGCGAATTAAATAAGTATGCAAGGAGCACATCAAAGGAGTAGCTTCCTCTAAGACCCCTTAAAATTTCTTGTTCAAACACTGCATGATCTCCCAGTAAAGTTATGTTAGGTCAGTACTGAATAAATTTTTGGTTCAAAAGCTTTCCGCAAGGGGGGAGGGAGGGGGATCATAAAATTTGAAATCTGAGGAAACCAGTCATCCTGAATTAGTCTGTTCAAGGGTGGTTTCATCGTATGATTAGGTTCTCTCATCTATTTAAATGAGCGCTAGAATACTGAATTTGAATTGAGCCGTAACCGACCGCTAGACTTTGTCTGAAAACGTTCTCAGATATAAGCACAAAGCAATCGTAGAGAAGCTAGTTCAGGCTAATGTATACTGTCCTCTATTATTTCCGTTTATACTTTTAAGTTAGAAGATTGAAGTCCACACGAGTTACTGCACAAATTTCAATGATATATTCCTTTAACTTGCTTTGAGGTTAGGACTGACATCAATTTATTCAGAAATGAAAAATATCAAGGAAGGTATCTTAAAAAATATTAGATTTATTGAACATTGGAACATTTGTATCGAACATTTTTTCGTTCTAGACTGTTTTTCTTAAGATTTTAGTGACATTAAAGAGTTTAACTCTAAGTCTCCTCCCTATCCTTCCTTGACAACTTTGATTATCAAGAAATTGAATGTGAATTGAGTCCTACGAGAAAATGAATTTTAGGCGAATCCAAATTTAAATCCCATTCAATTCTTCTCCTTGTCTAAGTGAATCACAGTAAAAAATAGGTGGATCATGAAGAAGCAAAAGCTGTAAAACCTGCAATAGTAAATTTGAATCTGTTGTGAGGTTAAACGAGACTAATTACCACCTCTTCCCCTGTAATTTACACAGGGTGATCCAAAAGTCCATACCACATGCACCAGGCATCACTTGTAACTTGTGAATGAATTGAGATGGAGAATTAAAATTTTGTGAGTGCTCCTAGGTCTAAAGAAACAACTTTTTGGACCACCTCCCCCCCCCTTCCCATAAGTAAACCCAGGATCACCCTGAAAAGAGTCAACTCAAGAACCCTGTGAGGTCATAGGGGTGGTGCTGGACTTCGATCACTCTGTTTATCAAGGAATGAACTGTATAATCTTACCTTTACTGAAATTTGAGCCTAGTTGCGACCAAAACTGAATGACACCCTATGCCCTCCCTCCTAAAGTTATTCTGCAATTCTATTCAAGTAGTTATCCATACGAGAAGATGAATTTGTGAATCATTCTTCTCTTTGAGATTTTTTGTTCTTTCTCCTGTCGGAGAAGTCAGTATCTTCTCTCTATGTTCGAATTGTCAAAAATCCTGTTAAAAAATTTGACATTTTTTAATCATCTTTGACAGAATTGTTCTGATGTAGTGTGAAATGAGGATTAGTAATCCATCAAACATTAAAAGGGGAAAGAATTAAGAACCTGTAAGGCTTAGTGGAATTGTTGGCACTGAAATGTTGAACAATTTCCTTTACATCAAGATCCTTTGTTTGGTGAGAACAATTTTGCTCTTCTCATTCCATGATGCAGTTTCAATGAGGTGGGGAGAGGGACTGTTTGAAATCGGATGGTTTTATTTGACATGTGCACTTTTAACAAGGCTTAAGCAGTGAAAAATGATTAAGCTAAAGTTATCAGGAGGTATAGCTTCTCGGTCGCAAGATAATATTTTCCTTCCTCCTCTGTCTGAAGTAATATTTCTTTGTTAATGAGTGGTTTCAGGTTCCCCCGTCTCAACCTACTCCAACCAGACTGAAATAGTGAATTTTTGTGGCTTTTTCTGTTTACAGATGTCAATCGTTTGGTCCAAAGCAAAGACTCAAGCTATAAGGTATTGTCAGTTTTATCTTTTATTCTTTCTTTCTTTTTTCATGTCTATTGCTCCTCTCCCTGTCTGTCTCTTTCCATCCTATCCGTATCCTCCGTTTCCTTTTAATATTAATCTATGCCAGCATTTCTAAGATCTTTTTTTCTACTGTTAATGAACGTGACTGTCCATGTAGAATTCCACAATCTTGTGCTCGCTCTGTCTCGGTGTCTGGCGATGAATTTTTTAATGTGTGGAGCAGTAGCAAGCTCTTGAGAGTAGCTGCAAGACGTTGCCCTTTCAAGTCTAAAGACATCTTTCGAGCTGCTATGCCATAAAAGCAGCAGGGGAAAGGACCACTGATGAAAGAGTTCCAAAGAATTGAGATCAAAATTTGCTAGTCCATAATTTCAAATCGAGCATCAAGTATGTCAATTTTTCAAAATTTACCTGGAATAATATCCACATCTTCAGTGAGGAAGAAGCCAAAAATACAGTTAAGATACTTTGAATAAATGTTTTCTTGCTTTTAAGTAGGAAGTAGAAAAGTATACTTTAGCTTCATAGTCAGACAACAGACAAGTTTTGTCAAAACGTTTTTCAATGTTGCTGGACATCTAAATATTTTTTTAAATTTTTTTTCTGTGAATTTTGCACTTACATTTCTGAACATTATACTGATTATTCTTAATGACCAAAGAAGTATAAGGTGAAATTTTCAAATGATTTTGTCTATTAGTTCCTCTGTAAAAAGTCGGCCAAATTTTAGAAGTTTGGTAACATAGTACCTAAGCAGAAATAGACTGCCTAGCAGAAAGGAAGCGAGCCATATCAGCTATTGCCAAATTTATTAGGGTAATTTAATTTTTTACAAGAGAACGTTTTTTGCAAATTCCTGTGAAAATTTTAAGGAATTTGCTTCATCTGATGCAAAAAATTCACTGAAATTTGCCCAAAAATCTGCCCAACCGTTTTTATGTAAAAAATTAAATACCCAATGGGCCAGTTGCGCTGGTAACAGGATCGTGTTTTGATGCTTGATCCTTGTAGATCAGCTAAAAATAAGATTTGTCTAAACAGCAACTTTTTACGTTCAATACTAATTGAGACATCGTCCTTTGAAAAGTCGAGTTTTGGATGTCATCCACCTTGGTAGTGCATAACATGGTATGTTCTACTGCGGTGGATGATGTCATTAATCGAGTTTTTCAAAGCGTGATATCTCGGTTAATATTCAACGTAGAAAGTTGCTGTTTGAACAGATCTTATTATTTTTAGTTGATCTGCAAGAATAAAGCATCAGAACACAATTCTGTGACCAGGGCAACTGACCCATTAAATTTGACAATAGTTGATGTAGCTTGGTACCTTTCTGCCAAATGCAGTTAGAATAGTGCTTGTGATACGTAGGCTGAAAGGTGAGAAAATAATCCTGACATGCTAAGCTGGGAGAATGGGCTATGTGTGACTAATGTCTGAAGTAGAAAGAAACAGCGCATGTTTTCTCTTCAAAATCTCACCTAGAAAATAATAAATATAACAGGCAATTCAGAAATAAAATCCTGAAAAAGGTATTAACAAGTATTTTAACACAGATTAGATGGAAATTAGATTATATAAATGACATCATTTGTATTTTTGTTGTTTAATTAATGTTAATTTTAATTTGGTTCGGAGTCAATTTCTGTAGTGTAAATTGTTTTCCTTGTAAGATTTCAAGGAAGAAATACTGTGCAAATTGCTTGGTTTCATCCCTTATTTAGAGATACATTCTGCAATTATGAAAGTTACAGGTGGAAAAAATGTTAGAAGCCAATCCTTTTTTAATTTGCAATTAATTTTGAATAATTTCCACTCCAAGGAAAAAAGGCCGCAAAAGCTAATGCAATTGAAAAAAAAGAGAGTGACAGAATAGACAGGAATATAGTGAAGTTAGACCTAATAGGGGGGGTAATGGAGATTTTTATGATACACTTTAGTCACAAGTAGGCAAACTATGTACGTAGCATCGGCTGAGATTAAGGCAGCGCCTACACTTTCCCTGTTCTTTTCCCTATTTCTATTTTCAAATCTTCTGTCCTGGAGCTAACTGGTAATCTCTAATCCAAATAGATTCTAAAACTCCTTTTCCATATTTTAATACTGTGCCTATGATGATGTCACCTCTCTTGTCTGATTTTGTATAAGGCCATGCACTTAGAAGGATGGTCATTAGTGTCTTCATAAGGTGGAAGTAAAGGCAGCTACTCAGATTGAAATCTATTTTATTTAGGGCAGTGCTTCTGAGAGCCTCATATCACAGGTTAAGAGGTCGATCACCTTATCATTTGTATTATAACTTATCATTTTACTCGATCTAATGTTTTTGTCAATTTCTTGTGTTTTATAAATTACTTTAAATGGTTTGTTACTTTTACAGTCAAAACCATTCGATGAAAATGGAAACTCTCTTGGATCAACCTCAGTGTACCGTGACGCATCATCTATGTCTGAGAGGAAAAAATCTCGTCGTGCTAAGGTAAGAGTAACCTCTACATTTTACTTTATGTGATTTGGAATTTACCATGGAGTTGTAGCACTGATGTTGGACCAGATTTATAGATGAGCCTCTCCAGAAAGGTGCTTGCTATCATAATTTGAAAGAATTTCGGTTTTTTTTTTTATCTGGATACCTCCTGTGATTCTATTTTAAAAATAAATCGAGGGCAGGCCATCCAAAAATTAAACCACACTGTGCCTCACAGGATAATGGCAGAAACCTGATAAAAAATCTGGCAAATCAAGCCTCTTTTGTTCATTGTGTCATATACCAGTGAATTTAATAATAGTTTTTTCCCTGTAATTTTGGTTTCAGATAAAGAATGATCATGATGACACAATTCTGGCTGAAAATATTGAGGGCCATCGAGGTGACCGAGACATCAACAGTCTGCTAAAATATATTGAAGCAGGAGGAGATGGGAAACACATCAAAAGCTCTAAGCTCACAAACGGGCCTTTGGTGAAGCAAGCAAAGAGTAAAGTAAAGGTCAGCCGAGAAAAGAGCACGGATGGAGATACACTTAACAGAGTAACAAAAAACAAACGAAAAGAGAAATTAAAGAAAAGCAACAGCTTAGAAGAAATCTCAAAAACTAAACTTGAAGATCTAACGAATGATTCCGACTCGAGCTCGAAAACTATGCCGAAAAAGCAAACAACGCTGGATGATGATGATTTGGGAGAGAGGCAGGAACGCATGGGTGCAGAGGAGGACTCAGTCTATGCCACCTCCGCAGATGAGTGCCTTCTGTCGCAGGTCAAGCGGCGTGATTTGAAAATGGATAGATCAATGGAAAATCTAGCCGCTGACTCGGAGTTCCATGTTGTTACCAAAAAGCAGCGCAGGAAAAAGCGCCGTAGTGTATCCAATGACAGGAATACACGTGGTAAAACTGAGCAGCCAAGACGGAATGTTGGCAGTTTCCCGCCTCATGATGGAACAAATCACTTTCCCGGCCGATCACGAGGATTGTCGCCGGATAAGCGACGAAAATCCACCTCATCTATGCCACCGTCAGACAAGTCAGATTGTTCAGACTTGGATTCGGTACATTCTCTACCTGTTTCCTCAACAACTCCTAAATGTCAGGTGCAAAAAACTAGCACATCAAATGGCTCAACACCTCAAGCATCGTATGCGGACATAGCAAAATCTACTGTTTCGCCACCTCAAGGTTCTACGAACAACATGAACGGAAGTGGGAAGTGGCCGCCGGTCGGGAAGAGCACCTCAGCTCCTTTGAACATCTCCATGAGCACGTCATCGGTATCGCCAAATGAAAGTGTTAGTGGGAAACGGAAACCGAACACGGCTCCTTCGTCCGTGAGCTCAAGCACCTACGAAGATAGTTTAACACAAAGTCCTGACCTAGTCCCAAGTGTCACGCTATCTTTAAAGCATAAAAAAGATGCAATGACTAGTACAAGCTGTGATTTACCTAAATTAGACTGTAAGGGTGTAAATGTTAATTTAAATGGCATCTTCTCGGACGATGATGCTAATGTAAATTGTGTAAATAAGTCTATTAGTGCTGTGAGTCAAAGAAATTCTAGTTGTACAAACGTAAATGAGCTGTATGTAGAGTTTACACTAAAGCAGTCAGAATCGAACGAAAACCAGTTCGAGGAAGTAACTGAAGTTAGTTGTGAAGAAACAGTTTTTTTAAAATCATCCCCCAAGTGCAATTCAGAAACCGTCTCTGGTAGTTTAACCATTTTAATACCCAATAAAAACCAAAAAGAGACCAAAACCCCAGTCTCCACAAACGCATCATTACCACCTGTCATTCTTCTTGATGAAGAGCTTAATCATAACCAAAGTCTCGTAGATAGTGAATTAACCTTCGGATTTGAGGTCAATGAACAGTTGCTTAAAGATTCCTCATCAACAGCCACACCATCGCTTCAGTCTAACCATCTGCAAACGTTTGACGTTTCACTTAGATATCAGCAACCAGTCATGACAAACGTCTCGTTCAACTATGATGACATCATCATTTTCATTGAAAAAGGTAAAAAAAATGCTCATCAGTCTCAGCATCTTATAATTTCATTTAACTCCTAAAAAATTTGTCCTGCATGTTCCCATTTTAAGTTTTCTTGTCACTAGCTTCTCTTAATTTAAGGCTGTGCAAACAGCTAATTTTAAAGACGAAGCATATGGGGAATAAAAATTCTGTGGAAAACATGAAAAAGATGTCAACACTTACAGCCAAAACTTGAATGTTAAATAAAACATTTAGAGTTTTTCCTAACTGAAAACGACGCGACACAACATGATTAAGTACACTCAAGGCTACATTTTTTCATGCAATTTCTGTCACATAAAGCTTAGCAGTAAGGAATGGCACGATTTCTCAATACATGGTTGGCAATTAAAGGATTCATTGTAAGTGGCCAAAAATCATGCATGAGTGAGCCCTAATTTGTTAAAGTTGTTAAAGATCAAAAGAAAAGTCTAAGATTTCCGATCTCCCTAATTAGCCTTGCTTGGGTCCTCACAATTTTTTTTCTTTGTGTGTGTGTGTGTCGCACAAAAATTATTCTTCACAGCTCAAACACTTAGCAGAAAGGTTTGTTGGTGGTAAAAATATCCTCTCACAGACGTTCAATTATAGCAATTGAATATTTTTAAAATATTTTAGACAAAACTTTGTGTCATGTTTGACACATGCTTTTGTTTTTGTAGATTTTTACATCAAAGTTCTCAAATGGTAAAAATTCAAGGCAAGTTAAATTTACTTGAGTTCCCAACTTATAAAAATGAAGTAATGAATTATTCACTGAGTGTCAAACTTTTATCCAGTATTCAACTAATTTGTTTGCTTTTTGGTTGTATGTTACAGCTTGGGTTGATATTCAAAAAGACCTAATATCTTCTAAAACTAGTGATGGAAATCGCATAATCGAGTATTTCTCTGCAAATCAGTGATGCTTTTAACTACCGTACATTTAGGAAGTGAAATACAGATTGAAGGAGCTCTGACTGAAATGTGATGGTGTTTTCTCTCTCCGCATCTTTTGATGAGTTAATTCCTTTACCAATGTCTCCGTTTGTAATTAGAATACCTACGTCGAGAAGAATTTCTAAGTAAGGATCTAATTCTTGCTTTTTTTCTCCAATTTTTCATCGTTTTCCAAAACCTGTTGGGGTGCCACGACCATACCTGCCATCTAATGCTCTCCCATACAAGGACTCCGTCTGTTTTACGTTATGTATGTAGGTCTCTATTTTTTTACTAAAACACCCATTTAATTCTGAATTTTGTATATATCACATTGCAAATGTTTTCAGAGCTCATTCCCCCCCCTTCCCCGCCCCTCTTCTTTGAATATTGAGTAATTTTCTTTGTTTGTATTGACTATATTTTTTGTTGTGTCTACTTGATTCATTTTTTTAATGATTTCTTTATTTTATTTTTTTTAGCATTTTTCTGTTAAAATCACTTGAGATCCGCTTCATTCCACAGTCAAATTGTGAATTATGACTAAAATTGTACAATATGTATGTACGTATGTATGTATGTCACGTATGTAAGTTCGTTTAAGTGTACCTAGTTATATGTTAGTAAGTCTTGATACAAGGATGTTTTAGTCCTAAAATGTGTCAGTCAGGGACTATAATTTATTCATAAAAGTCTGCAAAAGACCTTTTTCCAATCAAGATTTTACTGTATCCGCTCAAAATGCTAAGCAAAGTGGGACTTATCTCTCGAGAAAAGTGCAAAAAAATTCTTAGGTTTTTTTTATTTTTCTTTATTTTTTATTGGGGGCTGTTCTTTTTTTTAAAAAAAATATCTATTTATAAAGAGTAAGTTTAAAAAAAAAAAAATATGTGGGGAACAACTGAAAACTTTGTAGTGAGGTTACCACCAGAATTATGGATTTGAAACCAAATCCTAGACTGTCATCCATTTTGGGGAAAGGCAAATCTATTTCTTTAATTTACAAGTATTGTCAGAACTGATTGAAACTCTCAAATTTTAGCTTCGTTTGCCTTTGAAAATCGATCAACGCTTTTTTTATTTTTCTCTTTTTTTTCTATGCCCTGCATTTTGTTATTGGGGAGTCATTAAGCGTCATGTAGAGTCGCAATATTCATTAGGTTTCTTAGTTTAGAACTTACACTGATATCATGTTATAAAAGAGGCCAAGGACTTAGAAACATAATTATTATTTAATTTTTTCAGCATTTTCTTTTCCTAATCAAATTGTTGTTTTCTAATCGCTACCCCCTGAAGCGGAAACAGAATATCTTTTGTAAAACCGTCAAGAAATTTTGTTCCAGGGGTTTCATCTTCACCTCAAAACTGTGAATGTTAGTTGCAAGTGGAACCGTTGTTAATTTATATCTAACCCTCGTTTATTTATTGATTAATTTTTTTTTATTTTTTGTTATAAAATTAAGTCTAATTTAAAGCTCTGTCATTGTTACCAATACTTACCGTGATTTGTCTTCTTGAATTGGGAATTTTGAATTATTTTGGAAATTTTTTTTACATGTGGTTGAAAAACAGAGGATGTTGCCGGACTGCACCTGAGCCTGCCAAATTCGTTTTCCATAATATGAGAAAATATATTTCTGTAACAATCATAACCATACTCTAACCATCTATGTTGCTCTCACCGAACATGCCGTACTTAAGCCCCAACTGTAGCTAATTATCATCTTTCTTTATCCCTCTGTATTTTTTTCCCCCCAGGAGGAAAAATTCTTAAAAGTATTGTTGTGCTGGTCAAGTTATTACTCATTTGTTGCTTTAGTGATAGAGAGTAAGGAAATTACCGTAGCCTAATGTGTAGGAATGTCTCTTTTCATTTTATTGGGTTTTAATCAGTAAGAATTGTCTCAAAATCCATTCACTTGAGATCAAAGACCAATAACTCTGATGACGTGAATGCGAAAAAAGGAAATGATGTAAGAATTAGTCTACTTAGAAGTCATCCTGCTTACTGAATTTCCCATGGAAATTTCCATGAAGTTTCAGCCAGCCATCTCGTTCCAGTCTTAAGCAGTTCTGTATCTGAAAGATTTTTCTCTCATAAAAACGTGGTAATGTAGGCGCACAATCCAGCAAATGGTTACTTTTGAGCAGAACTATAAGTTGGTAGATGGATCCCTCTACTTTTTTTTCATAATTATCAATAGCTTTCTGGTGTATCCATGCTAATCGAATGAAGTTTTATTATGTTGCCAGGAGGTGAATGTTCCTGTTTTATTTCTTGAAAACTTGCTCTCTTCCTAACCAGCAATTAAATGTATTCCTGTTGCGTTTTCGGTGTTCTATCTTAGGACTGCTCTTATTTTAAATTTCTTTTGCTGTCTCTATGAGGGCTGATTATTCTGAAGGTTTTTTTTTTCTTTGAATTGAATTTAGTACTGAAGTGAATCCGCTAACAAAATGAAGGAAGTTTGACATTTTTGTAGTTATGCTGTATTTCTTACATCCAGTGTACAGTCCATGTTGAAGAAGATAATATCAGTGAAATTTTGTGTGAAGGGTTTGCCTAAAAATCGAATGAAAAGAATCCCAAAACTATGTCAGTTTGCAAAAACCATTTTAAGATCAAATATTTCATTGTGTAGGCTAGCATTGCTTGCTAGTTTTCCTTGCAGTTTACCTCAGCTTGCCAATGCAGCTTGAAATGGATAATTTTGGCTTGTATTTAGGTGTCAGAAATCGAAATGTAAGAGACAGATGTATTGCAGCAAAAAATGCTATACCTTTATCTTATAAAACAGCCTTCAAAGAATGGTGGTCTAAGCCTATGATCCTGTTGCATTGAAGTAACTTAATTCTCAGTGCGTCCTGTGAACAAATAGGATTCTAATGAGTTTATCTTATTATGATTGTCATTGCCATCATGCGCTGGGTAGACAGTATTTTAAATAGGTTTTTCCTTTTATTAAAGAACTCATAACAGCAGTAATGATAAGTGCGCAGGTACGTGACAAAGGTAAACATGTCTGGAAAGAGTGTTAATATTTCAGATGAGTCTGTAATTTGAACAGGATTTTTCTTCTTTCTTCTCATTCTTCTTCTTTTTTCCTGTATCTTGGAAAGTAGTACTTTGTTTTCTTTAAGGCAGGTCCGATCAGCCATTTTAAACTAACATAAACATACTGACGTTTGAGCTTGGTTGAGCAACATTTTTTTCTGCCTGCTCTGTAAAACAGTATGCATCAACTTTTGAAGATAACACAGAATATCAACCATCAACCTTTTTTAATTTGGAAGCATACTGAAATCAGGTTAGCTCTGGTGTGATTCAAGTCGACTTGGAATTCAAAGACAAGTTAGCTGTTTGAATTGACAAACTTGGGGGATGCATTCGTGTAATTTTTGCATGAATTAGAGAGTTTTTGAAACACCTCCTGTGTTTTATGTGCAAGTTGGATGAGAATATATTCATTGAGGTGCCTAAATTTTGAAGTTGCTTTGTATTCCTCCGTATGCTATCCCGCATTAAAATGGGATCCAAAACACTCGGTTAGCTTGGTTTTTCCTGGTCAAGTACTAACCTGCCATTTTGTTCTATTATTTTGGAATGGACCCTTTGGTCGCTTGAGCTATCATCAAAATTATCGAAATGCAAGGCTTTTGCATCATGAACACTGTAAAGCAATCTTCGAGGAAATTACAAAGGATTATTACCAGAAGTTTCTCTAAATCTGCCCAGGACTCCTTTCACTGTGAGGCCTCATATTTAAGTTCTGACTGAAGAAGTACAATAAATTAGTCATATATGAGGAGAGGAAAACTGGTAGTTCTTTCTAAACGGAAAACTTGTCAATATTTCACTAGCTACATCCGCTTTCAAGACACTTTCAACATTGATGCATTAGTTCAAAGTTCAATAGAAGTAACATGTAAGGTCAAGAAAAGGAAGTCGCAATTATAGCAAAATTACAGACGCAAAGTATCTTTCTCCAGAGGAATCTGCATAAATTTTGCTTTTTCCTGATAAAACTTACCTTGATCTTTCCCTATTTATGGCATTTGCACATCAACCATGTTATATATACCCATTACAAGAGAGCCATTTTAATGTAGATGAGGCCTTTGCAGAAAAAACATTTTGCTTTCAAGTTGAGAATTTATTCTCAATACTCCTGATTTAATTTCAAAAATATCAGATTTTTCCATCCTAACTCATTGAAGAGAACATTGTTTCCGTAGGCCAGCTTCACGAGATTTTCAGTTGTCATACTTAAGTGATCATAAAGTTCCAACAAAATAGCTGCAACTCTCTTCACTCAAAGGATCGTTCTGAAATCGGAACTTAATCCTCTTTCATTATACAGCTGTAGACTCCCCTTAGAAACTTATGCAATGCTTTGCGTGATACCCTACTCTCCCCGACGCAAAAAAAAAACCAGCATCTTTTTTCTTAACTTGTACCAGAAATTTCCCTACAACTGGCGTCTACTAACAGGCACTTTTATGTCATGTCATGCAAGAACCTATCCTGTCACTCTTTACAGTGCAAGATGCAATTTATGAACGGCCCCTTGTGTGGGGAATTTCATGACTCGATTTTTGACAATTCTGTTTGAGCCTTCAAAGGTCCTCAGCAAGAGGTAATATGTGTCAACTCTTCGATTCACTCTGAACTCTCGTATATTTTTTTAGTAATATCTATTTACCATTGATTACAATTTAAAGTGTCTCCTCTTTAATCCCTTATACAACCCAAGTGTCTAAAACAAGGGTACCCAGAAGGAGAGTATACTGCCTTATTACTTCCTTTCCTTGTACAAAATAAGGAAATCTGAATAACACGGAAATCTGGTGAAACTTTCGAAAATTCTGGAGTCAGAAGACAGCCAGATAAAGCTGGGAAATGAGCTCCATATGACCTTGAGTATGATGCATTCTGTGATAAAGTAGGTGTGTAAGTCATTTCGGAACACATCTTTGAACTAAACTGTTTGTTCTTAGAGTAATTTTTGATGTCGGAAATGTTTTCCTTAGTTCTCTATTCTCTAACTTTTGAAAGTAGCTTTGAAAGCCCTTAGTAATCCTCTAAAATTACAAACCTTGGAGAAAGATGTAATGTATCTTTCAGAGTTGAAATGAGCTTTAAGTCAGTTTTGACGTTACAGGAGTACAGGGAAGAAAGTGGATATCACTCGAAGAATTATTAGAATATACTGCAGGCTCTAAATTTTTGACCGCATTATTTTTGTCCACCTCTATTTCTTGAAATAATCAGTAATAACTAAGACCCCAGTTCTTAGAGCAAGCAAAATCTAAAACTTACCCAACTTTTGAATAGGATTAATGTGATTTTCAGCCTCCTTTCCCTGTACTTCTCCATAATTTTTTTTCAGTTATTAACTAGATCAATCAACACAGGTCAGGTCAGTCATTCCTGTGGAAAAATCCTGAGACCCCACTACGCATTGATTATGAAAAGTTAAAATGAAATGAGATCATCCGGAAATAAGCTACATCTTCGTCATGCAATGAGGGGGGTAGTTGATCTCAAAAAAGATGCGCAGCGTCTGACCTATGTGAATTGATCTTTGTTATTACTAATCTGGTATGTTGATAAAGCGAGAGGTAGAAAATATTTTTTCTCCTCTACTAGACTATAGATTTCTTTTGAACATTTTTCAAAAGTTCAATAATAATCCTTGTTCTACCAGCGAGTGGAAATTACTTGCTCCATCTGCAAACCCTTGAAACTCTCGATTAAAACCAAATTTAATTCCATATTTAGCCTTGGATATTACTTCTCATGCAACAATCTTGATTGTCTACTTAATCTCTAAAATAAGATTTGAACTGATGTTAAAAGTTGTTATTTAATTAATGTATTTATAATTTTGTGAATATTTTTATGAAAATTATCGTAAATTGTTTAGAATTTGCATATCAGATTCAGGTCAGCTTCGTGGAGCATTGTGAATGTGATATTGAATCACGTAATGATCGCAAGTTATGTGATCATAACTTGTGATAAAATGAGTTGAATGTACTGTTTCATTAAATAAAGCAAACAAAATTCAATGCTCCTGTTTAACATACTTTACCTCTTCTTACTTGCTCTAAATTTTTATACCTTCCTTGGAAGAAGAAGTAATATTTCAGCTCTTGTAGAGGCAGTGCCAAATAAGTTAATCCACTTTTAGACTGCGACAGAGAATCATCTGACATCAGTTAAAACATTGAAAGTAAATGGAAGAATCAAGATGACAGATCCTCTGACACAGTCTAAATGTCCTTGAACTTGTTTGGCGTGGAATCTTAAGATCCTAATACATCCAAAATGTTGGGAGAATTGGAATTTTAGAGGAAATTTGAAAATTCAGAGATTTCCGGAGTTTTCCAAGTACAAAAGTTAGATACCTGATGAAATAAACAGAAGTCCAGAAACAACAGGACACAGGTATTTTTTTTACCAAAGAAAAAAATTTATTTTAATATCACAGTTGAAAACCAAATCAAACCACACAAACAAACTAAACAAAGTCTTTTAACACAGGGGTATTTTGAAAAGAGCGTCTTACAAAATAATGTACAAATAAACGAAAAGTAACTTCACTTCTGAGACGCAATGATTCAGAGCTAAATAACTGCACCTCATGACAAGGGATGTTGGAAGTAGACTGCACACAGACCCCATTCCCCTCAATGTACTTCACAATTTTCAGAGCTATGTACCTCCTTTAAGAATACCGAATCATTTACACGCAGAGAACGCCAGCCAGTCAAGTTGGGATGCAAATACATCCATTTCTTCCAAAATTGGTGGCTACAAGTCATGGGCTTTAAATTAAGAAGTATCACCCGTGAAAAACAAACGTAACCATATGAAATCTATATAACTGAGGAGCGTTTCCCCAAGCTTTTAATATCTTAAAACAAAAAATTTTCCTGCAGCATTTCAGGCTGTTTCTATGGGTTCATTGATTCATAACAGGCCTGCAAAAATTGTCTATACTTCAGAGCTTGTTTTGCCCATTAGCAAACATGAATATTAGACATTTCAGAACAATCTGTTAAATTATTGGAACACACTGACGACTAAAAAAAATATAATCAGAGACAGATCAGGAGAGTGATAAATTTATTTTTTGAGGGAATGTGGGGGAGTCACCTTACATCAGAGGTTACCATCTTCGTTCATGGTTAAAAGAAAGAGAATCTTATAGTTTGAGAAATAACATACTAAACTTTCAATCCTATCATTTTTGGGAGTCTTAAACCCTACTGAACTTTGAGAGCAACAGTTCAATCATAAAATACAAATAAAAGTTAATCTCCTGGCAAAAAGAGGTATCACTCTTTGGAGTCAGTAATTTAAAGGAAACAAACTTCATAGTTCAACAGAAACCAAGAACATTTTCAATCCCATCATTTCAGGGGAGACAAAATTTATTACTTTTTGATAGGGAAGAAAATAGACAAAAAAGCTTCAGTTCGAGCAAATTAAGAGCTACTCAAATGAATTTGAAACCTCTCCGAAAACCAAGATGAATTGTGGAAAAGCGCTTTGGCTGAAGATAATTACGCCAAGATAAGCTCAATTTAGATTTGAAACATCAGGGCAAATCTTATTGTGACGCCAAGGCCTGTAATACGTATAATTAGCAACCCTTAAAACTCATCATTATTGAGCACAAAAAACTTACAATAAGAATAAGAGACAGGATAAATTATACATACTTCTACTCAACAGCAGCAACAGGTTATGCTCAAATGATTAAACCTCCTTGACTTGGACACTACAATTTTAAAACGAAACCATAGCGTTAGTCGAACAGAAACCAAAAGAGAAAAAAGGAGACAAAGAATAAAAAGAAAAATAGGAATATGAACTCGAAAGTCTCTTAAATACTTAGTATATATCTAAGGATGGCATCTCCATTATCCCTAACCTACCTACCTCAGGAGGTTAATAAAGGAAGTATCAAAATAGACAATCTGAAATGCCAGAGATGAGGCTGGGAGTTATTGCTTGAGCGTTCTGACAAAATTGGTCAAATCGTATTCTTCTTCATAATCTTTATCATCCCACAGATCTGGGAGCGAATCCAAAATTACTTTCATGGATGAATTAGAGCCAGGTGTTGAGTTGAGGCTTTGTGGCGCACTCCAAGTAGATTGGTCCATGCCACCAGATTGCCCACCAATTGTAAATAAATCCAACAGCTGTAAATGGAGAAAAAAACAGGTAAATATATGTAGTGCTGTGATGAATCTAATTTAAACATCGTGTTACTCTTTTAAATTAGATACATAAAACTCTTCACTAGTTTAATTATGGAACTGAGTCTGACCGTCTCTATTCTCTAACATAAATGGAAAATACAGCTCAGGAAATAGGTCTTTGGAATCAAGTAAATCCGTAAAATTTGGAACAGCTGAAAAGACTGAGACTCGAACTTAAACAGGATGAAAAATGAACTGAAATATCAAAATTCTCTGACTTTCCTGACTAATTTTGACAAAATTTTCCTCATTATATTGGTCAAATTAGTTAGAATTAAGGGCTCAGTGCTGTCTCCTCTGCAAAAGGCAAAGTTCCCTGACCTCTAGCAAAATTTCCTGACTTTTCCAGTTTTACAGGACGTCTAACACCCTGTTGAAGTTAGCTGGTGTCCGTTGTTTTATACTGAACATTACTAGTTATCAATAGGTACTTGATAAAATTATCAAGCCTATCAATGCCCGCTATTGATTGAGTCTAAATGTTCAACTCAAATTTAATTTTCATTTTGGTTGATGCGCCCTTCAAGCAGTCATTTTTGACCTCAACTTCATAAGTTGACTCATGAATCCATCACTTCACGAATCAGAACATACACACACCTAGATCTAGGTGAATAGAAATAAAATGTAACTCAACGAAGACGATACCTTATCTGTTCCCATGGTTTCCAAGCTTGCATTCTCACTACTGATGACTGTATTTGCTGTCATAAGTTTGAATTTTTGTAACCTGAAGCAGAGAGAATTTTATCACGTTCTGTCAAAAATCGGAGAATCGTGGCATTGGTAGTAATCAAGTGCATTTAGTAGAATACTTCGTTACGTTGCCAGAAAATGTTGATTAATATGGGTAGAACAAGGCTTGGTATTTTACAAAAATGTTACACCTAGATTAGATTTTAAGTCCCTCAAAACGCCTATTCAGACTTAAAATTTTTCCCTGCAAGTAAGGTCAAATGCAACTTTACAAAATTAAGCCTGGAATACTCTCAGTCACAGAACCTTTCTTCGATATGTTCATACATTGAATGCTTCAATTTATTCCATTTATTAGCTTAGGATGTCTGATAATGCTCTTCACCTTCTGCTCTTGCTTGGAGAAGAGTACGAGATGTTAAAGTCTATATTGATGGTAGCAGAGGTATATTGACAGTACAACTCCTAAACCCTGTACCTCCTTTGAGGTGTTTGAAAATCTGCTTTCCTATGTTATTTTTTTACTTGAGAGCAAATCAACATCATTCATTGTAGTTTTTTCAGAATTTGCCTTGCGCAGAGAAAAAAAATCACAAGAGAATAATAATAATAATTGACATTTAGTGCTTATCCATTTAAAAAATAAAATATGACAGGCAGTCTGCAACAATGCAAACTGAGATAAGTGGTGCAGAAAATTCACCGTCGATATTCCATAGAACCTAGATTTCAAGTCCGTGGAGATCATCCATTACATCCCCAGCCTTGACCAGTAAAATGGAGGTGCGTTGAACGAACCTTCATTGAAAACTGTTTGTCTCTATAATATAAGTGCACTGCCTCCATTTTCCAAAAAATATGATTAAAAATAAATTAATTTCATGATTGAGGCCTAGATTATGAGGTCGTTTTTCAATGGGTCTGTTGAAAAATTTTGCTAGGGCGAAGACAAATGTTGCTGCGTGCAGAAAAAGCTCAAAAATCACCATCAGCACATCAAAAAAGTCTGAAGTTCACTCCTGGCATCACAACCTGTGCTCTATTAACTTCGCTCATCAATTATAGATTATGTCTGCCACAATATACTTTTGAAGAAGGAAGTTTCAAATTATGTATCTTTTTTACACAGATTATGAAGTTTGGAAATGATTGTGCACTTTCTGAATACACTCATTATGACGTTTCAGCAATTTTCCTTACAAAAAAAAACTTTTTTCTCTAGCAAAACTTTCCAACAGCCCCATTTGAAAAGAAGAGACATTTCAAATTCAGGTAAATAATAATGAACGAAACACTTACCCCATGATCTTTTCTTCTAAAGTAGCTCGCGTTATCAATCTATAAACATTCACTACTTTCTTTTGTCCTATACGGTGAGCTCGGTCCATTGCTTGTAAATCCTTCATTGGACTCCAATCATGCTCTACAAATATAACCTGAACAGAAGAGCACATAGAGAGGTGTAGAAACATGAGCAGACGAATAGGCAGAGCTGTATTCCTTTATGCATCTTGCCATCTCCCTGAGCCGATTTGTAACTTTTTGCTTCAGGAGATTCTAACATATCTAGGGGCAAGCTCCGCCACAGCATTGCTCTGCTAAACGATTTGTGTATTTGAGTAGCAATGACTATCGTAATGTACAACTTAATTTAAGAAACTAATCCATAACGTGTAGCAGCATTAATACTGAGTAATATGGCATCACATTTGTAAGGATTCATTGAAAGTTTACATGAGGAACCACTGTAAAGGACATTGCCCATTGGTTCAATGGGTGAGCAAGAGACAGCGTTAAAATATCTCTCTCTCAAATGATAGCATTTTCAGGAAAATGATTAATTCCAGATTACAATAAAAGATGGCAAAAAAAATTAGGAAGAAACAAAACAACTTACTGTGTCTGCTCCGGTAAGGTTCAAGCCTAGACCTCCAACCTGCGTTGTAAGAAGTAGAACATCAATAGAGGGGTCATTATTAAACCGCGTGACAAGTGAATGGCGCAACGAGTGAGGCACACTTCCGTCAAGCCTCAAATAAGAAACAGTTTTCATCGTTGTCTTGAAAAGGTCATTTTCAAGAATATCCAACATGGCTTTAAGCTGACAAAAAATGAGCGCTCGATGCTGATTGATGACTGGTGTTTCTGTGTTTCCAGCCGCTCCAATGCCACAGTCGAGCAGTAGCTGTTGCAAGGCTGGAAGTTTTGCTGCATGCTGGATGTCAGACAAACTTGAGTCCTGTTCACGCAGTTGAGAAGTGATCCGCTCATATTGTGGGTGCTCAGCAGACAGCACGAGTTTGGGGTGATTACAAACATTTTGCAAATAACGTAATGCTTGGAAGATATTGGAGTTGCGTTTAGAATCGATATGATTTGTGAGGGATTGATGAGCGTGAGACTTGGAGAAATCTTCATACAGTTGCATTTGAAGTGGGCTCAAATCGCAGTAGTAGTCCTGAAAAAATCATTCAAGATTAGTAGGAGAACTTTACAAGAAACTATGACTGCAGGAGATTCAAGAGGCAGGAGACATGGAGATTCAAGAGCTACACCATGGTGGGAAGAACAAAAAGCTTTCCTCTCGCACATTATTTCCCATCCAAAATTGTGAAAAAAAATCTCAGAACAGTGATATTTTAAAAAGTATCATTCCTAAAAATCCATTAAATGGATGGCTTTAACCAGAATTAACCTAATTGTGTTTTTCTTGCCTCATGTCCTTGCTTATTTTTTCATTTTTTCAGCCACAAAAAAATACTATAATATCTGAAACATTCCTTGAAAACCCCTAAATTTAAAAGAAAATTATCAGTAAATCTCAAGTGAAATGATTCTTAGTTTTCTGCCGAGCAAACAGGGCATGAAAGAAAATCAGTCATTGCTGAATGAGGGGTTGGACTGACAGTAGTTAAAGCTGTCCTGGTTTAGATTATTTAGAGCCCTGTACAGATTGCATGTCAATAGTTTTCACCATTCGCTCAAAAACTGAAAACATGCAGTACTTTAGAGACAACCTATGCAAGAAGAGAGCTTTAAATTAATACCAAATCTATCGTCCAATATAAGGCTACAGGAGATATTATGCGTTTTTAAAACTCCCTTAATAGATTGATCTCTTAAGTTGAATGATGTTCCTTTGACAGGTAATGATCAGTTCTGCTGAAGTTGAACAACGGGCACCTATTCTATCGATTTCTCCATATCAACAGAGATATTACTCAAAATCAGAGCAAAATCTGTTGTCGAACAGTATGTTAGGTAAAGAAGAACACTATTGGTGCTTCTATCCTTGTTGCTTGCAAGTGTTAGGAAATATCTGCGCAAAGTCTTTTGTATGTTTTGTGGCTTGAAGGAAAAATAAATGTCAAACACCCTGTCGGCATGTGTAAGAAACTCATGGGTTGAATTCCTACCAGCAATAAAATACAATGCAACTTTCTAGTGTGATCTCAAAGCACTTCAGAACAGAGCCTCTTTCAAAACGCCAATAGCATGAAGAATTGTTGCATACCTGAGTAATTTTAGGTGGGAGATCAGTGAGAACATCTTCTTTCATTCTGCGTAATACAAATGGAAGAACTTGGCGATGTAGAGCTTCCATGGCGAGAACACCTAGAGATGAGAGATTATAAAAAATATGAAGAGGTAAGAAACAAAGTAACTTTAACTATTATTACTGCAGGTGAGAAAATGCCACCTCATAGAATTACTTTTGTTTATGTTACAGTGCTGAGGTTCAGAACGAGTTTTGTAGGATTCTGCAGCTCAAATTCTCAGTAAAAAATTATTTAAAAATGTTCGATAAATCATGAATATGGACGAGAAAGGGTTTCATGAAATCATCTTTGTTATGTTTAAAGAGACAGACAAAAGACTGCGCAGGCAAACCATGCAACCTTTGGGAAAATACCATTGTACAAAGTCAACCGGCTGATGACTGAGGATTAGAACTGGAAAATTTCCTAAACAATTGCTTTGATTTTAATAAATGCAAATTATTTTTAATAGTTGACACCTTCCTAACACCTGATAGAGTTATGTGATGGTAAATGCAAAACTTATTACACACAGAGTGCTTTCTTTACTTAAATGCTAACCCAACAAAGGGCACAAAAATTATGGAGATCTTTACGCTTTGAATGGAAAGGATTTATCACAATATGTGTGGATTCAGTTCTTGGCATGTTCCGTTATGTAGACCTTGTTCAAACTCCTAAATGCTAGTTTATGAGACACTTTCATTCTGAAATAAGCATCTTGGTTTGATCAATATGCAATGATTTAAGATGTAACTCACCGGCTTCTTGTTCTTTGGCGGAGCTCTTGGCATCCCTGCTGGCTAAAATAGGACGACTGTAACGGGCATTGAACTGCTTCTCTGTACCAAGAAAGCCTGGCATAAGGAAGTCAAACAATGACCAAAGCTCCAGGACATTATTCTGGATTGGAGTTCCGGACAGAATTAGCCTGTGGTTTGCGTGCAGCTGCTTTATTGCTTTGGAGGACTGAAAAAAATTGGGGTTCATGAAAAAAGGGAATTTACAATTAGGAGAAGCTTGCTGAAAACTGTAATCCTAAATATATCACTGGATTGTTGTGAGGCTTATCGGACTGACAGATAAGGAAGAAAAAAGAAGGAGTATTTGAAATGTGCTGTGTAAAAAAGACAAAAAAAATTAAGTACCTGCAAAAGATAGAGGAAAAAAAAATTTCAAAAGAAAAGGAGACCAAAGAATACCTATACGGACAAAAAAAAGACCTTGCTGAGTAAAAAATTGTATTAAACAAATTGAATTTTTAAAACTGGTAACAGAGTGAAAAATGAAGAAGGAAAACTGAGGATAGAAAAATAGACAAGAATTTTTTCAACTAGAGGATGATGAAAGAAGCCCTCGGGAATTTCCGAACATATCAACGAGCTTGTCTTCCATCCAATTCTCAAGTTTTCTTCCAGTGGGTCGGTGGCACCCATTTTTTTAATTCATTTTCTGACCTGAGTTTCAAGAAATTTTTTTCGGATTAAATGGCAAAAAAGCCACATTTTGAAAACGCCAAAAATGGGACCAGTTTGAAAAAATATATTTGGCGGGCTCTGATGACATAGCCAGGAGGGGGAAACGGCGTTTGCTGATTGGCTTAACTCAGCTTCAGGCTTTGACTTGCAACGTCAACTTGACTGACCGCCTATGATGGGTTGGATAGCTTCGAATAGCTTCTTCTCTCCTTGGAAGTGCTTTTTTGAACTTTTTAATGAACATTTAAGGTTTTTTCACGAAATTTTACGAGGGAAAAACTGCACTATAATCCTATAAACATTGCCACTACCCCACTCTTGACAATAATGTTGCTATTCAACTTCCTTGTCTTACTGAAACTTGCTCTTGCTCTAACTTCATGTTTTGTTGCTATCTTCTGTGTTGCACACTTACAAGAGCAAGAATATCTGATACGGCTCAATTTCTCCCCTGTTGGAAAACTCCATTTGCATGTTCACTGCCTTGGATTCAAGCACAAACTGCGATAGCTTTGTAAAAAAAGGCAATAGACAGAAGAGAAGATATCCTGACTTCGGCAATGGTGAAACACTCTGTGGGACAATGAGAGTGATTTCCTGTTTGGCCAGGAGCTTGCAGCTCATCCTAGCAGGAATCAAGGACTTAAAAATTGCACAGTATAAGTGCCTGGCAATCAATATGTTAATTACAAGTGGACCACATTTTGCAATTAACAACCACCATTTCTGGCTCATTTTAGGAATGACATAGATGCCATTGCTTTCCCTGTGCCAAAAGGTGCTTTTGTGGAAGTCACAGATAATGATTCCTTATTGCAAAATGTAATAAGTGAGTCTCCATGTTTTGTAATAATGCTGATTATCCCTCCCACTTTTTCCCCCGAATTAGAAAAAAACTTACCTTTGTTTTTCCATTTTTTATGATGTGACCTTCATCCAAAATGCAATAGTTCCATTTGATAGAGGAGAAAAATTGAACATCTTTACGAACGATTTCATAGGACGCAACGATCAAGTTATGACTGTTGACCAGAGTGCGTAATCTATCAGAAACAATGAGGGGAATATAGATTAAACTCTGACAAGATATACTCTGAATATAATGATGAAGAGACTAAAACCATTGAGAGGAAGTTAAATGAACATACAGTGTCCAATCAATTCCATCATCATTCATTAATTTTTTCATACGGCAAGAGTTGGCTTAGATACCCTCCAATTTCAGACGCAGAATATGGACAAGATTTAAAATGATCATATTGGATGAATTAGTTGCGGTAGCATGTGGCCTCGAAGCGCCACAAAACACAAGAAAAAATTAATTTCATTTTTTAATATATTATGTACTGTAAAGCAAACAGGCAAGACTAATAGTGTGGCATATTTTACTCCTAGCTTCACTGTAACTTTGGAAATAAGTGCACTAATCTGCTATTCTAGATCTAGAGACAAGATGTATTCTCAAGCAAAAACTACCCAGTTTGCAAGCCCAGTCTGATGCTACTAAGATGAAAATATGCTAAGCTCCAGCTACGGAAATTCTCTTGTTTAGGAGGGGACTTGCGTAGAAAAATTAGAAGAGTATTGATGCTAAAGTCTACCTCTCTCTTTCCTGAGGAGGGCCTCCATAAAGAAGCGGATTTAGATATTTTCTTGATACAAATTTATCGACTTCATAAACCCAATGTCCAGTTAAGGTGGGTGGACAAATAACAAGAGATGGCAAAGGAGCACAATCGGCACTTTTCTTCAACTGTAATCATAAGAAAATAGAGATATAATTAATCTTTTTGGCAAACAATACTTGCATTTAGAAATAACATATGAATCAAAACAGACGATTTAGTTCTGCCTAAATGGTAGGGGAAAAATTTGAAAAATTCCTCTGTAAGAATGCGTGTTAACACGTCCACGGCCAAATTGTTTTTACAAAATTGTTCCTGTAGGATTCAAAAAACATGCAAAAAAACAGTAAGACTGAAATGCTTAAAACTACAGTTGTCACCGATTGCCACAACTCTGGGACTTCTGATAGTTACATACATAGCTAGAGCGGTATGATAAATTCCTTTGAGTACCTGCAGACATTGTGCTATAGCATGAAGAGAATGCGCTGTCCAAAAGACTGTTTTCATCATTATAACTATTTCAGCTCAGAGCGACCAATGGAGAAACAGTCATTATGGCTACTTTGATAGTCAACGTGTTTAACTACATATACAACCATGATTCATCCACGATGGAATGTAATATATGGGCCTATTCCTTCACTAAGGTGGCATCTGAACTTTGAAATGAAGCACAATCATGAAAAAACGATTTGCTTGTATCTAGAAAGTGTTTACCTTATAGTGTTCACTTCGAGTATAGTGGTCACCCGCAAGAATGCATATTGATTGCAAAGTTTTTCCCAAGCCCATGTCATCACAAAGAATTCCATGCAACTTGTATCTGTTCAAGAATGCTAACCAATTGACTCCAGCCTGGAAAACGCAAAAAGTAATTTGGATGAATCAATAACCTCCTTGACTAGTAGTGCCAACTGTGCTGCAAATTACACTACGGGCAAAGAAAACTCTTCTATCTTCATGCCATTTCAACGGATGACTGACATCTTAAGAAAGAACATAATCTTAATAAATAAATAGAATAAAGGAAGAAATAAATTAGTTTGCGGTGATGATATTCTCACCGGCATTTTGTGAGAAGAGATCTGTAATTGATTTGACCACTGTAAAACATTATTCAATTATGCTAAATTGTAATTAGGATATGGATCTTCCTCTGAACATTTGATAAATCAGCCGTCGCAGTCCTCTAAAGGTTCAAAAAACCTTCCATGGACAAGATTATCTTTTCGGCTATATTATGATGCATTTGCGGTGATGTATAAGTGTTTAATCCTTAGATTCCTCAAATTACAAGCCTAGATATCTATTTGAGTTTAGATAGCAAGAAGGAGGGGGGGACGGAAAAGAATGATAATGTGCATTTGAGTGCCTGGAGAGTATGCACATTTTTCAAGTTTTACAGATAAGACACGCTCCTTTTATGAGCCTTAGGAATTAGGTGTGAAAATGTGGCTTATCTGCAGACACCTAGGGTATTTCACAACAATTTATCAGTTGATCTTTTCATTTCATGAAGATTCTTAAAGATAAAATGTAACTTGTACCTGTTGGTATGACCTCAGCTGGCAGTTAATTTTCACAGGGATTTCATAATTTGGAATAGTCTTGGGATTGAAAAGATGTTCCAAAAACAATCGTTCTTGTTCTTTTTGAGCAAAAAGGTCTTCAGAAAAGCCAGCTGAACTAAAAGCTCCTCCATCTAAAGGCATCAGCTGGATTAGCGTTGCAAAACAATCCGTTGCCAAAAGCCGTACATGCTGAAGCTGATCGCTCATCCGACCTGTGAAGAAACGAGGTCTGATTAAAATCAATCAGGTTTGTGAAAGAGAGGAGGAACAACCCTAACTTCCAATGAGAAAAAAACCTGGATACTTCAAAGAAAAGGAAAAAGAGATACCTTTCTTCCCATAAAATAGAAAGTGTAAACAAGTAACTGTCCCGGCTAGAGAAGGACGTAAAAGCCTCGACAATGTATGGATGAGCTCAAATTTTGATTATATTCTTCCTTCTACGCAAGTTAAGAAGATAAGCATCTTTCCAGCAAGATTCTAACAGATTGATCTCCTCCAGAAATGGATAGTTGAATATGTGGCATTTAAGATTTGCTCGAATCACCTAACAAACTAAAACTATAGTTAATCTTATAATTTAATTGCAATTTCCAGTTACAATAGCTTATGGATTCAATACACAGCATAATAGAAAGAATAATGAAACGGGGGAATCGCTTTTAAATTTAGTAATCTAATTATAAGGAATAGTAGATAAGTACTGGTTTTAAGTAGTAAGATAGACTCCAATTTATTGTCCTGAATTTATTGTACTTTTACAAATAAACTAAATTTAACAAGGACAAAACAAACAAAAAACCTAACAAAAAATATTACTATTTATTATATATATATATTTATTTATTAGATAACCATAATATAATCTTCCTTTCAAGCTTAATAACAGTGAATCAATGAGGTTGGTGAATTGATTGAACTAACAAAGAATACCTTTCCTCATCGCTCATTTCAGTGCTAAAAAGTTTTCTACACGACGTTGCTGCCATTACAGCAATGAATAAATTAATACTAGGGCTCAAAATCAGTAAAGGGGAGGATGAGGAGAGCCAAGAAAAAAAAGAAAACTTACCAAGTAAAGGAACAATTAAGAATACAATGTACGGTATGATCTCAAATTGCATTTTTTCAAGTATGCATGCAATGGCTTCAATGGCACCCTCTCTTTTACTATCACAGTCTGATGCTCCTAAGTAGAGAAGAACTTTATTGATCACATCCTTCATAACGAGGCTTGAATCAATTTTCGATAAAGCTGCCAAACATCTTGAAGCTAGATGTCGAACAGCCGAGTAAGGGTGAGTGATTAGCAGGCAAATATGAGGCAGCAATGTTTTAACCTGGTAAAGCAAATGAGACACTTTAAAATATATATATTTCATTTATTAAGTAACTAGCACCTTTGTATGTAATACCTATAAAGATTAACTAATTTTTAAGTCAGATCTATATCTAAGCTAGTTTTACATTATAGAATGAAGTATTTTTTTATCCTAATCAATAAGTTGTACATTTATTGAACAATAAAAAAAAGAAGAAAAAAAGAAAAAAAAACCATTTGAAATAATAACAACAAAACTAGGGACAGGAAAGGGCAGACTTCATTTAATTCATCCACCATTTTACACTTCCAATTTGAAGCAGAGAACAGTATACACTTACATACTAAGCTTTTTTATTAAAGCTGAGAGATTTCATAAAGGAGTTTTCATGCTGGATTAATGACAAAATGACGATTTTAGTCTACAACACAAAAAGTAGTGCCTGCGGAGTGGAGTCAACTCTATTTATTTTTATTAAAGATTGATTAGCCCTCGTCTTTTGAATATACCAATGTGCGTGCGTCTTAATTCAGTTCAATTTTTACTTATCATTATTCATTATCATTATCATTATTCACAGAGTATTCTTATTTAGATGGAACATCCCATTTTATAAAAGTTTTCACTTCAGAGATTTGCTATTTGGTGCGGCATTGGTTTTTACATCAGAGCAGCAACTATAGACGTGTTTTTGGTCTGGTTAGACCTATCAATCTGAGAGGAAATTTTCTGAATAAGTCTCAGGAAACGTGTTCTCACTAGAAAAAAATAACCTGTCTACAGTTCAGTTCTAAATGTAAAGACTCGACAGGCTTCATGAAATAGAGAATCTCACCTCTGACAAAAGCGATGCATCAACAGAGCCAATCGTTACTTCCAACACTTGGAGGCTGGTGATTAGAGTTTCAGCAGAAGCATTGTTCTTCACAAAGGTACCAGCATCTGTGTACAAAATAGGCAGAGAAATAGATACAAAAAATTTCGAAATTTCTCATGAATCTAAAAATCATTGGATTCAGGGACAAGGATATCTTGTGTTAATAGTGTAATCTATATTCAGATATAGAATTTGTGTGCAATTTGTCATTCTAAAATATTTGGGGCTAACTGAACATAAATTTAAAATTGATATGTAACTGGACAAAATAATGGAATGAAGTAAAAAAAAAAGATATATGCCTACCCACAAATTTAAAATAATCAGTGCAAGAGGAAATTAAGTTTGCTGGATTTGAAATGTTTACTTTGGCGCTTATTAGGGATGAAATTACTAAGGTGATGATACTTGAAGTTTTGATGAGTATCTAATATAATTTTTTTTAAGACTTAACTTCTTTGTATAAAAGGTGAACTCATCATTTTTGGTTTATTAACCAATCTCCTACTCTGAAAATAGTTTTCTCCAAGATTGCTAAGTGATTAAGAACATACTCATAAAAGGACCCTACAACAAAACGGCCAAATCGGCCTAAACACGGAATCGTACGATTTTCTCAGGGATGATAGAGGGTCTTCCCAGACACTCAAAACTGGTCATATTTTTTGCCTAACCCCCAGGGAAAAGGGGGGAGAGGGGGTCAAAGTCAAAACCTTTAAATTAGCATAACTTCTCAACGGTTTGTCGTAGAAAGATGATCTTGGTGTCAAAATTTCCAGAAAAATGAGAGCTTTCAGAATATATGTATGAAGTTAATTAAATTTTAAAATTTGACCCACTTTTGGGGCATTTTACAAGGTCCCCCTTTCGTAAATTTTCGTTTTTTGAGATTTTCGGTTGTTCGGTTCGCACGGATCAAAACAAAAACAATTTCAAATAAAAGTAGAGCGTTTAAGCTTTAAAACAAGCCCAAGATGATCTTGGGGAAACGATTAGAAGCGGAGTTATGAGTCTTCAAAGTTGACGCGGCGCGCGGGAACCTTGTATGTTCCGAGTCTCAAGGTCACCTGCGCGCCCCGGATTGCCTGCAGGTTGCAAGTTTTTGTGTTTTTATGCTCCTGTAGGTCATTTTTAATGTAAATCATTCAATGATGATAGAATAATCGAAATTTTTTAATTTTACGGGAGGAGCGAGAGGGGGCTTAGAGTATCAACCATTATGTCCATCATACCTCATTAAACATTTGCTGACGATGACGATTCTGCTCTCATAATTTAGAAGAAACCATGGACCCTTAGTTCAAATATACATATGCTCCATACAGAACTGAACCATTTAGAAATTATAACCCATCGATGCCAAATTTTGGGGTACCCCCAATTTTAAAATTTTTTAATTGAGCTATAAGCTACAGCGCTTGACGGAACTCACTTGGTAAAGCCAAATAGTTTCTCGTCGAAGCAGACGAGCTTTGAGCTTCAAAACAAGTCTCAGTTATTCTTGAGGGGGCTATTTGAAATGCAGTTAAAATTTTTTGACGTTAATGTGGTGTACCTCGCCGAAGGCCCATTGTGTAAAATTAAAAAATTCTGATTAAACTATCTTCATTGAATGATTTACGTTAAAAATGACCTACAGGAGCATAAAAACACAAAAACTTGCAACCTGCAGGCAATCCGGGGCGCGCAGGTGACCTTGAGACTCGGAACATACAAGGTTCCCGCGCGCCGCGTCAACTTTGAAGACTCATAACTCCGCTTCTAATCGTTTCCCCAAGATCATCTTGGGCTTGTTTTAAAGCTTAAACGCTCTACTTTTATTTGAAATTGTTTTTGTTTTGATCTGTGCGAACCGAACAACCGAAAATCTCAAAAAACGAAAATTTACGAAAGGGGGACCTTGTAAAATGCCCCAAAAGTGGGTCAAATTTTAAAATTTAATTAACTTCATACATATATTCTGAAAGCTCTCATTTTTCTGGAAATTTTGACACCAAGATCATCTTTCTACGACAAACCGTTGAGAAGTTATGCTAATTTAAAGGTTTTGACTTTGACCCCCTCTCCCCCCTTTTCCCTGGGGGTTAGGCAAAAAATATGACCAGTTTTGAGTGTCTGGGAAGACCCTCTATCATCCCTGAGAAAATCGTACGATTCCGTGTTTAGGCCGATTTGGCCGTTTTGTTGTAGGGTCCTTTCAGAGTAGAATGTTTCAAACTTCCCTAAGGAGAGTAAGAAAAGAAAGCGAGGGCTCAAGAAGAAAATTAGGCAATATGTAATTGGGAATCAAAGTTTCCCAACAAAGTCAAGGGCCAGGAATGGGACAGCTCCAAGATATTATTGGGAAGTTATGGGTGGTTATTCAAAGAGTGAGTGATTACCATGTGTACATAAATGCATGTGTATGTGTTTGGTAGTCAAATTTTCCTGGAAAAGTAGGTTTTAGCCAGAAAAAGTTCTTATTCCCAGGAATAGGCAAGTTCCTTGGATGCTGCTTCCGTCGAGCAAGCACAGCAGTTAAGACTGATTCAAGTTGAGGTTTTTGCAACAAAGGCTGCAGTGATCTCAGATGGTAGTCTACCATCGATTTGATTTTTGCAACATACTTGTGATCACAAGTTTCTTTTGGGGGATTGTTTTTTCTTACAGGGGAAATCCAGTAAAATACTTGAGCAAATTGGTACATCTGCTCTTTTGTAAAACAAGAATTGGTCAATAGAAATTTGCCAACAGCAGATGTCACTTGATTCCTTTGTGAGAAACTCTGTCCATTTAATTCTGAGACTAAACATTTGTTGAATTTGTTGGAGTCAAACATTTACGACGCACTAAGTTGGAGCTGAACCTCTTAGCACTAAGGTGCTTGAAATTTTTGGAAAAATTGAGGTATCAGTAATTTTGGACAAAGTTCGTTTCAAGGTAGACTTTGCTAAAAAATTCAATTTTAAAACTTAGGTAATGTTCAACCTTGCGACACCAATTGAAATTTTTTATGAGCCTTTAGACCTTTTGTGATTTTCAGAAATGAAACTTGTTTGGCTTGAAATCTCAAAATGCTACTTACCTCCTTCATTTATCACAGGCTTCAATTATTAAGTGCTGAATTTATTTAAAAAATCAAAAATATACTGACCAAAATTACTTAAGTCTATGGTACTCTTCACTACAACCACCATAATCTCCCACAAATCAGGCAAATTTTTTGGCAGTTCGGCACCGAAGTGAGAGACTATTGCATTAAAAGCGTAACTCGCGCCACGTTGCTGGATTTGATTTTGTTTCTGAGTCTGTGAATATAAAAAAATAAGAACATTGAAGCATCAAGCCATAGTGAAAAGTAACAAGAATAAAAAAAAGAGGGGAAAACAGCAGAAATTCTAATTGCAAAAATGTGTATAAAGTTCTCTAGGGCAGATCTCATAATAAAATATGTTTCGCAACAAGAGAAGTAAATTTTTAACCCTGAATAAGGTACCGTACTATGAAAGCAAACTCCACTTTCACCTGCAGTCTGTTGCTATAAAGGTTTGCTGATGACAGCTCTAAGATACCATAAAAGATTAAAGTGTCATCATGATAAGTTTTTAAATCTTTAGGGGCTGTTTAGAATTTTTAGGGGGGCTAATTTTTGGATTGAAAAAAAATTTCATCCATCAGCACATGCAATTAAAGACAACTTGGTCTTACCATAATTAAGTACATGGACTTAAAATAAAGCATTTGAGAATTTAAAAAAACTTGTGCATAGTTAAATAAACGTGTAATGACCCTAACACTTGCATGAGATGCCAAGTTACCTGAAAACTATACATGTACATCAATCAATTTATACCCATTCACCAAGCCACTTGAAGATAAGTGCCACTATGAAGTAAGCATGAGGACATCGCACTTATGACTCCCAAATTACTAAAAGGAACTTTCGTATCATTATCATCCCACAGAGTAGGTTTTCAAAGGGTCAACAAAAATTGATGACAAAATTCAAATTATATCTTGCCAGTGATTCTTTTAATCATTTTAACTAAACAAAATTACCTCATCATCTGCAGTGAGAAGTTGATTCAGCGGTATATCAGTTTTCGGAGGTCTTCCAGGTCCAGCACCTGTGCCGCCACAGGAGCCTTTTAAAACCGTCTTTTCAGCCATCTACAAGGAACATCAAGCGGAAGCTTTAGTCATAACCCTGTATTAAACATTGAGCGGATCTTTGTTCTCCGTTTATGGCTTGATCTCTCTCAGCCTAGCCTATAACCTCATGCTGATTGACAGTAAACAGCAATGCTGCCATGTATTCCTGCACTATAGATTCTGCCACCATATTGACCATGACACGTCAACTCAAAAGCAATGAAAAAGAAAAACTCAAGTTGTGGAAAATGTGTGCAAGATGAGTTCCTCTTTCAGTAAACCAGACTCGTTAGGAGTTTCTCGGATAAAAAGCAATTTCCTTGCAAATCTCTCCGCAAATTTAAAAAATTTCAGTTCTATGAAAAGCTCTATGTATAATAAACAAATCGCTTCTTATAAATTTGATTCATCTCTTTGGGGTATGGACTATGTAATCTTACTTTTGGCGGACTCATACTTTAAAAAATGTTGAGCAAATTAGATCTAAATGAGAAGTGAAATAAAATCAGTCAAACAAGAAAATTCTCTTCATTCAAAAGAGAGACTAAGAGTCCAAGTAATTCTTCCTCCATAAAAGTGATTTTACAGCTTAGTACCTTCTGACGATTAACAAGAGAAATGATGCCATGGTAATTTTGATTAGAAATGGGGGAGGAGTTGACTCCTAATTCTACACTGTTGCTCAAATCACCATCATTACAGTTTCTTGTTGTCTTGTTGCTGTTTTTGTCCGGCTGAAACAAATTAATGGAATTTTCAGGATATTGGAAGAAAAGAGAAATTTGCAAAAGTTTACACTTAACTCAGAAAATCTCAGTCGAATGTGAAATGTTATAGAACTACGAAATAGTACATTTACCTTGGAAAAATACATTTTAATAAAATAATTTTGAGAAAAAAGAATTTAAGGTTTTTATTTTGCCTTGATAGGAACTCAGAAATGTCAGAACTGAGTATAACTTCACAGCCTCTTTCAGCGCTGAAATTAAATAAATCCAAATTTTATTCTTAGCATCTACAGAATATTTCCCCTGGAATCATCAAGTATATACTCAAGCTTCTACCCAAATTGATGAAAGAATACTCTCCAGAAAAAAATCGTTTTACAGAGTTAGAGTCCTTTTATATTTAAAGATGGAATAATATCCTCAATAACTTGGATGTCAAGAGAGAAAAAAATTAAAACTTACGTAAATTTGAGGGGTGAATTCAGGGTCAGAGCAGAGTAAAGCACACAAATTAGTGATGATTTTAGTGTTGGGGCAAGGTTGGCGTTGAGTACACAGCTCCATCAGTTGTGAGAGATGCAAGGCAGCTAAATGCTGAAAAGGACAATTTGACAAATATGAGATAATAATTTCATATTCAGAGCTACAAAAATAAATTGCAACAAAGAGTGTTTTCCGAGATCCAGAGATAAAATGCTTTCTTTCACTCAACTAATGGTGAAACATTTCACCTGTTCGCACAATGGGTACCTTCTAATATAGTTAACTAGGATTCAAATTTTATCATTTGTTCGAAAAATTGCATGGTTCATAAAGGAAGAAGAGAGAACGGAGCCGCAGGTCATCACATCCAAGGCAATAGAGCGAAGAGTATTCGGAAAAACTAAAGAGAACAGCAAAGCAATATCATAATGTGAAGCACTATTTGATGAGGTACTATCGAAGTTTGAGGTTTTTCATAAAAATGTTGTAAATACATCCTTAAATCATATAAAAATAGTCAGAGATAAAGGCAATTGCAAAGCTCTTGTCTGCTCACCCATCCCAGTCTAATTCTCCAGACTGAAATTCTATAGACATGCTTCAGTCTTTTTCCTCCAGTTTTTTTAGTCATTCAGTTTTGACAAAGCTTAAGGATATTGCTTGAGGTATGAAAGCAGTGGCTCATTTGACTTATTTCTCGATGTGTCAGTGGGGATGTTCAAACAAATCCTTGTCAGTTAGCTTTCGATTACTGCTTATTTTGATATACCAATAAACTTCAATAAGGCTACTCTAGCCAGAAACAGGCAGCTTTAATGGAGCTGTACAACATCTGAGTTGAAGCATTGTTGCCTTGCATATCTATTCATTGGGTTGCTTGGCCCAAAATAGTGATGAATATTACAGTAATTCATTGTCGCTAGCTTCAAAAACTCCGAAAATTAAGGGTCCTCTTATCTTTACAACTTCTTAAAAGAACTATTATGCTCATAGCTTATCGAAAACCTGTAGGACAACCCTGTGTGCCAGCACTAGGGTTGGAATATGCATTGCTCTTTTTGATGCATTAAACAAAATTGGTATGAATAATTACTTACTTGCAGGTGTTCGTTTTTCTCTTTCTTGATTGATTCCATGAGAGGCTTAATGACAGGGTTCAGTTTTTCTGGTAAACATTTGAGCATTAAAACTGCTCCAGCAAGGGCAGCTTGCGTTCTGTCAAGAATTAAAAGAAAAAGCTACTTTTAAGGGTCCTAATAGTGAAAATTTAAATCATGTAGATAGATACGAGAAAATACTTGTAGTAGTTACGTTGTATTTGAATAAAATTGCTTCTTCAAAAAAAAAAAAAAAAAAAAAAAAAAAAAAAAAAAAAAAAAAGTGAAAAGTGGTGAGAAAAAATACACTTGCTCCTGTTATTCAATGCTCACGAACTATATGAGAACTGAGAAAAACCTTAGGACGTACAATGAGTGTCATTTTAGTAGGAGCAAAGACACAGAAAAAGGGACATGAAGAAGATAGATCTTTCGATAATTATAGCTCATGCTGACTTGAAAAAATAAAATACTAGTATTTCGGAGAAATGGTCTTGTAAATTTTGGAGTATGATTGAACACACTGTGAGATTTTTTGTTCTAAAAAATGAATCAAATACTATCAAATAAATTGCAAGAAGAGTGAACTTTTTTCAAAGAGGTTGATGCAGAAACGACCATTTTCCTTCCAGCCTGGATTTGCTTGATTTTTGGTACATTGGAAGAGAGTGTATAATGGGAATCTTTTTCAAAAACAGCCACTAAAAAGAAGCTCTTTAATTTTTTGGTAGAGGTATAGATAAATCAGTTTGAGGTCTTTCCATTAAGAAAAGTTTAACTTAATCTAATGATCCGTACATAGTTGTAGGCAGTTGAAGGTTCCACCTTTGATGCAGTACTCCCATCTATGAAGGAGGAGGGGGGCTGAACCAAAAGTCTGCCATATTTCAATGTCTCACATACTACTACCTAAATCATCCCTGAAAAGATGAATCGTATCTAAAGGAGCCAAATCTAATGAGACAACGTCCTTCTAGATTTGTTTACCCATTCTCTGAAAAGATGTGCTCTTCTCCTGTAGTGGGTTTAAGTATAAATATTTATACATTATGTGTTCAAATAAATTTTGTGATTTAATTTGAACGGAAGAACAAAAAAAAATAGAAAAAAAGAGTTGAAAAATTAAGTTATTCATGCGTAGGCATGGAATGGTCTATGATTATTGTCTAATACAATATGAAGACAATAAATTAGTGCTTGAACTTTGTCTTCTAAAACCTGATGATGTGAAGGAAAAATGAAGTCAGCTTAAATTATTTCCAGGTATTTTTAAGTATGTTAGTTTTAAAATTGGTAATTTTGAGAAAACATACATCAAAAATAGTTTCCTACACTGCGTACTGAAAGGAGATCTTCTGAAACGTTGAACTACACTTGTTTTATGTGCACATGTTAATTATGCATGTTTCATTACGCAATAAACTAGTGATTTTTTCCAGCCTCTCAAAAGTCTTGCAACTTCATATTTTGCTTAAAATCAAACTTGATTCTTGAAAAAGTGTATTTAATTTAAAAAAATAACATACCTCACAAGATGTTTTGACTGCTCTGCACTAATTTGAAAAGCGTTCATTTGTACAGACTTTCTTCTGTCTTCTAAAACATCTAAAATCTGTTTCTTCTTCAATGATTTAATCAAATCCTGCATGTTTGAGTTAGTCAGTTGTTGAATTTGATCTAATGTTAATACCTACACAAATTTCAACCTTTGAAGTAAAATCATATTGACAGCTAAGAAGAAGCAAAAAGTACTGGACTTAAAAGCAGATACACATGAATGATCGCATCTTATACCCTCTTGCCATTGTGCAGCACCAGTTACATTTTAAGTTCATTTAAATTGCAAGACAAAGAATGTACTGTCTGTGCATCTTGAGTCTCGAAATGATGGCTCAAATTTAAATGCGACCATCTGCCTTGCTAGACACTAGGAAGACAGTGAAACGCCTCCAATCCTCTCCAAAGACACTAAAAATGGATTTTTTGTATTAAACCTGATGTTCATAACACTGATACTTGCATTGACAAAACATGCAATTTTCATTAATAAGAACCATGAAATCTTCCCTAGATTCAAGCAGTAAAAAGTTAATACAGGAGGGGAGGGTATTACAGTTGTTTGCAAAAACTAATGCATGTTATGAAGCTGATGATACAGCTGATAGAATCTTTCTCATAAATTTCTTCCATCTATTCTAGTTCATGAGATAATAAGAAGGAATCTCATTCTTAAACGTGCCCTCATACAAAAATTATTAATCTCTCCTATACTCAAAGGACCCTGCAAACCTCTTATGGAGATGTTTGCCATGATCGGCATCCCATTTTTTTATGGCATTCAACACCTGTATGGATGCTGATCAAAAATCATCAATGCGCCAACTTTCTACGAGCTATTGTTTTTGCACAATCTCAGGTTGAATTTTTAATAATTCCTTGAATAGAAGGAGACAGCGTGGCAATAGAGTGTCAAAGCGACTCCTCTTACTTTCAACACTGGAGAACGGTCTGGATACAAACAACGAAAAACCCGGCCAGTGAGAGGTAAGGAAGACAGTGGGAGAAAGAGAAACTTATTTATATGGTTGAGCAAAAAAGTGTGTAGAATCCGGGATAAGACTGCCACACGGTTTTCCTGATTTTTTTGTTGACACACAGCCAACTGTACTTGAGTGTGCTGAAATGAAGGATCTCTTTGACTCTGTAACACTGCGCTGTTTCCTATTAGTCAAGGAATTATCGAAACTTCAGCTGCAGATTGTGTGAAAACGGAGGCTCGTAAAAAGTTGGTGCAATGATGACTTTTGATCAGCATCCATAGATGAATTGAATGCAATAAAAAAAATGGGAAGTCGATCATGGCACCCATCCCCATAAGAGGTTTGCAGGGTCCTTTTTTTTGTATACTAATTTTTTCTTTAATTATGCTTGGTTTCATATTGCTTCCATGAGTTTCATTCTACGGAGCACTGGAATTTAAGGAAGAGCTGACTTACCTTTCCGTACTGAGAATCATCGAAAGACAGGCCATGATGTTTCAGCATTGAGATGAGATCTCTTACTTCTTGCAGAAGCTTGGTATAAGAGGAGGCTATTTCATCAAAGAAAAGCCCCTCATTCAAGCAGAAAAGAAGCCTATCTTTAAGAAGAGGGGGGCAAGGAGACGGAGCAGCCAAACGTGCCCACTCAGCCACGACAAGTCCAATTACGGTTCGTTGCAAAGCTGACTTTGAATTTAGATAGACTAGAAGCACTTTGATGAAGCAATTGATTGGGGACTCTGACTCTTCATCATAAATCACGCCTGGGGCTGGTTTTACCAGATGAACAGAGAGTGCACCTAAAATTAAAATCAATCACTCGAGTTAAGTAGCTTGTACATTGTAAAAGGCCAACAATTCCTGCGATAATAAAGAGGGAAATACCTATAAGGTGGTTTTGGTCTTGCCCCCAAGTGGAGCAAAGGACTAATGTGTTGTAAGTATGAGATTGCACAGTGGTTTGATGTTTAAGTCATCAATCAACCAACTTAAAATGAAGTTTGCTAGATAGAGTTTGACACATGTACTGATGTGGAGTACTGAAAATATCTTGATTTTGACTAAGTCCATACGAATCTAAAATTTACTGGTCTTACCTAGCATTTTGGAGGCCATGAATCTGGCTTTCATTGCATTGATTTCTCGAATATTCGATGGGACGATTTCAGCGCCACCAATAAAGAGCTTCAGTTCGATTGAGCTACTGCTTGTGTCAGCTAGAGCATTCAAGCCTAAACTACGACGATATTTGGGATCCTGGAATGAAAATTTTATAAAACTATACTTGCACTTGCTTACAAAACACGGAAAACAAAGAAAAAGAAGCAAAGAGAATAATGCAAATTGATTCTTATTTTAACTTTACCAACTTAATTTTTGGAAATAGAATCATAATTAAAACTGTTTTCTAATTTTTTTTTTTTTTTAAATGATAACAGCTGCCATAATTTAGAAACAGATGAAATAGGAAAGCATTAAACATAAAAGCATGATATGTAAAAAATAAAATTTGAGGAAAATTAACAATTTGGAGAGATTTATAAATACTGTAATGGACCACTAGACAAGGGACGAATTTAAGCAATCTGATACATGTGCCTTAATTTCACTTAGAACACGATTCGCGCAACAAAAATTACTGAAACTAACTCCTAACGAAGATATTAACGTTTTTATTTCACACTGGCTACGAGGAATTTGAACTGCCTGCTCACAAGAAACTCAAAGCTCTACGTGCGTCAAATCGCGCACTATAGCGGTTTCATCAAGCTTCTCAATCGAGCAATGTTCATTTCCCACCATGTGTTGCTCAAACTATAAGCAATTTGCTATAGCTGAGCCAAAGCGTCAAAATTGAGGTTGCCAGATTTTTACATTGCAGAGACTTTCATGATAATGTTTAGCGCGCGATGTGAATCACATAGAGCATTGAGTTTTCATGAGCGGATGGTTTGAATTCACGCATCAAGAATCATTAAATATCTTTGTAAGGAGTTGATATCGGTAATTTTTGTTTTGCGCATCAAGTTTTATGTAAAATTTTGGTTAAGGAACAAGTATCAGAATGCTGAAATTCGTACCTTGTCTAGTGGTCCATTGAATCAGTGAGAACGAAAACACACTAACTCGAAAAAATGAAAATAATCAAGACACACACAAAACTGCACAGTGGGTGAAGAAGTCAGCCTAGGAAAAATATTTTTGGTGCCGAAGGACAAGCACTTAAGGACATTTTAAAGGTATAAGCTGGAATAGATGAGCTAACTTAAATGACCTTTATGAAAATTGACTGCCTTTAATGAAAATTGAGCATTTTCGAGTTATGGAGTTGGTGTGTTTCCATTCTCACTGATCAATTAAGAACCCATTTTTTGTATTCGGCCATCGATGTGAGACCTTGCACAGGAGAAGGGACTTAAATACAGAAAAACTCGAATTTGAGATATTGATGTAACCATTTAAAGGACATTTTGCAAACATTTTGGCATAAAAAACGCTGGAAAGTGTCAAATTCTACCAGAGTTATGACATTTGAATTAGGCAGTTTGAAGAAAGCAGCTCTAAAAAAATCAGTTTGGAGTGTAAATCCACCAACCAAATGCATAGCTCAAAATTTTTTGGTAAAAATGCAAAGTTATGCCTTCTGTTGATAGTATAATGGAATACACTACTTAGAACTTAATATTTCAGATAATAAATGGCAAACATTTCGATGACCGAAATCATAGCCAAATAAAGCAAAAACTACTGTTCTAAAAAAATCGCTTCCATGGGTGGTCTAGCACAGTAATATCCCTTGCAAAGCAACGTAATTTCTTCAACTTTCATTTCCTAAAAGAATTTGGTTGAAGAAAACTTGGAGAATAAAATTTCACTCAATTGTGCAATGTATGAAGGTTTTTAAACTACTTACTTTGAGCTCAAATTGATTAGCCTTAATCAAGAGAGAGGAATCAAACGGAATTTTGGAGGGCTGTACGGCAAGACAGAGCCAAGAGCTCAGGTAAGGACAAGCTGCGACTAGAAGAGTTTCCAATTTACTTAAGTTGACTAGATTATCCCAGACCTAATAGGAACAAAAATTGCCCGATATGTTGAAAGACTGCTATATAGTCAAGAAACAAGAGGTAAGTAAAGGGAAAAATTTTAAAGCAATGTTCAGATTTTGACTTCCAAAAACAAATTGCTTAATATGATAGATTAAATATACATGAAATGTAGTTCCAATTGCATCGAGTTTTGCAAAACCATGCCATGTTCATTTTCCCCCTCTTAATTAATTTCTGAGACGTTTCTTTTACTAAATGCTCTAATGCAAAAGACTTATATGCAAAAGCAATAAAAGCTCGTATTCAAAAGGATTTTATTAGCATGACACATTTTAGATCCTATGAACCATTATCTTAGAGCAAAGAAGAAAACTTATGGAAGTTTTTAAGAGTTGATGTCGAGTAACTTTCCATTTAAAAATAAAGTATGACGGGAAGTCTACGACGTCACAAACTTAAAAACGTGGTTTGGAAATTTCACATTCAATATTGCCTTTATAAAACTTCTTTCATCATGTAACACAGGAGAGTTAATTTGAATTTACTTGAGTTTTAGATCAATTATCAAAGGGAAGTTCGCTACTGGTGCTGCAAATCTATGAGATCAATCATTTTAGGTGCATCTGCATGGTATCCAAAGACACATTTTCCCCATCTAAAATTTTATTCTGTGGCTAACTCACACGGTGACTTTCACCCCCTTTGAGAAAAGAAATTCAAGGTGAGATGGGACTGCTACTTTTTGCTGCACTCTCAGGTGGGACTGCTAGGTAAGCATGAGAATCATCAACTTCATTTTTAGCCATCACATATTACTCTTCTAAATACTGCAATAAGGTATTTAAAAAGCAACAAACTTCAGTCAACATATGATTTTGAATGGTTGTTTTGCCTGTTCAATTTGCATGTGGTTTAATTAATAAGCAAACAATAAACAAATATATTTATTTTCTGGATTTTATGTTAAAAAATACTGTATTTTCTTCAGAAAATACACTAAAAACCACAGAGGAATTCAGACTTACTTTTAGAACGATTTCTTGAATGTGAGGTAGATGTTCCACTAAGCAGCGTTGAAAAATCTGCCGTAAAGAATCTTGTAACAAAGGTGAATCCCAGCAAGCGAGGTAGTCGGATGAGCAGGTTAACGTGTAAAATGTTTGCAGAGTGGCTTTCCGTACAGAAGAAGAATTATGAGACAAAAATGGCCAAAGCCTAGGAATAACTTCTACAAGTGTTTCATTTCTAGAACAAGACGAGAAGAATGTTCGGGTTAGTCCAAAAGTAGAACAATCTTTAGAATTTTCAAATTGAGGGCTGATTTGTAGTTCCATTGCTTTCCAAACATTTCTTATGATTTAGTTGATAAATCTGCCTTCCCTATAAGATCAGAACAGTGATGCAAAGCTCACAAATTGGAAAATTTCTTGGCAAAAAGAGCTAAGTATACCACTTTTTTAAAGAATACTGTCTGTAACTTCACTATCAAACTGATCTGTGTTCATTGACCTTACATTGAGATCGGAGAGAAGACAAAAAAAGAAGGAATATAGGGGTAGTTAGACACAGAAATTAGAACAAAGGGGGAGGAATGAAAAAAAAGGGCTCCTTAAAAACAGCCCTAAGTGGCGAAGTGCATTTTTCATTCTATATTCAATGTCTTAATTAGCTGATACTTCAGGATGGAACATTCAGCGATTCAATGTTCAAACAGTTGATCACGTGGATGAAAGATTCTGAACATCACAACTTTTTGCAGAGCGCACTGAAGAGCTTTCTGGTATAGTGTCATTGGTTTCAAGCTTGTTGAGCCAGCATCTTAAAATATCTGACAATAAAAAAATTGACTTACTTTAAGCAGGTTTGGGACTGAGATACGCTGAGTAAAGAGGCAAGAAGTCCCATGAAACTGTTACAAGCAGCACCCAATTCGTCCTGATTCAGAAGCAGGTCCCAAAGTCTCTTGACAATAGGTTCTAAATGATGAGGCATATTTGAAACTAAAGTATCAGCTACAGGAATGAGAGCAGATGCTGCGACTGCACCTACGTCTTCCACAGGATCACTTAATTCGCTTGTAATTGGCGTCAGTGCTCTTGATAAGATGGAACCCACCAAGTCCTAAAAAGATACACAAATCTTGTGATGGTAATTTGATACAATAAGTAAAAATAACATGCCCATCACAAAATAATTATTTTTTGGGCTTCCTTAAATTTTATTTCATGCTTTTTCTGACATTGGATGCATTACACCTACTTTGAGGTAAAAATTTAAAATTCTCGACTATCTTGAAACACAGCTCAAGACTGAGAAATTAGGATTAAAGGCAGACGTTTTTGAGGCTGCAATATGAACTGTGTTCACTCACAAAAGTGAAACAAGTGTGATCAAAAATAAGTTCGGAATTTTTAAATTTTTTTTCTTCTGCTTGATAAATTTTATTATATAAACCGCTGACGTGCAACATGCATTTCTATACTTTCAAACTACCCTTCACTCATACGTTTTTGTTTTGGCTCACAAACTGTTTTTGGTGTTGAATGTCGGCATATGAGACCATTTGAAATTGATCAAGACCTAATTTTGATTTTTCAAGTTTAATTAGGACTTTACTTAAGCTTCTGTACATGGTGACTGAAAAGGTTAAAAAAAAATCTCATCAATTCTCTATAAAATTAGAGAAAATAAATTTTTCTGATGTTTCCTGGAAGATTCAGGATGAAAAAAACCAGATACAATAAAAAAAAGGATTTTCAAACACACTATCCCAAGTACTTGAAATTTTTGAATATTCATAAATCTGAATTATACTAAAATATAACCCTAAAAAGAGATGATAATGACCTGATTTTTGCCTTTAGGAATTTACGACACTTATGTTCAATCTTTTTTCAATATAAGGAAACTTTGATCTAGAGTTTGGTTAGGTTTGTGTTTAAAAAAAAAAACAAACAAACAAAGAACACTTACCTTTCGAACTGCTAACAGATACTTCAATCCTAACAGACCTCCATGTCTTGTTTCCCAGTCTTTCTGTTCCAGTAGTTGCAGAAGCACTTCTAACACTAGATTCACACGATTCTCAGTCATTAGGTGCAGAACAGAGCCTGAAAATTAAAAATAAAACAAAGTTTCCGTAGGGATGAACAAAAGGAAATTACTAATACAAACGATTTTGAAGGGGGTAGGGGCTATCAATAAGGACTGTTTTGGGCCTACCCTAAATTTTCTCAATTCTAGGGCTTTTTACTCATCAGCAGGCCGATTATTGAAATTTATGGAAAAAGCTATAGACAAAGAAGACATAGGGAGTATGGAGCGATCCTATTGGTTGAAACGGGTGGTTCCTATAGACAAAGTGAGAAAGTGATAGACTAACTGTCGGGTCTCTCGTGGGTTGCCGTTAGCTAGTCTATTACCCACCTCCTTTGTCCATTGCAACCAACCGCTTCCACCAATAGGATCGCTTCATATCTCTTTTGTCTCCTTTGTCTATAGCTTTGTCTATCAATTTCAATAATCGGCCCGCTGAGATCTGAATGTCACGCATCATGATTTGATTTGGTCATTTTTCATCTATTTTTGGGTCTAAATATGAGTCTAAAGGCCGATTATGGCAAAAAATGCGAGTTTTGTGGGTTTGCAGTCAAATGCCGAAAGATCCGCATTTTTGTTATAAAAAATTTTCAAAATTTTTTGTTAATGATTTGACTTGTGGCGCCCCCCTCCCCTCCCATGAAGTTTCTGCATTTTTTGCCAAAACTGGCTTTCAGACTCATGTTTAGGCCAGTGTTAAACCTGAAAAGAGACCAGAGATGACCAAATCATGATGCATTCCTAAAATAGAGACCTAAGGGCAAAAATTTGAAAAGGGGAAATTTCTGTAGGAATAAGCTTCTCAAAATTCCTATGATTTTCCACAGAAGTAGATAGTAAATAGACAAACTTCTTTGATTAAAGGCTCCTTTAAATAAACAAGGCGATTGGGCCCTGATTTTTTCTTAACCCAAACCCTAATTGTCTAGAGGGCCAACCTACAGTAATGGGTCATCATTGAAAAATTTTCAAACAAGTGGTTCAAAATTTTGGATTAAAAATTACGAATATCAGCCCTGCAATATCTGTCATAAAAAATTAAAATTTGAGAGTAAATGAGCTTATAAGAATGATTTGATAAAATAATTAGAAAATTAATTCATATACCCTTTGGGTTCTGCCACTATTTCTTTACTGCTTCACCTGTGCCAGACTGAAGGTGTGTACTTTTTGTCTTGTAAAACAAGAAGATTTAAATAAAATAAAAGGAAAACCTAGCTTTCTAAAATCCATTATTTTCGGAGAGAAATATTCCTTTGCCTACCAAATTGGTTGAAATGATGGATATACAATTTTTGACACAAAAAATATGTCAGAAAAGATGCAGTTATTTTAAATTAAGCTGATAAATTTTTCACACATATTTTTCTACAATGACTGTGTATAGAGAAAAAAGAGCTTACCCAAGGCTTGAGCACAAGTTTCTCGAACAGGAGCGACAACTTGATCCGAAACAAAGTCTCCAAAACGATCCAGTGAAAGAACGCATAACAACCGTAACGATACATCTTCTAAAAAAAATTGATGACTTTCTTCCATCTGACAAAAATAAAAATGAATGAATGAATAAAAATTCTAGGCTGATGGGGTAGAAGGCGAATTTTTTGCATTGAAGCAGAAACTACAAATTTTACTTACTTTTACTTGGTTACATAAATTATTGTCGATCAGCGCGTAGCTTTCCTGGAAATACCCTGAAATTTCCCCATATTCATCACAACAGTTTCAAACTGTGCAATTTTTTTGGAGAGGCCCCTTTACAATGAACATTTTTGAAAACTTACCATAAAAAGGATATACTAAGGTTTCCAGGGACAGCTTTTCCCTCAGAGACTCTGTCACTTTCTTTTTTTTAAGTGCCCACTCACTCATTTGTTCTAGATCAAAGATTTTTTTTACTTATTTCATTAATTTTGGGTTTTGTCTTTAAAACCTTTCAAAAAATCATCCCAGGCATCTGATTCGCCAAGTTTCCTAGGTTTTGTCTCTAAGTTGATATTACCTTTTTTTTGTGGTTATTCTGTCTCTCTCTCTCATCCTTTCTCTTCCTTCTTCACTTCTTACCTCTTTTTTCTATTCACGGTCAAAACATATTTCTTCAATGATTTCCTTTTCAAAATTTAGTTAAGAAATCAATTTATTACAACTTTTGACTGTTAAAAATTGGCTTCTGAGCCAGATACAATCGAGTATTAATAACACTATTCTCAGTGACTTAATTTTGAGTTCTGGTGGATTGAGGTCTCTTACATTGTAGGCGGTCTTATTTTGGTAACACTACATTTTAAATGTATCATAGGTACACCATTTTTCACATGTATATGTAAAGAGGTACAAAAAGCCACTCAAGAAAAAAATACTTGTGACGTACCTGTTTGCTTGACATGTCAATAGATTTGCCGGCTCCTTTCCCATGGATTCGCAGTGTTTCTCTGAGGGCAGTGGCTGATCCATGTCGCACTTCCCAACTTGAATTGAATAAACCTTGACAAAGTCGATCAACAAATCCTCCTAAAGGCCAATCAACTGCCTGAAAAGAAAAAATTGTGACGTCAAAATACAAAGTTTTTGGTTCTCAGTAATATATGTATTAGATTGGATTCAGAGAAGTTCTGCAATGTTTGTTGCAGCCTGGGTTTTACCTGCAGCACATTTAAAAATTAAGCATTTTTCTTTGAAATGAAGCCCAATGAAGCAACATTGAGAGACAGAGGTGGCATCAATAAGGGCCATTTTTGGACCCACCCTTGCTAAATTTCCTCAACTCTACGATTTTTTACCCCCGGAAGGTCTACATTCTACGGAATGCATCATGGTGTGGTCATTTTCGGTCTCTTTTCAAGTATGATGCTGGACTTAACATGGTCTGAGGGCCGATTTTGATGCAACATGCAGATTTTTTGGCATTTGACCACAGACTCACGAAACTTGCGCTTTCCGCCAAAATTGGCTTTCAGATCCATGTTCGGCCCAGACCCAAAATATATAAAAAATGACCAAATCAAGATGCACTCCGTGAAATATGGACCATTAATACTCAAAAAATTGAAAAATTGAGAATTCAGGGTAGGCCCAAGCCAGCTGTTGTCAATACCCCTCCTGAGGCAACTTCAATTGTGCAAATAAAAAAGTAAGAAGCTGCAGGTAATATAAATCAAGAGCTCCCATTACAGATAAAACTAAAATAATAAATTCATTTGGCCTTTTTATGAATGGATTCTGCTAATTTGAAAATCTGATGGTAAATTAAAAGATATCAATGATAAATACTTTAGACCAAGAGCCAGTGACATCTGGAACAGGGAGATCAGTTACGGAGTCTTCACTTGATTTACAGGCCAAGCTTTCTAATTTTGACTTCTTGGCAAGAGGTTCCTCTCCGATGCCGGAATCACATGAGTCGACCGTTGACTGGAGCATGGTCAGTGATAGTTGGCGAGTGAATGGGTTGTCTTTGATCTCCGATGTTGTTGGAGTAGGAGGCAGTGAGCGCTGTTTTGAAACTTGCTGCCGAGCTTTCCGCCTTGCTCGATTCATCTCTCGACTGCTTAGAGATTGATGATTTCCGCTTGAACAAGAGACATCGCTTTGACTTGACTGTGAGGAGTTCGTGTCCACCACACTCCAGTTCTGAGAAAAGCTGCTGGACATTTCATTCTCAAGTACTTCACCAACACTTTTCTGCAATAGAAACATTCCATTAATTGTTACTCCTCTTTTCAATTATTAAAAATACAAAATTAACTTAAACTTACTACTTACTAACCAGTGTCCGAAACTCACAGGCGCCAAAGCGCCAAATGCGCCTGAAAAATCGGCCATGGCACCTAAAAAATGAAGGCTCTGCGCTAACGTGGCCCCTAAAAATTGCCCCCTAAAAATCTGAATTTTCATATTAGGCGATTATTTGAAATTTTAGCACTACAAGTGAAAGCGTTTTCTATTCTTCACGATTTCATCTTTGGCGCTTTTGTCTTCCCCAAGTTACAGCTGCTTACTAGTTCTGTTACGAAAACATCTTGCGTCTAACTTTTCATTAAATGTACCGTAATATATGGGCAAAAAGTCAATTTGGCCCCTAAAAAATCTTCAATGGCGCTTAAAAATCACGCTTGATGCGCCACATGGCTCCTAAAACTCAAAGGTGAGTTTCGAACACTGTTACTAACTTACTTCTGTCTCTATCTTTATTCTATTTACAATAGTAATTTCAACAATTTAAGCTATATCGAGATAGAAAACATTTTTTTTTTGTTGCTGTATGACCTCATCACTTCCTCGTTGTAAGCCTTCTTAGGGGGAACTCAATTTCATTGATTCCGATAAAACCTTATCTTCTATAAAATAAAATAATATAAATAAGCAAGACAAAACATACAGCACAGACTGATGTAATGCCTACGTCATAATTTCATATCACCGTTTTGATTGCTCAAATGTAAATAGACACATGATTTTGTCACGTTTGTGCCATTGTGGTAAAATTGGTCCAGGTGTTCCTTGCAATTAAATTCTCTCATTTTTAATGATTCAATATAAAAAGAGAGTAAGAGACAAATATTCTACTTTCATGAAACCTGGAAAGTTCTTGTCCTTCTTTCTAGACAGCTAGAAAAATAAAAAGACTACAAAACCTTAAGAAGTTCTGGCTTTGACATTGTAGTTGTAAAACTCAGGTCTTCAGCAGTCACAAGATCAGATCTCAAATCCGGAAGGTTCAACCCCAACTGAGAATTGACCTGTTCTCTCTGCCGTAACAGAAAATCTTTCTTATCTCCTTCTGAAAAATGGAGAGGATCACTGTAAGACACTCATTGATTTAATTTGATAATTCACAGCTCTGATTACTTCAGCTCAAACGCCAAGGACTGTAGTCTGGGAGAGAAAGAAGTTCCAAAGAAGTGTGCACTTTCACAAGGAAAACTAACAGATTTGAGAAAGGCTAGCTGTTACTAACCTTTTAGCATTACAAAGGATTCGTACTGCAAATAAATTGATAACATTTTTGCAACTATTGCAGCTTTAGAATAATATTGATGATCCTTACAACCAAAATTTCAGTCAAAGAATAATTTTTTGATGTTTGCTAGGTTTAGATGTCTGTGAGAACTGCTGAAAGAATTCATACAGAGGCCAGGGAATTTTTTCAGACTTTTGCTCTTCAGATAATTTGGCTAATTTTCCAAAATTTTTATTAGTAACTTATTAAATCACAGATTCTACTGAGAAAAATTTTCAACCACTGAAATTAAATAAGTACCTACTTCGGTTCCAGATCACTTACCAAGGTTATCTTCATCTACATCATACTCTAAGCCTTGAGATCCCATTAAATACGCACATTCTGTTAAAATTTTTTTCAAATCAAAAGATTCAAAACTCAATCGACCAGGCTGAGGAGCAACGATCACTTCTTCAGTTCCATCTGCAAAATAGAGGAACTCACAAGTAAAAATACTAATTCCAAAGTGTTTCTTGTTATCTTTAGATTAAATCATATCCTGTGGGTGGATATAAGTGCCATACATAGGGGTGTTCAAACGAATTCTTGCCGGAACTCTTTCGATATCGTCTCTTATTGAAACTGGCGGCAGTACCGACAGTGGCGATGATATCGACAACAGCCGGCCTTATCGGATTTTTGAGGGCTCGCACTCAATGCATTGCTGCCCCTTATGTCGGTTTATCAGATTGCCTGGCGCGGCGGCGCATGAAATAGATGTACACATGACAACAGCTTATTTTCGCCAGCACCGAAAACTCTGATCGCTATCGGCAAGAGCGCTCTTATCATAACTTTTTCTTAACGGAACTATTTCGGTAGCTTACCAACAACCGATAGAACAGCCCTAGCCATACATTATATCCAAGGCAGATGGTCAAAGTTTGAGGTGATTTTGGACCAGTTTGCCCCCTTGACTCAGCAAAAAAACAATTGGCTAATATTATCTAACACTTGATTGCACTAAGATCAAGGGATGAATTTCCATTAAAGCGGATTTATCCCATAACTAAATAATGATGGTTTTAACAAGCAAAATTCCTCAACACCTCAGGGGAAGCAATTATGCAAATAATAAAACTAAATATAAAAGAGCCAAAAGAGATAATTTTTAGCTACTTAGATTGTAAAACAAATTCGGAAAATGATTCCACTTAATATGAAATTTTAAATTTGTTACAAAAAGTGAATGTAATGATGAAAACATTAGTGAATATTGTAGAAATCGTTCTTACCATTAGCAGGAGGATTCCACTGGGGAACATTCAGCAGTATTGCTTCAACAGCTTGGGCAGCAGCAATACGAGTATCCCATGAGGTGTTGCGCAAATATTCTTCTAAACGAGACAGAAGGCAGTGCAACTCGTGAGGATACAGTTTCTGAACTTCTCCCAATTGCTTTGCAGCTGCTCTCCTGGTAACAGCAGATGATCCTGTCTCTAGCAGGACGAACAATCGGTCCAATCTGGAGGGAATCAAATGAATGGATATATGGACGAGACTAACTTACATTAAAAAAGGTCAGCATAAGATTAGGAGCGGTAAATAAGAGTAGTAATGCACTAGTTTTTGGCCATACGTCTGATCAGAGATACAGTGAAGTAAAGATGCCAGATTGCATGAAAAAGCTTAAAACTTTAGGTGCCCCTGAAAAATACAACTTAGAGAATACCTCCATAAAGACTTTTATTTCTAGTACCAACCTGGAAGTCATCTTTATTATTAAGATAATTTAAGTTCATCCAATGTTTACAAGATTTCTTCTAACGTTTCCATGCTATCTTGGTAATGAAGTCATCATGATCCTGAGGAAATCTAGAAAAATGAAAAAAATAAATAAAAATTGATGGATGCAAGGAAGAGAGAGAGGAATTTTTATATACACTAGGAACAGAACTAAGACTTTTTTAGCTTCTTCTAGGACCTTAACCTTGCTTGAAATCATCATAGTAGCCTTTCTACAGATCATAAACTTAGTACAGTTTTTCAAAATCTTGCAATGTAGACACAACCTGTAACACTCTTTGCATCCTGTTTATACTCAATTTAATTGGGCGAACTAGACCTGAAGAAAATTTTATTTAAACTTGAGTCATGTGAAATTCCGTACCTGGCTTGTCACACGAATCAGATGTGGTATTCAGGTTCTGTAAATATATGGATTTACATTGCAAACAAAGAACCTGGGACAAATAACTAGGAATGTTTAGGTCAAGTCACAAAACTAAAACTAAAATAAAAATACAGAAATATCACTTAAAATTACATTAATTTGAACATTATTTTGCACCGTTTCTTCTCCTTCTTTTTTGTGTTTTAATTTGACATTGTTTCCTTGAATTTTCAAAATACTCACCTTATGTTTAGTTTTTAAAGGAATGCAACTTCCCCACACAAGCTTTGGCTATCAGGGAAGGATCTACTTCAATGTGTCACTTTTGTACTTACTTTCTTATTTAAAATTTTAATTCTAACTCTGTATTGCATCAAGCAAACCCTGCTAACTGACAACTAAGCTTAACGTCACCGTGCTATTCCAGATAAGCTCACCTTTGTTATTTTCCCCTCAGTAGACAGGATTCTGTCAGGGCAATCATAAAGTTGCTGACACATCTTCATTCACTGGTGCAATCTGATAAGGAATAATCTCAGTTATGGGCTATTTTTGTGAGTTGCGAATCTTTGTGGACAAGGTTTAGAGGCAGAGTACGGGCACCTCTGAGGACCCAGTGGAAATCTAGAACATAATAAACATTACTGATGACAGACCTGACCACTTTGAAAATGAACAGCACTTTCATTGGGCTCACTTGCAAAGGAAGGTTAAGGGTCTGCGATGGTATGATCAAAAACCTTTAGGAAGTTTCAAATGAACGAAAATTTGAGATCTCTCGTTTAGAGACTCCGGGCAAGAACGCAAAGTGCGGTCTTCACTGCGGACAGTATATTAAAGGAGACTTGGTTACCGCAAGCTGCTTCACACATCTGATGCTTCTTCATAAGGAGATGAGATTCCGGCCATGTAGAATATGTTGATGTGTACATTTGGGAGTGTTTCTACAGAAAAAAGGTGTGATCAGAAATTAAGAAGTAAGCTTGCTGATTATTTACCTGCTGAAAAGAGCTGCGCTAAAACGTGGCAGGAAAGCAAACAAATAGACTTGTATGTTAAGTAAATAAAAACAAAAGGACAAATTTGTTAGATGGAGGACAGAACATCAGAATATAACCTACATTATCTAAACAAATATTGGCAAATTGAGGAAATGTAATGATTTAAGGAGAAGACATGAAGTGAGAGACGTACCCTTGGACGGAACGAACACTTGAGATACACAATTTGGGCAGAGTATCAATAGGAAAATCTTTTGTCAATTGTGATATCAAGGCAGAAACCAACATATGAGCAGCAGGAGAACCCATCTTGGCGCTGTTTACATTTATACTGGCAGACATTTTGCTGATGAGCTCAACTTAATCCATTCATTTAATGCTGATTGGCTGAAACATTTCGGTTCAAGAGTTCAACAACCAACCACAGACTTGGTAATTTTAAAAATATTTGGCGCTTAAGGTTTGCGAAGTTTGGATTGGATCAGACAGTTTTATCGTCTCCCCCCTTTTTTAAGAGGGAGGAGAAGAGCACGTGGTCCCGGGCTAGATTTTTCTGCATAGAACCAAGGTTTAAGCCATCCCCTACAAATTTAAATGACGCTCAAAAATACTCTAGAGCTGATTGGCTTTCAACAGGTACCAAAGTATGACGTACTGTAAAGCTCTCTCATGATTGGTGTCTTGACAGACAACTTAATTGGATGTGCATGCCTTTTTCGTTTTGCCTCTGATAAGGTAATTGTTTATGTTTACTTTCTTCCTGACTGGACTGTGTATGTAATGGTATCTACGAAGCTGAATTATCACATATTTTCAATTTATTTTATATCACTTGTTTGTTAATCCTAAATTTTTGTGGCACCGATAAGTTTTAGTTGAATTATCTTGCTTGCTTTTGTTGAATCTTCTGTGAATTCAAGAATTCAAATATTAGGGAGTTTTCCATGCTCCGCAGTCTCAGTTTTGCCAGGAGACATCGCCAAAGATGTAGTTTTTTTTTCCTTTTTTCCCAGAGCAGCTCACACTTTAGAAATTGTAAGTAAATTATATTTTCTCTAAAAGCGGGGAATAAACCCCCGGTAGACCCATCATTAGGCCAGCTGTCACCCTTCCAAGCATAATATAATTGTTGCTGAGAATGATTATACTTTCATGTTACCGATGTTGAAAACTACATTGAGAGGAACTTGATGATTTACCATTTGAAACCATGTACTATGTACTTGATGATGTTAGATTGAATTTCAACTTCCTTAAACTATAGGCTACTTGGGTAATTATTACAATTTATTTCTACACAAATGGAATTGAATAAACTTTCATTTAAACTGAGAATGGACCATCAGACAAGATTGGAATTTAAGCACTCAGATACATGTTTGCTAACCAGAATTGCATGTAGGGCACGATTCTTGCATCAAAAATCACTGAAATCCACTCCTAACACTAAGATATTAACGTTTTAATTTTACATTGGTTACAGGAAATTTGAATCGCCCGGTCATGAGAAACTCAATACTCTACGTGAGTCAAATCGTGCCTTACAACGGTTTCGGCAGGCTTCTCAATCGAGCACTGTTCCTATCCCAACCTTTACCGTTCAAAGTGTAAAAACTTTGCTATAGCTGAGCCAAAGTGTCATGATTGAGGCTACTATATTTTCGTATTGCAGAGACTGCCACGGTAACGTTTATGTGCGATTTGACTCAAGCAGACCATTGAGTTTGCACGAGCGGAAGGTTTGAATTCAGGCGTCAAGAAACATTAAATATCTTGGTTAGGAGTTAATTTCAGTAATTTTTGCTGTGCCAATTGTTTTCTACATGAAAATTTGGTAAAGAAACATGTATCAGCAGGCTTAATTTTTTACCTTGTCATGTGGTCCATTGCCTTTTTATTCATCAAATCGTAAGAACGTCCTCTTTAGAAGTGAGTTATTTATTTGAACTTAAACTTTAAATTTTTTATTTTCAGATGTCTCCATACACGAAAATTAATGAATTGAAAGTTGAAGAAAAACGGAGGTATACAATCATTGTCATCCTAAAATACTTTGTGAAGGTAATAAAACCTGATAGTATTTTCATTTCTTATTGTTTTAGTTGGCCACAGATCAATACACCTTACCATAATATTTGAACCTGGATAGCTGATATCGATCCATCTACGAACACCTCTGCATTAAGAGATTTTTTTTTACATGCCATAACAAAAATAGTAACAAAGGACCAGAGAATAAGTTGTAGATTTGAGCATTGCATTAAATGATCCCTTATCAAAATTTTTTGTCAAAAATATTTTTCATGGTGAACATTTCTTAAAGTTACACCTATGCAAGATATTAATGTGTTTGGTGTTCATTCTTTTGAAGGTCTCCCGTCATTGGAAATCAAAATCTCTGAAGTTAAATTTAGACACTTCCAGATTAAGCACCTCCAAAGTAGTACAAGTTGCAATAAATGGAACTGTTTGCATGCCACAATGATATGCATTTGAAGTCCTTTTCCTTTTGTAAAATTTCTTTCGTAAGAAATCAACTCTCAATTTTGAATCACATTCATTTTAATTTTGTAAGATTGATTAGTGAGCCTGCAAGATCAGCAGGACAGAGATTCAAATTTATCTAGGCCTCCGAAATTTTCTGCAGTGCACAAGAATTTTGCAAAAAGCAGATCAACACAATGCGCTGATTCAACCTGAAAACCCCAGAAAAATGAAGAAAAAAATAGGGCATGTCTGCAATTTGGTTGCGACCAATTAGCACTCATGCAGCAGGATGAAGTAGAGGGTGAAACTGGCAACTATATCTCCAATGATAGCCTGGCAGGTACAAGGAGAAAACTAGAGCTGCCATTTAAATTGCCGCATTTGCTTTCTCTTTGGGCAGATATGGAAAACTACCTAAATTTCAAGGACTCTAAGATGTTTCCAGCACAGACAGAGATGATGCTCTGATTCAGCATTAAATTCTCTAGAGGGAGCCGTTACTTATGAGTTTGCCAGAAAAATCGATTTTGTGAATTTGATGAAAGGCGAGACTTAATATGATACCTTGGTCTTGAATTTAATTTAAAATTTGCTTCTTCTTTAATTCTTCAAGGCTCCAAAAATAACGCAGAAAGGCACTTACTATCATTCAAAAATAGCTGTGACAGACGAATCAGTTGCACCACAGGACTTCAAAGTTTCCATTTTCTGCCCTCTAGCCAGGCACCCGCCATTGCCTATAAACAGTGTTCTCCGCATTCGAGGAATAAAGGTGAGTGCAGGTAGTCGAGGAAATTCAAAGATAGGCATCAATCAGGAAAGACCAAGAAAAGCCTCTGAATCTATTATTCTCTTGAAAGAGTTATTGCAATTGATGCTTCTATCTAAACTGATTCAAATCAGACTCTTCATATGGTTTTTTTCTCAGACAGAATCCAATGTATTTGTAGCTGTCCACAGGAATAGTGACCCCAGGTCTGGAGCAAAATTTTCAGGAGGGAGGTTTTCATAAAGTTGGATGGAAAAATTTGATTCAAATTTGTTCGAGTTTTTGCTGTCTAAGCTCAACTTTATATCATATGTCAATCTCCTGATATAAGGACGTAACTACACTTGGCAATGAACCGTGACATCCATAACGTTCAATGGTTTCCTGGGTTTATCTAAAAGTGTAGTTATGTTTTTTTGTCAGCCAAGCAACAAATAGAGTCCAAAGGAGCATTTTCCTTTCAATAACTATGAGCTGGCCAGCTTTTTTCATGAATGTTTTGGAAAAGGGTCATTCAGAGTTTGAGTAGCAAGTGACTATAAAGTGACATGGTTTACCGTTCTTCGATGTTATTTTTGCAAAAATGTTTGTCGAACATGCCTCTTAGACAATGACACAATACCCCAGTTTTGAGCTTGTTAGCATCTGGGCTCCTTACTTACACGCTATTTTTTTCTCCTCGTAAACATCAGCATGTTTTACTAAATAAGTTTTCCCATTGATTCCATGTTGAAGTGTAAATTTGGTGAAATTATTATCTTAGTTTAAAACCATCCTGTCTTACTTTATTCTTAAAATTGAAACCTAATCCTTGTCATCTCTCAGAAAATTCTGTGATACTTCTTCTGTATGTGAAGAATGTACTATTGAAACTCCCAAGATATACGATTAGTTTGTTCTCTGTTTAAAAGAGTATATTAATAGCAGAAAATTTGAAACGTCACAGGCAATGTACGTATTTAGTTTTATACCTCTAGTTTTATAACCCATGTTTTTCGGACCGTATCATAATTTGTTCTATTTTGTTAAGTGTTACAAATTTGTTGTATTCAGGAATATTTTTCTTCTTTTTAACTGCAGGTAGAAGCTTACAAAAGTATAGTGGATGGTAGAATTTTCGGCTCCGAAAACATAGATATCATCAATCCCTTTCATCCAACTGTCATTCATAAATGTAAGTATTTTAGTTAAGAATATAATGTATTAATCTCTGGGTGATACGGAAGGGGGAATCAGAGGTCGTTTATTTTGTGAACAAACAGAAGGTAAAATATTTTAAGATTGACATGCACTCTTGAATATTGATGATAAAATTACCATTTCAATTTTTAAGATTTTCATCGACATCAAAACAATTTTGTCAAAAAAATCGAGAAGTCGCTCAGAAACACAGGTAATTTTTTTATCACATATCTTATCCCTAATTCTCACAACATGTATCTGTGTGCTCCTGAGTGGTGGATCCATGGACTTCACAAAAAATCAGTGCTCATAGAGTGATCTAACATTCTGTCATGTCAATTTTCAAAATTTTCGTAACCTTACTGCCATTGTAGTGCAGCAAATGCTCTCGCAGCAAGTCATCAAAATATGAGGATTTTTGGGGATTAAGTAATAGAGACTTCCACTAAATAAGTTTGAGGATGCTGTTCTTCATGACTCATTTTACAGCCTTAATTCGACTTAAATCTGCGAAAAACTGACACAAAATCTTAATCCCCAATCCTTGTATCTCATGCTGGAAAGATTGGTGAAACTGAAAAGTACCAAAATTAATTCTAAAAGTTTCCTTTTTTTATAAGTATATATTGTACTAGTAAATTTTGTTCCGTACTTACTAAAAAGATACATACACTCAAACAACATCATAGATGTTTGTTGGCTGATACTCTAAATGCCTAAGCCTCTTTCCTCATTCTGTCGTCACAAGCTTTCACAATTAGTTCAAACGAAGAAAATGCAGATACCAAAACTGCGTTACTAAGCATAAGTATGGCTTGAATTCCAAGCATCCTTTCCTCTCTTAAGGTGCTCTATCTGAGATGCTGTCTCATGCGGCACTTCTTTAGGGGACAGTCAGGAATATTTAATTTTTTTTCTACAATATGAGAACAGAAGAGTAGCTACATTCCCCCACAATAAAACTCCAACGCCAAGGCGTTAACCCCAAATAACTCATTTTCCTCTGTCAAGCCTTCTCTGTTGAATGAACCACACACACTATGTTTGCCTCATTTCAAGGTTGTTATGAACCGAAAAAATCAAGTTTTAAGGTCTACTCTTCTAATTTATGTAATAATATGACTCAATTTTACTAAATTATCTGGTTTGAATCTCTAAATCATATGGAACTCAATCCCAAAAACTTATGGCATAATTCCTCTTAAAAGTCATGAACATTGACTTGTATCATTAGTTTCAACCTACGTAAACATCAAAATCAAATTTTATTCATTACTTACAATATCAAGTTTTGTAACAAAAAACTTTTTGTTTTGTTCCAGTGGATGAAGCTGCAAAACAGAGATTGATAGAGTTGGTTTCAGCTTTTCCGTATTTTTTTGATGAGTTAAGGTTAGCATTAAAACCTAACAAGTCTTTGTTGAATTCACAACTCATCACATTTGTAAGTACCTTTTTGCTCACCGTTTGTATTGAAACTTCTTTAAAAGTTGATACATACTTTTTTTCACATATCAATGGCTAAAGTGCAAAACCACTTATCTCAATTGTGTTTCAGAATTTCCTCTCCTATTTTATTTTTTTGGTTTATTTTGTTGCTCTCCTAAAATTTTCCATCCTCTACAGTCTTTTTGAGGCTACACCAAATAAGTTTACTCAGTTTTAGACTACAACAGAAAATTTGTCATCCTGATTCTAGCATTTACTTTCAATGCTGAGCTGATGTCCGACAACCTTTGATTGCAGTCTAAAAATCACGTAAACTTATTTGGCGCGACTCTAGCCTCTGTGATGGGTTATTTCAATGCACTGGAAGCAATGATAAAATGGGATTAACATTTACCATAATCATATAGCAGATTATTATTTGTAATATATATTTTAATTTGTCCAGGAAGATACACAATTCAAGCTGTTCTCAGTGTCCACTGGTGAAAATCAAACTTTAATTGGAGTCCTCAATGAAATCAGGGTAATATTTTCTTCTGTTTTTTATTGTAACCAAATCTCCTCTTCAAGTTGAATGAGAAAGCTATGGTCACAAGAAAAATTCGTTGAGTTTGACATTTTCTCAGAATTGTTCTCTATTGCAATGGTTGTAAGCGGTTAAAAGCCCCAAAGAATTATATTATGTTTTATTTCAAGAAAAAAATTGACAAAATACCAAGCTGATTAAATGATCTTAATAATTCAGCAATGTTTCAAAAATTGAAGAAGGTCAAGAGATCAGAATTCAAGCCATTCAACCGATACCATCTATAAAGAGCTTCACGAAATGAGGAATAATTGAAATAGCTGTTCGCTCATTTTTAAAGAGCAAATAATATCAAAATAAAAAAAATTTGTGTCTCTTTTCCAGGACTGCACTTTAGATGAGGACACAAAAATGTGGAACTTTTCAATCTTTATTACTGATAATACACTCTATCCCAGTTCACTGAGAGTTTTCGTCAAATGCTCGTTTGATTCAATGCCAAATTTATCCAGATATGCGGTAATTTATTTACGTAATGTGAAAGTAAGTATATTATTCTGGCCAACCTTATCAAATTTAAAATATTTTCTTTAAAGTATATCACATTTTGAATTGAGATGAATTGTTTCCAGGTAACTCTGTTGCCGTCATCAGTGGCAGTTGTGGTTTTCTGGGAGGGATTGGAATTTTAAGCAGTTTGAAAAGCTCAAGATCTATAACATTTGTCAAGGTTTATCATAGATTTAGATTTTAACTTTTTTAGTATACTTTAACAGTTTTATGTGTAACAAACTCAGGGTTGCCAGTGGTCTGGAAAATGTGAGAAAGTCAGGAAATTCGTGATGACCGTGAAAAGTCAAGGAATTTGTGGGAAAAGTCAAGGACTTTTTGGGTTAAGTCAGGGAATTTCTGACATATCTACCGATCAAAGTCTAGCGGAAGTCAGCATATTTTTTTAAAGAAGAATAGATGGTAATTTTGTTCAAAGATCAGAAAAAGTCAGGGAATTAGAAACTTTTGGAGTCAGGAAAAAGCAAAAGGAGTAAGAGAAAAGTCAGAGAATTTGAAGATGAAGAAATTACAACAGCCATGCAAACTGAAAACTATAGAAAGTACATGAAGTCACTATTGAAAGTTGAGCATGTTAGTGCAAAGTGCTGGTCTATTCACAGATTAATCATCAGGCAAGTTAATTGTTTCTGATTCCACTAATTTTGCAATGTGATTTTTGGTAAGAAATTGTTTTCATGTGCTAGCTAAAACCTGAAGAAAAAGTCTGTCCCGAAAGTCCCCCTTCTTTGATACGCAGAGTAATTTAATCAAACAAGGCTGAAACGAAACTTTATGTTAAGGCAGTCCTTCAGTGTTTTTAGCTTAAGTTCAAAACTTGTGTTGACAATGCTGTATTTCCAAAACGAGCTTTGAACTCAAGCTGAGACTTTCACTGAAGGATTGCCTCATCGTAAAATATCGTTTAGGCCACATTTGAACAAAATCCCTAAGTCTCGACGATCAGAGATGCAAAAAGGTCCATTTTTTGACAGACTCTTTGATGGTCTCACTGTGTTCCTCCAACAACAATCTTAGTAAATTTTATTTCAACGACTGTTGGAGAATGGACACTATTACTGATGCGGATTTTTAATTGATTCGACCCAAAAATCAATTAAATCGAATCAATTTTTTTTACCCCAATTTATCAGTCGAATCAATGAAATTTTTGCAATATTTTCGATTCTTGTTGACGGCCAAAGCTTTTCTCAAGTGCTTCAGCCTATCCCATTGATATTTTTCTCTCTTTTTTTGTGATTTTTTGACCGTTGCAAATCGTTGACATTTCCGCGAAAGTTGAATTCCACCTAGCAGCAATATGAAATTTGGCATCTCTAGCACAGGCAATAAATAGTCAATTTTTTTCGGATCGATTTTTACACTTAGATTGATTCAGCTTCAGTAGACTGTTTGACAGAAACCGATTTCATCAAAAAAATTCGCACTCTAGATACTCTATCTAATTAAAAGTTAGCTCAAAAGTTGAAGCACTCTCTTAAACAATCTCAAGCCTTTTCTACGTACGTTATCCCATGTTCAAATCCTTAGGCGTATTTTAATTACTAGAAAACATCAAAAGAATAGACCAGATCAAGAATGATTGGATTAGAAGAAGAACAAGATGTTTCACACCAGCATAACTAACAGCGATAAAGTTAAAGTGGAAATGGGCAGGACACATCGCCAGAATGAAAGAAGAAAGATGGACCAAACTAACTACGGAGTGGATTCCCAACCAGAAAAAGAAGAAAGGAAGGCATAAAAGATGATGGGAAGAAGAAATCCAAGACAGAGCAGGTGGAAGTTGGAAGGATTGGTACAATCTGGAACCCAAAATAAATAAATCAAGCACAATAAAATCAAGCCAACCCTCCCCCTCCCCCCAACTAACCTCTCCTAATTTGAGAGGCCTTGCCCTTAAAGGCTGAAATGGGCTATCATCATTAAAATGCCTGAAAAGCCGTTTTGATTCCTATGGGGAAAGAAGGAATATGGTCCTAAAGGTAGAAATCCATAAAAGTAATTTTTTTATATGGATAAATTCTCCAATAAATATTCTTAAATCATTAATTTCTTTTGCATCTTTGTCATATTTTATTCAATTTAGTTGCACTTCATTTTGTAGGTTCAAAGAAGCCAGTATATATTTGAAGGTCATGTAGAAGAAGGTAAAGATATTTTGGATCTCAACCTGGCATGTGGCAGATTGCTTTCTGATCTGGATGAAAAGAAACTTAGCACTCTTCCTGATAAAGGTAATTATTGCTTCTCATATGTCCGCAATCTGCACTAATCAGGTAATAGATCACTTAATAAGGTATCAATGAAGTATTCTGAAACATGTTCTAAGTAATTACAAATTTCTCTTTTAAGTTGTATGTAAAACACGATGTACGCAGCAAAAATTACTAAAACCGACTCCTGACTAAGATATAAACGTTATCATTTAGCAACGGTTATGTAAAATTGAATTTTCTGCTCAAAAGAAAAACGGGAGTCTACGCAAATCAAATCACAAAATACAACGGTTTTGATCGGACTCTTAATTGAACAGTGTTCCTTCCCTGCCCTGTGTTGTTCAAAGAGTAAAGGACGGGCAAAGACTAAGCCTAAGCACTGAGTCTAAGAATGCTATATTTTCATATTTTAGTGTCTATTACACGAACGTTGAGTGTGCGATTAAAATCAAGTATATTACGATTTTTTTCATGAATAGGAAGTTTGAATTTATGCATAAAATACCGTAAATATCTTGATTAGGAGTTATTTTCAATGCATAATTTCTGTCGTATAAATCAAGTTCGGCATGAAGTCTGGATGCGGAAGTATAATGTATCATAATGCTTAAATTTGCATCTTTTCTAGTAGTCCATTGAAAAAATTACATTTATATGGGTTATCCAGCTAGTATCAGGCAATTTAAGTCTCTTAGCTCACATTTTCAATCAAAGGATACTCACTTTCCTGAATACTAATTTGAACCAGTGGAAATTTTCGAGCATGTCATCATTTTGTCAATTCAATAATCATCAGAATCATTGATCCTTGATCTATTTGACTTTAAAATTGGCCAGAAATATCCTTTAAAACTTGAAGAAAATTCAATTTTTAAGAAGCTTAGATTAACGTCAGCCAGCTTTTGATGTTAAAAAACAAATTATTTGGCATAATTTTTGTAAGTGGAACAAGGTATTTATATTTAAACCAAATATTGCTAAGGCACTCTTAAGTATAGAGTATAATCAAAATAACACCCTAAAAAGAGATTTTAACTCATCTACCTCAGATGAAATTTTCAAGAGCTCATTAAAAATTTGTATCCTGAAAAATCGAATATCACAGATGTAAAGTAGTTTTTAAGGAAAGATATTGAGCAATTTTAGTCACTTTAATACCGTGATCATCTTTTTTTCAGAAAATGTCAAGACACGGATTGATGAGCTGATGAAATGGTGTCAGCTCCAGTACGGGAAAATTGCAGAAATTACACAACTAAGTGGTGTTTTCAAAATAAAATGGGAACCCTTAACGTCTGAGAATTTTCATGAAATCTCGTGATATCTTTCTGTTCCTTAAATATTCAATTTCTCAGAACTAACTTACTCCACAATCCAAAGTCATTTTTCTGTTTCCTCCTCTCTGTTTTTACTCAAGGGCTCATCATGCCAATGTTATCTGTATAACTAGCTAGTTATATTTTTGTTAATGATATTTTCTAAATCAGTTAGTATTTCTGAATCATAATCGGGATCTGTGTCCTTGCTAGCAATAACATATATTGTGAAGGATCCACTTTGGCAAAAAAGTGGGCACTGTCGCAGATTGGCAGTATTTTCGAAGAAAGTAGATAAACTGTAAATTTGCGTCAGGTCATTGTAGCATTTTGATTCAGAATTGTGAGAAACCAAGTATTAAATTCGTGTATTTAATTCCATATCAATTTTTTTCAATTCCGCTCCTTATCAATTTTTGCTGAAAATGTCACCTAGGTGCAGATATCTTACAAAAAAAAAAATCAGAAATATTTCCTGGAATGTAAGGGTGGATCGGATACCATCCTCAGGGCCAGATTCCCGATTTTGCCTCCCTGGGCTAACAATAGTTTGCCATCCCTAGATTCCAAAAGTGGTAATTTTTGAAAACTTGAAATGCAATAAAAAAGAGGAAGGAAAAAGTTTTTCGAGATCCACTGCCTCCAATTTGCTGCAAAGGGCCGACCCATGTGGCCCCTCTTTAAGTCCAGATCTGGAAGACTACTTAACTTATTTTTACGTTAGCACCTCTCTTAGAATTATTTTTGTACTTAAAGTACAAGCTTCGTGTGTTTCAAGTGCTTCTTGTCAGCCCTAATAGTACATTTGTAGAATAACTCAGGAAAAACCTGTGAAACTGGTATTTTTTATCAGTATGAAAGTTGTATGTACCTAAAAAAGCTTGTGAAGAAGTTGTAAATAGAGTTCAAGAATTATAAGTAACAAAGTTTATGATCTTTTTTTATTTTATATGAAAAGAGAGGTAATTCATACTTTTTCCTCATTTTTCTTTTATAAAAATATAAAATACCTATATTCCGCATCCGTTTCATTTCCATTTTTGGCCCATCTTACATCTTTCTTTACAAGTTTTCTTTTGTGTATTTTACGTCAGGTATGTGCTATTATGGAGAACCATTAACTACTCAATTAAGTTAATACCTAATGTTACCTAGCTAAATCTAAGAATAAAGGAATGTTTTTTTTTGTTTTTCTTTTCAATACATTTGTGGATGTGCTAGCTACATAAATGGTGGCCCTAAAAAGGGCCGTTTTCGAATGATGGAGCAAGGTGCTCAGGTGATGGCGAGTCGGAGAGGGAGCGTGTAGCGTGTGAGAGGACCTGCAAGAGAATGGTCTAGTGGAGCTCGCGGCCGCACATATTTATAGTGCGGGCGCGCGGGAAAGCATGACGGGCTGCGCTCTCATTGGCTGGTGACGAGGGTGCCAGGCACAAGGAGCTTCGCTCTGGTTGGCTGGTGGCGATGGCGCCACACAGCCCCCCAACCAGTGGCGGAGACACTAGAGACGAAGGCAGCTAAAGAATGCTTGCGGCGGTTCCTGTGAACAGAAAAACGGTTTTCTGCATGGGCGCAGAGGAAGAGTCGGTTTTTTCGTGGAGCTGAAAATGGGAGCCAGGGGCCTAAGTTGACTGGGTTGTTCCTCGGTTCGTGTCGACGGGGGACTGGACCAGCGGGTAGGGCGGAGTCTGCGACGGGGCTGCTGTTTCGTTTTTGGCGGTGGGTTTGAGTGCGGTCGCTCAGGACTCGGGGTCGGCGGGAGCGGCGACAGCAGGGCGGGCGGAAATGACCTTGATATCCGAGCTTGCCGTTCGGTTCAGTGAGGTCTCTCGGGGCTCGGTGTCGGCGGGAGCGGGGAAGCGGGGCGGGCAGGCGCGTCGTTGAGGTTCGAGCTTGCATTGTCTGGGACTAAGTGTGTGCATCGGGAGCAATCTAAAAACAAAAACCTGCAAGAAAGGAGAGACGGTACTCCGTGTCCAGCTGGGGCGGGGTCCAGAGGTTAGAGCTTGCATTGCCGGGGACGAGTGAATTTGTGTCAGGAACATCTGAAAATAAAAACCTGCAAGAAAGAAGAGACGGTGCTGTGNTATAGATCCAAAACGAAAAAATAAAAATGATGTACCGATATTGCTAACGGCAACATTATCTCCTTTACTTATCTCCCCTTTGGCCTGGCTGGCCACAGGCCTCTGGACTACAAAGTATGCTAGGTTGCCTACCCGGTTCTGCCACGTTGTTTAGGGGTGATGGAGGGATGATGGCTACGGTCATAACTCTGTGATAACTGTAAACATTAACATAACCTCTCCACCAGTACACATGTGCTGAAGTGCTGAACATTCGTCATTCCAAATATTATACGTTTTCATCTTTTGACACAGAAATTTTATTTTCCGATATTCAGTGTACCTAGTCCACAATATTATAGGTTACCTGTCGATCAGTTTTCTGTAATTTACCATTGGTTCTCTCCCAGGAGGTGACCTGGCATGCTAGTTACCTTTCCAACATCTATTAGAAATGGATCTAGAAGACTTCGATCAACCGAAGAAAATCATCCGGGCAAAAAAGGCCATAAATAAGAAGACTAAAGTACACATAGTTTTCGATGAGAAAGCAAGGCGGTGAGATTTTCAATCATTATTTGACTTCCTTTTCTAGAAATTGCGTTGTTTTTTTCCTCACCTTTTCTGTTTCAATTTTCCCAAAGAACTTTTGAAAATCTTCCTGCAAGACTATTCATAGATTTGCTTAAGTCATGATACAATGCCTATCAGGTGTGCCAATTCATGACTGGAGTGGTGAAGTTGATCTCTTGGCAGTGGTTTAGAATGTTGGTCGTTTGCACACTGAACATGATACATGATAAAAGTGCTTTGTTTATTCCGAAAGCGTCCAAAAAAATGTAAGAAAGGAAGGGTGAACTTAATTAGGCAATGGGATGTATTTCTGTTAAAAGGAACTAAGCGCCTAATTGAGTTCCCTTTGAGGATTTTAAAATCCCGGATAGCGCGTTCTGTCAAACGGAACTAAGCGCCATGTAGAAGCATTGCGAGTGTTGGACGGAATGAGCATCGCATTCTGCAACATCTGCCAATCCAAGCCCCCTCTCCCTCCCTCCCCCCCATGGCGCTTTTTGAGCTAAAACGCATATTAGTTCATAACTGGGAGGGGTGTATTTTCCATCATGTCTCAGTCATCACATTTTTTTAAAATGGTAAAGTTCTCTCTAAAAAGGCCCAACTATTTCTATGGTAATCTCTTGTTCAGTTTAAACTAAGTCATTTGTATATGTATTTTATCTTTTTTTAGGGATTATCTAACAGGATTTTCAAAGCGGAAGCAAGCCAGGAAGAAAAAAGCTGAAGAAGAATTCAAAGTTCTGCTGAAAGAAGAGAAAAAGCGCATAAAGCAGGAGGTACGGTTTATTCATCTCTCAGTGAAGGAGAAGCGCACACTTAACTCTCAAAAACAGTCCTAATCTCATTGCTGAAATCCAGGACCGACCCTAGGACATTATTGATGAGGATATTAACGGTGGAAGTGCACAACCATGTATCTCCGTTGTAAAGTTTCAGAATTTCCACTCGTAGTTTATTTTTTTGCTTTTTACCTTTGTAGCCTAAAATTTTTGAAGAATATTCTGCTAAGAGAGTAGAAGAATCAAGGAAATTTTCACAACGTCACAAACGGAGATATGTGATTTTGCACCTGAGCCATTGATTTTCATCTATTTGATCAAGTATGTAAAAGTGGCTTTCAAGCAATAGGTCTTAATGGCGAAGTTGACAGTCCTAACCAAGTTTTTAGCTCATTTTGGAATAGACACCAAAAGTTGGTATATGTATAAGTGAATCTATTTTTTTTTACTGAATTTAAAGCACCAACTGCTGTTTTACTCTGTTCTAAAAAGTCTTTCTTTCAAAAATTTGGGTTCTTCTAAACTTATGCTGAATTTCATTTCATGAAGCTTGATGGTCCTATTTAGAACTAGTGGCTCAGTTTCCCCTACACTTACAATCGAACCTATAATTTTCTCAAGGGCCCACACCAAAAATCCAGTCTTTGAGGAAAACTGTGCCGTTTGCTGTGCGCTCAATCTTTTAAACCCGAAAAATGTATGAGTCTAATAATACCTTTGGAAATTAGGCAAAGAAAATTGAAATACGACAAATGGCACACTTTTTTCTGTGTTTCTGAAGACTTTTTTGGCGCGTAGGCCCCTTAGGAAAATTTCGGTTCAGTTCTATTTCCTTTAATTTGAAGTCTCTCAGTAAGTCACACCTCCTTATTTTTTTAAAATAAATATTTCCTTCCCCTTGTAGCCTTACTGTAGCCAAGCACAAGCATCACGAGACCCTCTTGAATCTTAGGAAACCACATAAATCTGGGTTGTTGTTCTCCGCTCTAATTAAAACTCATGTTTCAGGCACGAGAATCGTATATGAAACTAACGAAGAGTTTTGAGCCTGTTCCTGAAGTTGAGCATTTACAAACAGAAGAGTATGATCTTGGAACTCATTCTGTATGCATTACAGAATTATCGACAGATGAAATTGCTAAGCATAATAATTGGATTGGAGCGAATAGAGTAAGTATTATCTTTGATGGGTCTGTCTCACACCAGAGATACAAACTAACTAATGGACTCCTCTAAGGCATAATCCTTCAAAAATCATGTTTTTACGTATGCTTTAAGTCAGTCTTTGTCACCCATTTTCAAGTTTCCTGTGTTTGCGGGCACCCTTTTTTTTGTTATTGGCAACCAGAATAGCCCAGAGAGGGATGTGAAAAATTATCAAATGAAATACACATGTTCTGATTAAAGTGAAAAAATATAGTGCTGAATAAGCAATGAGCGGATGATCAAGGTATCACTGTAGTAGTTTTGTGATTGACCCTTCATATCATTGCATTCGTCTTTCTATCGAGTGATTGTAATGTGAAGAATTTCAATTTTCATTTGTTTCCTTTACAGCCCGTAACCATTAAGGAAGAAGAGGAAGAAGAAATGCCTACAAAGAAAGAGGACGTAGATGAAATAGAAGGAATGTCACTGAAGCCCACAATAAAAACGGAAAAAGAGTCTGAAGAAGATAAATCACAATTTCAGCCAAATAAAAATTTAAAGAAACAAATTAGTAAAAATGCTGCTGAGCTGGCCAAGAATAGTAAGATTTTTAAGTTGAAGCAACTTATGGAACGTAGTATAAACAAAAGAAGATCCAGGAGTTTGAAAAATAAGAAGAAAAAGTTCTTGAAACAACATCAAAAGGGTTATGGGAAAAAATCAAACAAGAAGAAGAAGAAAAGATAATCATATTTTTTTTTTTTTTTTTTTTTTTTCATTTTAAAGTGATTCTCGATGTGCCTCTTGTCTCTCCTCGATTTACTTAAATGCCTGTCATGCTCCAGGCATTCGCTTTTACAGGATACACATATTTTTTTTCATGAGGAAAATTTACTTTGTGCTTTGCGAGAGAAAAATGTCACATAACAAGAATGAAGTAACATTCTTTTTTTATTTTTTTCTTTTCCAATTCCCAATCAATGAGGAAACTTTGCACATACTTTGAATATCGCAGATGATTCAAATATTTTTGAATCTTACAGTTACTTGGTTAGTTGATAGAAGAATTTTGAGAGAAAAAATTCAAATGTTCAAAGAACTTAATGGATATTTTGAATTTGTAATTTCTGAATTATCTTATTTTCCATGTTCTGACATCGTAATTAATTGGCTCAATGTTTAACATGCAGAATAAAGTGAGTCATTATCCTGAATCTTTATCTTATCAAAACTTTTATTTCCTCTTCATCTCAGCTTCACTCTTGAGTCTGTTCACAATTGAATTTTGGATCGTAAAAATCCACTAAGTCAGAAACTTAAAAACACCCAAATTTCATTGAAGGTGCTTAATTTTCATGGCGCATCTATATCAACTATCTATGCCCTAAAAGTTTCCAAAATTAATTGTCCTTAGACACCAAAAAGCTTTTTTTTTCAGACCAACTTCTTCACTTACTGTGCAGTTTTTTGTCTCTTGAACATTTTCATTTCCCGAGTTAGTGTTTTCTTCCTTTCTGCTTCAATTCAGAAACAGATTTCTGTCAGCGATTGACCTCACATTTTTTAATTCTTTGAAAGAATGCAACCTATTTAAGTCATGAATCATGATTTTAATGTATTGACTAGCAGATATATCTCGTAATCAAGGTTATTGTTTTTCTCCACACACAAAACCTCCAGAATCTGGACTCAGGTTTATCCAATTAATCTAGTAACGGTACGCGGCTAAAAGATGGACCTGGAGAATACGGTGTTTAACATTATCAGCGATAAGTTAGGTGTGTAGATAGTGAAGTGTTCTTGTCTCCATCCATTATTCAGATTATTTGGTAATCCGTATCGCTTTGGTGTCAATTTATCAATCCTGATTATCAGTAATTTGGTCCACTTACAAAGTGAGCAAAGTATCTGAACAGAGTTTGTGACATAAGGATACAACTCCGATAAAGGAAAAAAGCTTGAGATGTCTTTATTATGTAGTGTGTTTTCATCTTTTGAAATCTCATTTGACAAGGTTTCCCTCTACTGACCATGGTTCTCTTTGTTTACACCCTGGTTATTGAACTTAGCTGATTATACTATTGCAATCAAAATATTGAGGAAGATAGCACAGAAAAGTTTATCAAACAGTCAACCGTTGAAAGCCGTACTTGAGGCTTCAGCAAAAAAAAGCATAATAGAAAAATTTTGACTGAAGGCGGGTAAAAATAATTTCGTTAGTGTGATTAAAAAATTAAAGACAAGTAAATCTTTGAAAAGGCACCTGGTTGCAGGTTCATACATTTATTTTAAATAAATACTGTTGTGGAGAAAGTAAAACCACGTCAAGATTTCTAGTGCAATGTAATGTAAGAGAAAAATATACAGGGTAGATCGTTAAATTGATATCAAGGCACTGTGAATATGTACAATAAATTTTTTTTCTTGACAAATTTCCCAAAGCCAGATAACAAGTCCAAAATTTACGATGATTTACTAACAAATAAACATGAGTCACTGTCTATATAATATAGGTCTTCAAATAAGTGGTAAAGAAAGGCGGGATCATTATAATAGATATTTAAACAGTGTTGAAATAACATCTATTGCTATGCAAAGTCACATTGGATAAGCATAAGTATAATACTACAGAAGGACTTCTTCACTGCACTTGCACCGCTGAGTGCATGGAGTCAAAATAGAACAGAGCGGCGTCACTTTTACACAAGAACAATCCACACAGGCCAGGCACTGCGCAACTCTTAGACATCCAATCCTCTGCCCAATGGTGGGCAATATGATGCAGAATTGTCTCAACTCAAAATATCCCATAATAAATGCATTGCATTAAACTACCTAAAGTCATGGTGCACTTTGCAGTAAGATCTCAAAACTCGACCACGGGAATGTACGACCTGTGTAGATTAGTCTTGATTTTAAATCTCTTTAACCCAAGATTTCTAAGCGAAGTAAAGTCACCTTTCCAATGTAATAAAGAAACTATAGGGAAAACTGATGACTGATGATAATTACTTTCCACAGTTTATAACACAGCAATTATTTTGTATCGAAAGTGATTTACAAGGACATTGCATACAAGGGGTTCGCACTCAGTCAATCAGTCAAGTTATGACAGCTGCTTCTCATTTCTATTACGATGTCGTACTCTATGGTAGAGCTATACCAAATGGTGTCATGCAACTGTATCGCAATCTGTCTAAAGTTATCTCCCATAAAAAGAGAGGGGGACAGAACCTTGATGAGCAGAAGTAATAAACTGGATGCAACGTCTAAGTTATAGCAATTGTCTCAAATTGTCAGCAAACATTTGTAAGAAGGGGCTGTTTTTTCTGCCAATCGCTTAAATTACACTAAGTAGTTTCGCAGACAATTAAAACAAATCTTTGAGGATCTAGAGTGAATATTTGACAAAAGGGGGGAAAAGGACAAAGGGGTGCTACTACACTGCATTCCATAGCATTTATAGATACATGATATACATATAAAACATTTGAAAACAGTTAGATATTATGCTCCCTCCTCACAGGAATTTGAGTGAACCTTCCGTTGTGAGGATAACTTTAAGAGGCTTTGTAGGACTATACAATTTCCTTTCCTGGCATTGAAGAAAAATAAATATACGAGAGTGGGAGAAGAATTTAAGTAAAAAAATGCTTAAGTAACTGTAAAACTAAAAATAAATTGTACAACTCAAGTATTGCAAGTGAAAAAGAAATGGAAAGTGAAGGGAGATTATAAAAATATGATATATTTATAAAGGCAAAATGCTTAACTGATTTCAATGCAACAAATAATGTTGATATTTTTAAAAAGTCCTTGAGAACTCTCTGAAAATATAGCGCGAGTGGGGTCTTTCACTGGATATGGAGACCCACTTAAAGAAACAATAAATTTTCATCCTGACAGCTCAGCTTGGTAGTTAAACAAGAAATAACAGATGAATATCACTGTTACGAAGTAAGCATACCATGAGGAACATGAATTGTTAGTTCCCCTAGTGCTTCCACAATCTGATGAGATTGAGCGCAAGTCCAAGGATCATGAAAATAACTAAAGCAAAGAAAAATTAAAGAGTTGAAAGATTACATCTTTCATTTTAAAGTTTTGCTTTATTACAGGATTTTGTTTGAAATTTTGGAGCAATGGCACAGACAAGAATCATGATATATTTTTAGAAAATCTAAGTACCTATTAGGAGTATCTTTCTCTCAGTTCATTTAAATAAAATCTTACTCATATTAATAAACCTGAAAATTTATACATTACTCTTACAAAAATGGCACGCAATTAATTAAATGAAATCTGGAGGAAAATATTGATTGTGAACTGTACATTTTGATGAAAATTAAACACAAGCAGTATGTACACTATTTTTAACTGAAAATAAATACAGGAATCTTTCATTTGAATATTTTTGAAAGATAATACACTTAAAAGATAAAAAAAGATTAATAGAAAACAAAATAAAGGTATTCAAAGGGGAAAAAATAAAATGCCACAACAAGGTTCTCAAAAAAAGATAAAAATTTAACAAAAACTTACAACTAATTTGAAGTATTGATAAAAGAGCTTATGGTTCATCACACTTCTACAGGATGGGGGAAAAATTAAAAGCTGGAGGAGTAGCACTTCGTCAACATGAACTGACTTATCCTTTGGTCAATGTGATTCAGCAAAACAATTCATCTAACTAATTTTGACTAAATTGGGTAAAAATCATGGATGAATTATTCATTGACTGTCCAAAAGATCAACCGCAGGTCGTCAAGGCACTTCTGCAGAAGTTTGCTGTGGAGACAAAGTGCACGGGAATGAGACATTCAATCCTACTTGCCTGTTTGTGAGGACGCCAATCCTCAACGTTTTAATATTCACTGTCAGTTTCCAGAAACCCTTCATAAAGGTGATTCTGAGTGATCTAGGAACGTGATCTGCCACTATGTTGCACGGTTTCTAAGTCTGTGTCTTTGAGAAGCAATAATTATCATAATGAGTGCAAGAAACTAACGTGTAGCAGCATTAATACTATGAATAATGACATCAAATTTGTGAGGATTCATTAATTTGTATTGAAAACTATTAAAACGAACGTTGCTAATTAACACAGTGTGTATGAGAGAGATAGTGTTATAGTATCTCTCTTTCACACATTGAGTCAATGAGCGACGTCCGTTAAAAAAGTTTCCAATACAAATTTTTTAAGAACTCTCACAAATACAGTGTTATTGTTCTCAATTTTGACACTGCTACACGTTATGGATCAGTTTTTAGCATTAGCTTGTACATTATGATAATTATTGTTGCTCAAAGACACAGTCCGTGTAGCAATGCAACGTTGTGGCGGACCTCATCCCAAGTTCACATGGTATAACCTCAACTGCTACACGGAAAAACTCTGGCCACAATGTAGTTGGAAAAGTTACAGGATGATTTTCTCGTTGGAGGTAGATTTTGAATACCTACAGATAAGAATATGAGAAGCTTGAGATTGGATTAATGAAAAAATGCATTTTATAAATATCAACAAACGGATAAAAAATTCTCCTCGTGCAAGATTATTTATTACAGTCCTATCCATCATTTTTACTTGTGGATGCACATGGTGAGAGGTGCACCTCTTTTTCCAATTTCATTACATAAAATACAGCAAAAAGGTATAATAAATATTTTTGATTTGGCTCTTAACTTCTAAACTTAGGATTTTGAAAGTTGGAGGACCAGTCACAAACATTCTGAAATTTTATATAAATCTAAGTAGAATCAGTGGGTCAATTGTTGAAACTATTTCTTGCCATAACCACAAGATAAAACAAGACAGTCCTATTCGTGCCATGTAAGTTATGAATTATTGATGTTTTGTCTCGCTAACATACGTTTCAAAAATCAGCCCGCTAAAGCCATGTTTAGATTTCAGACGTACTAAATAGTCAAATGTACACGATATGTCCAACCAACCTTTTTCTCATAGGATTCTTTGGATACGGATCATTCAATTTCAATTTGTACCTGAATCTTTGTAGCCTGATTGAAAGTCAAACAAAAATGACAGAGTAACCAAGAGACCTCTTTACTCTGAATTACAACCCAACAAACAACTAATATTCCAGACACACCACTCCTTCCTGATAAAAGAGAGACAAAATCCCAAAATTGTCTGCTCATGGTAGGCATAGATTACAAGCCTTGATACTTCCAAGTAAAAAAATTGCAGAATGTTAGTTGCAATATTCTACTTGCCATATTTATAAATGCCTCCAAGAGTTAATGATCACTTTTCTTGAGAAGGAGCGACATTTCAGTTGAACTTCTTGCTCAGCAATTGATGCTGTCGTATACTCAGTTCACCATGCCATGTTGTCTTTTTGGGAGAAAAATAACCAGCTTGAATGTTAGAATTATATGAGCTCCAACTATCAAATGGAAAATGCACACTTTCCACAGGGTTCTTGCCGAGGTTTCATGACAGCTTTCCAAAATGAAATTCGGAGCATTATTAGAATTTTTCGAGAACTTCCCAAAAATTGTTCAATGACTCCAAGGACTTTTTCTACCTATACTTTCATCCTTTATTATCTTTTTGTTTATTTAAAGTAGCAAACATATGATGCATTGATAACCAGATTTTAATCATANGGGGGGGGGGGGGAGAAAAGAGTCTTCCAAGTCATAAACAAAGCACCAGATGCCGTAAACTTTATGGCCTTTAAGGCACATTTGTGAAAGTTAATCCCAGGTCATGGATATCCAAGAGCGTGGAAATTAAGTGCATTTGAGGTCTTTGAAGCCAATTTAAGCCTTAGTTCCACAAAGAACACGGTCTGCACTGCCACCAATAAAAGAGGTATCTCTTTTATTGGTGGCAATGCAGACCGTATTCCTACTCCATATACTGCTACTCGCTTCTTTTATCAGGCTGGATAAATACAGCTTAGTTCTGGTGACAATTCCCTTGTTAAGACCTGCATTCATTTCTACAAACAAGGGTACACTTGAATGAGAAAGTAGCAACGCAGGCTTGATCAAACTGAACATTCAGAAAAATCAAAAGGTTCTGGCAAGTTTCAGTACACAGAAAGTGGTAGAGTAGAAGTTGAAGGTGAAGACCTAGCAACTGCCTATACTATTCAAACGATTTTATATGGATGAGGAGCAAATTCCCCATGGAAAGTCTGCCCTGTCCTTTTTAATGAGGAGCATTTGAAAAATAGATCCTGACGAAAAATTCTTACAATAAAAGAGCTTACAAAGAGATCAAAAATATAAGTTTCTTAAACTAGATGATTAAAAAAGGTTTAAAAATAAGGACTAAGATGACTTAAGCTGTTCTTACGACATGAACAAGAAAGGATATTTACTTTCCACATAGCTCATAGAGAACTGGGGTGTTTTCCTTTGTTTACCACTATGAGCTTCTCTTTACACCATTGAGACAATGTATTGATTGGTGAGCAGAAAGTAAGATAAAAAATAAATCGACTTGAACCAGAAAAAGAACGAAACAAAATTAGAGCTTGTTTCAGATAACTTGTCATTTTTCGCTGAATGTGCAGGATAAGAAATTCCGTGATCTGGGCATACGACAAAAAAGGACAAGTTATCTGAATCAGGCTATAATACATATTTTATAAAAACAGTTTTTGTTGATTTGGGAGGGCTTATAAAAGAAACTGCCTTTAAATATAGTCGCAAATTTAGGCTTACATCTTAATTAATGCTTGAATTTTCCGGAAATTTCTTCCGGTAAGAACTGTATTTTCAAGAGGGAGGATTAAAAATAGAAAGGGTGAAATTATGAAAGGAATTTTTTGATCTGAAAAAAGTAGGAGACAACAACAACATTAGGAGTCTCGGAGAAAATATTTCATGGTGAGTATTCATGTTGTACCAATATAATTGGCTTTTTAAATTTTAAAACTGAAAATTTAGGGCCTAAACTGAAGAGACTCAACGGAAGCAATAAGTTGACCAGTTTTTATCAGCAAGACCGTTTATTTTTAGTGCAACCACTTGCAGATCATAAGCAACGCACAAATTCTAAAGTAAAAGTACCACCTCTCAGCTTGGAAAAATAAGCGCAGAGAACAGCTAAGTCATCAAAAAGTTAGAAACCTCACCAGTTTTAAGCAACGACTCAGGTACAAAATCCTAAATACAGATTTAAGTATGGACAAAATGAGAATCATCAATGAACACAGTTGGTGCGATTTCGTCACCATTACATGAACTAATATTCAAACGATTCCAGATATGCAGGATGATATTACCAAAAAAACAGGCAGGAACATTAGACCGGGACGCCATGGACACGGAAACGATACAAACAAGTGTATTCTAGGTTACCCCAATTTGATTCGATTCGTAACTCCACAATGTTGAACGGCCTATCTTGAGGCTGGAAAAAGACGAAAGTACATGAGTTTTTGTTACAAGGACTGTTTCTGTGACAAAAAAAATATTCATCATGAAGTTGAGAGAAAATATTCTTTTCTTACCATTTGGGCACCTCAAATTGACTAAGATGGAGGTGTTGCTTCTTTTGAAGAAAGTTAGCATTTGACCACTTTTATTTTTCTTTCATTCATGCTATTCAGTTCAAGTGTATGTACTTTTATTGGTACTTTGTGGAAATTTATCAGTAAAGAACAGATTTGCGTTCTTTATGATATACCTGTATTTTTTTTTTGTGTAATTCCTTTAATTTCTAATGAAAATGAACAGTTTAAAAGGCAAAGGGTCCTAGTTTTAGGCAATCACGAATTTATCATCAGAATTTCCCAAACTCTCAGCAAAAGAAACGTCAGAAAAATCAAATGGCATACCTTAGCTGAGAAGTACTGTAAACTGGTTCCATTTTCTTCATAGCGAAACTTCCCAAGGAAATACGTTTCTTTATCTTGCTCATCTTTCAGTCCCTAAAAAAATACACGATTATAAATTAGGATCATTTTCAATACTCTAACTAGATAAATAAAATATTGAAATAAAAGTAATTTAGGTGATTTGGTGGCTAATAAAAGGAGCGAGTGTTAGTGGCTACAGATAAAAGCCTGCAAAATAAGGCTTTAAAAAAAAGCTTTCTTGGAGCTTTAGGCGTTGCTCGGTTTGATCTATCAAAAAAAAAGTTACAATGATAAATTAATACATTCTGTGAAGGTGAAGCAGGTTTGAAACACACTTTACTCCTGAGACATTGGCAACTGTCACTGATGATAGTTTTTCAGCACAACTGAGACACTTCTGTTGACAGAAAGCCAGCGCGCAAGTGAGTTATACTTTCATGTTTTACAAACTGATTGCAGTAGTTGCACTCATATGACAGTATGTTGGAGTTTTTTGCCAACAAGCGTTAAAAATTCAGCATAAAGCTGAAAATCTCAATACAGAGGGAAAAAGCTCATTCGAGCACAAATTTTCTCTCCAAGAGATATGCTGTTTGGAGCAACACTAGTTACGTTCATGCAGGAAGGCAACTGTAGACGCGTTTCGGCCTTGTTGGGTCATCCTCAGTGCAGTGCAGCCTCCTGAATTTTCTGCTACCAAGGTCAAGAGGTCGTGAAAACTAGCCCGAGACTTGGGAAAGCGGACGCTGGCGGCAAGTACACTTGCGCCGTCTAGAGAGCAATTATCCAAACAGCTCCGCATGAGCCTTGGCAAGGCAGTTTTTACGGATTTTTAGGAGATTTTCAGCTTTATGCTGAATTTTTAACGCACGTTGGCAAAAAACTCCAACATACTTTAATTTTTTACTTTAAGATGAAATAGAGAAAATACACACCCAAACGGAGAAATCTTTGGGAGCTGAGTCAATGCTTCCGTTTCGGGACAGGGATTTTGGTATGTGTTCAACACTAAAAGTGTGAATCTTAATTGTAGCAGATAGCTGAATAACCAGATATCCAGTGGAACCAACAAATGACCAACATTCACCTGGCTGCATCCCCGGCTGGAAAAAACAACACCTTGAGAGTGAGAAACAGCGATTTTTTCGAATAAAAATAGTAGTACAAGGAGTGATCAAAGAAATAATAGCATCATTTTATATATTCCATGTAAATTGAAATTGAGGGATTCATAATTTGTCCGGATTATAATAAGGTACATGCAAGATAAGGCAGTCAAGTCTTGCTTGGACCTAACACAGAGACAGTGTAAAATTCATTTGGATATTTTGAAATTCAGCACATTCATTCAATGGCTTTCTAAAAACATTTTAATCTCCAAAAGAGCAGATAGGACTGCAGGAAAACATGGTGTCTAAAACGCTCTTTGAGAAAAATTTCAGGACTCTCATCCCACCACTGGTAAAATTATAAATCCCTTCCAAAAGATGTTTTTTCGTTATTTTTACGGGTTTCTTAGATGCTGTCATCTGAATGCTTGATAAGATACTCACAAAATGATTGTACTGGTACATTCTGCTCCCACCTTCCATTATTATGACACACAAACGGAGTTACTTGTTGAAAACGACAATCAATAAAATAGCTTCAATCAACTCGATTAAAACAAAAAATTACAGAATATTTGCATAGTCCCTGTACTTTTTCAGCACTTTGGACTTGCTTTGATACTTGAACAATTTTTTCACCCTTTCCAGATCTAAAGATTCAACAGGAAATATACATTGAAATGCTTTCACTGCAAGAGGGCTAAGCACATACCTGAATAGCTTTCCTCGGATTATTGGAAGTCCACCAGACAGGAATGCCATAGAAGTACCAAACAGCTGGTGTTGATGTGGAGGATTCTGTGCACTTGATATTGAGAACAGTTCCACCTGAGGATTCTAATGCAAAATCAGCCATCCCTGTTTTATCCGCATCATAAAGTGATAAGACATGTTCAATGGTCCGATTTATGTACTGCTGCAAAGAGTTTGTGTCGAAAGAGTTGGAGTGAAGTGAATCCGTGGCCCCCTGTACTGACACGATATTATTGACACGTTTTGATAGCTCATCACTCATTCTTTCTGTAACAGCTGCCATAATAACATCCATCGATGCTTCAGAGGCTGCAGAAAGAAAAATATGTCATAAAATCGTATAAAAGAATGGAGGCTTAAGTACCTAGATAAGTTTAGCCAGAGAACAATTAAACCATCTCAATACTGAGTTAAATTTGTAACACACCCCCCTCCCCCCCCCCCCCCCCCCCATTGAACCAGATTAGAGAAAGAGATAGCGATAAACGGGAGTATTCCAAAAAGTAAGCTACAAGCATTTTTCTTCATATATGCACCTGTAGCAGGTATAAAGTTGTATTGTAATCAGAAAATCTTGAGTCTTAGACACAGTAAACTAGAGCTCTAAATAGCTTTCACTGAGACCATGTTTTTTGGAATGCAAGTTTTATGTCATAAGATAGGCTTTGTTTGACACTTTTGGGCATACTAAGGAGAGACCTGCAATTCAAAAGAGAAATAAAACAATCACTTCAATAAAGAAAACAATTATTTTTTCGCAATTTTATTTTCCTAATGTCTAATGTTTAAATGTTTCTGCAATACCTTCTCTTATGCGGTGGTCCAGATGGTACGTAAGGTTGGAAAGTTTGTTTTCAAGTTTGTCTCTTGCAACATAAATGGCATCAAGATGAGATCGAATGTCATTTTGACTGAGAGGCTCAGAGGTACTTAGGAGTTTGCTCAAATAATTAACAACATGCTTCTCAACAGTTCGTGCAGAGATTGGAGGCTCCCGTCTCGAGCAACAGCGCCTGAATCTGAGAGCTTGCCACTTGAGTTGGTTCTGCAATAAAATAATTCAACATCAAGCATTACTAATGAATTTTTTTACTCCCTTTCTCAGCATTTGTGGGAAATTTCGTTTCTTTGCATTGCATCATAAAAGCTGTACAACTACAAAAAATCAAAGAGAGTAGAAGAGAAAGCAGAGACTAAATAAAACATTAAAATTAACTTCCTCTTATTTAACTTCGATTAGTGCTATGATGATTTTATTAACAGTGGTTGAAGTATTAGTGGCCACCAAAACTTACAAGTGTAACAGGCCTGAAAAAAAAGCTTTGGCCATCTCGATGATTGATCAAAACAATCAGCCAGGGTTACAGGTTACTGGAATTTTTTTTAAGCACACAAGTTCCTGGTCAACTGGGAGGAGATCTTCCCATAAGTAGAGGATCTTTGTGGATTGCATACATTGGGTCACTAAACCTTAAGCAAATTTTGACGTTCGAGTATACTTTTTCTACGGTAACTGACGAGTAAAACAAGATTCACAAACTAAAAATGCGAAAAAGTAGTTCTGAAACGGAAAAATATGCATGGTAAATAACTTAATCATAAACTTAAAACACTCTGGTTTCACGCCAGACCAGGTAATGTCCTTTGGCACTAATCAGAAACAAGCTCTGATTTACACAAGTTTAGTCAAGTGTCTTTTTACTCTTCATGTGTGAAAATAATGGGGAGGTCAAAACTATATCCAGTATCAAATTAAATTGAATCTTGTTAATGATATCAGTGGTAAACAAACCACTGTCTCATCAAGCAGTGCGTTTTATTTCAGCAAGCATCAGTACGGAATGAAAGTAGATAGCGATCTGACTACCGTTGTTTTTCACTTCCATTATTTTTCTTTCATTTGGGTACGTTTAAAATTCATGTTTAAGAGTTTTTGGACCTTTCAGAAACGGTTTTCTCTAAAATTTTGGCTCCAAATTTTTCATTAAATCACCATACACTCTACAAACTTAATACATTGAGAATATCAAATAAAAAACAGAGGGTTTAGTGACCCATCAAAGAGTATCATTCTATAATAATACCATACATAGAAGGGATTTCAAAAAAAGAAATGGAAATCTAAACATAATAACTTGTATAGTTACCAACTTGTGTCTATTTAAACATACCTGGATTTCATTGATTTTCTGTTGAAGGTCATCATAAACAGCTGAACGAGCAACATTTTCAGCTGCCTCTCGATCTTTCAATTCTTGTTCTAATTTATTCAACTCTTCTCTCAATTCTACGTTCTGGAAAATTATTATTGAGATGAAAATAATATTATGAATAAATAGAAATAAAAAGAAAATAGTTTGACAAAGAAATAATTAATCGACAATAACACAGAAAAAAGGTCAGATTAGGTTTTTTCTTAATCAGAGGAGCAAATAAACCATTCAGAATGCGACTAATAGTGACATTTTGGAGCTGAAGGTTTCATAGGTTGTTTGTGATGGCAATACGCAATTCGAGAGCAAAACTGGACGTTTTGCTAACTATTGGAGCTGAGATAGGGGGTAAGACTGAGATGAAAATGGCTCCTCTTCTAAATTATTGGCAGGTTTTAAGCTTAATCCAAACAGTTTCACACAAAGATAAGGATATTTCAACTGCTTAGGATTTTTTTTCTAGAGAATATCATGGAAAATATACTCTGATGGTACAGCTTTTACTATTGTGTGGTAAAGCAAGCAACAAGTCAAAACACAGAGGCAACAATGAATTACATAGTTACTTTTGTTGCTGAAACCACGATTCAGTTGCAAGTTTAACTGAGAATAACGAGCAAATAAAAGTAACGTGAGCAAGTAACGTAATCAAATTGAATATAGAGAAGAAAATATATTTTAACAATACTTTCGGTCAAGCAATGACGCCTAGTAATTTAAACATTAAAACTCCAGGTTCCCCTTTAAAATTATTCACAAATGGGACTCCCTAGAAAAGCACCATCTTCAGCAAAACTAGCTGCAATCGTTTAGGAGTTGATTCACCTATCTGCCAACTTATCTGCTAAGAGTAAGTAAGTCAAAATGATGCGGCAAAAACACTAGATCATAAGAATGCGTTTTGAAACTTGCTGCTTCTCTTGCAGGTAGGTGGAATTCCTCATCCAGTCAAACCGTACTCAGTTTTAAAAATTTCACCACAAGCTCACAAAGAGATGCTGGAAAAGAGATGGAGTGCATACCTTCTGTTGAATGCTCTGTTGGAGGCTCTCCTTATTTTTGTTTTCTCGATCGTCAAGCTCTTCTGATAAAAATTGCTTAAAGCTCTCCGTGATGACGTCAGGGTCTGCAGACTTATACTTCTGATTTTTCTCGAGGAGGTGGGATTGTTCTGATAACCAGTCATTGAGAGTTTTTTGCATTTCGCTGCTCTTTAAAATATTCTCAGCAAGAATTTTATAGTCTATGTCAGGACTTTGTCCACGTGACTGATAATGGGCAGGAGGCGGCCTTGATGTAACAACTACGGAAGCTAAACCTTCACTGAGCTGAAAAGAAGCAATAATACCCCGGATTATTTTATACATTTCAAATTTCAATTTTTGGTGCAATAAACATGTTCCAAAACAGGATGTTAAACAATAGGCACTTGATGTCATTCATAAGAGGAATGTTGAATTCATGAACTGATACTCTGAATTTTTTAAAATACATTTTCCTCGTAATTCATTTTTCTACATTCTTAGAGCAGATACATGGTAACTTAAGGATTTAGAGCTAGATTCTTTAAAATGGTGCATCACTAAGATGTACGTGGGCTTCTTTTGGTCTTAGACCATTATTGCAAACCAGAATGATCATGTAGTTGTGAAGGTGAAACTACAAAATTACACTACTTGGTTCGCAATGTTGTACATTTCCTGCTATGTTACATTCTACTTTTTGAAGAATGACCAGATATCGTTACAACGCAAAACTTATTGTCCTTCCAAATGCATTCTCTGAAAATTTTGAACAAAAATGTCTGGTTTTATTCAAATAACACATTGACTACAGTAGTGCGCTTTATAAATTGCAACGAGTTGAGTAATGCAAAACTTGCAAGTACCTATAACAGATATCGCTCTGAGGCAGCAGGAGCGTCATCTCTTGGACACAGATGTAACGCAAGGTTAGGATATACAATGATAGGAAGCTCTCTCCACTCGGCAGAAATTTTTTAAGAATGGCTTCTGTAAAAGTAGGACTGGCGTGGCAATTAACGTGTTAAGACAAGAGAGAGGGAAAAAATTTGAAAACATAACATTTGAAAAATGTGTTTTTATGGTTTCTCCATCACTGCTGAAATGTCAAAGGCACTTGAGCAGTTTTGTGAGAAAATGCTCACCTTTGAGGTTGCAAAAACAAAAGGCACTGTTACATAGCTAAACACAGTGAATACACTGGTTTGAACTAAGTAAATAATGTAAGAGACTGTTGATAGAATGAGTGTTGCAGCACTGGAGACACCTCCGACAAAAAATTCCAAGATGCTAGCAAAAGGCCTTAAGAGGAGAAAAATATTTAGGTCACCGGTCCAAGATGATAACAGGTCTGAAGCTGACGTCACTGAAACAAACGCAGAAAAGAAAATTATTACTGAAGGAAATATTCTACCCAAGAGTATAAAATGCTAATTGATAAAGCATCAGTTAGTTTCCTCTTTTCTTCAAAAGACTGCTAAACCATTCCCCATGAGCTAACAAAGAATGTTGTATGAACATTTGAGAGTTGCCAAATTTCCCCTGATAAAACATTTATTTTTAAGAAAAGTAAAGAAAGATTGCCAGAGAATTTAGAAAATAAAAGTTCCTGATTCACTTTGGTAAAACTCTCTGACAACTGAGAGAATATGCCCCATGGTTAAAAAGACATGATTTGAATAGTTTCCGGGCAAAATTTGTTGATCGAAACGTCAACCCCATACCAGAAAGCAGATAAAGACAACTTAAATTTTTCCCGGACTTTTAAGAATTCCCTGACATTTTCCTGAGGAATTAGAAAAAAAAAAAAGAAAAAAAAACGGTCACAATTTTCCCGATAAATTTGTCTTTAATTGAGGGAAATATGGCAACGTCTGAAGGCTCATTAAGCATTCTTCCTTAGTATAGCGGTGTGGTACTTTAAACCTCATCGTTAAGAGCAGGTAGTATACGGTACCGGTGTTGGTACTTCCTGGTTTTCTAGACCACCCAAAACCCAGGTTGGCCTTACAGCTTCGTTTACAAGCTGTTGCCGAACAACACATCCCATTCTTTGAGCATCTGAGATTATAATGAACTTATCGGCGAGAATTGATGTCAAATGAATTCGAAAGTGGAAATGCGGCATTGACAAATACCTGATTTTGATAGTATTTGAAGTGGACTGCTGGATAAAAAATTTTCCAAATATGATCCACATGAGCTATATAGCTCCGGCCACCAGTAAAACACTGTAAAACAAAAACAAACTATTATTATTTTGCAAATTTTCCAATTATTAGTACCATTTGCGTTTAAATTTTTTTTTTTTTGCATGTTGATTCATTTACTTTTTGCCGAACTGTTTGTATGAAACTTCACAAAAAAGAATGGTCAACGAAATGGATTAAAAATTCAATTGCCTTTATTGTTGTTATCATCTGCATATTTGTAAACTAAGGCTAATAGTTTTTGTATGATCGAACATACAAATAAATGAATGATATTCATTTATTAAAACAGTAGTGCTCCTTCCTCAACACTTGTTGGTGCTTGCTGATTTTTACTGAGTGGCAATGCAAAATTGTCATTACTATGTCATTATCACAAAGAAAAAAAAAGACTAAGGTTCTGGTCGACGCTGGTATTGTTATTTACCCAGTGAGCAAAGTAAGGTACTTATATGTTCCAGACGGGACACATGGGGACTTGTGCAATAATGTCCACCATTCATATTCTATCCTTTTTGAATGGAAGCTTCCCTATTTATAATACATGGGAATTTAAAAAAATATACTCACAAAACAGTAAAATCAGGGGAAGGCACAGAGTGAAAACAGCCAAAGGTTTCAGATGGTGTCCGAAACTGGAGAAAATAGGCCTGAACACTTGTTGAACACTACTACGAGCGGCTGATATTAACACAACGTCCAATCGTTGGAAGAAGAATAAGCTACGATACAGAAATCGAGTGAACCCATAGTACCACCTTCGACTAATAGCTGGATCTGGGTATAGATGGCCTGGAAACAGATGAGAACAGAGAAACAAAATAATTAAAGTAGAAAAAGACATTGAAAACAAAGGACCGCTGGATGGAATAAGGTTTAAAGCACCACGAGACAAGTCTGATCATTAAAACTCCATGCAGAGCACATTAAATGGACTTCATTTTTCAATTAAGAACTACAATTTCAGGCTTAATTGTAAAAACACGTATGTACAAAGGGAAACTAATGGTGCAGACGTTGTTTCTAAACTGAGCAAGAAATTTTGGTTCCAAATTGAAAAATGTGGTAAAAATGTATTGGGAAGTTGCAAGATCAACCTCATCATTCCTGGAGGCCAATCAGAATTGCTAGCTATTATTTGCATTAAAGGATTGATTCTATTTGATTCTCATTATCCTAAAATCTATTAATTTGGGTGTAATCATGCAAGATTTAAAAAAATCAAACCTCACCTATCCAAATAAACTGTCATTATCCTAAATAAGCATATCGAAAATGAACAAACAGCTATGTAAAACATGAAAATATAGTGAGGATTTCACTTACTTGTGTTTGGAGATGTCCATGTTGGAGCGACACTATTCTTTGAACTGAAGAAGATTCGTCCTAGTGTGCAGCTGTAGGCAAAGGTGAAAATAGAGAAAAAAACCTGAAACCAGTTTCTGCTGAGATTTGATCTCCTTAAACTCCTGTTTTGACTATATGAGGAGTGTGAATACGATGATTTTTCTCGGAGTTCATTCAAATAGTTAACTTGCGATTCTGAAAGAATTAAAATAATGAAAAATAAGTCCTATGAAAGAGAAAATATGAAAATAATTCGAAGATGCTTTTTTGACTACAAAATGAATGATAAAAGCAATTATTATTGTTGAATTTTTGACATTCTTACATTCTGCGAACTATAGGTATGTTTGATTTTTTGCAGATTTATTACCAATAAATATTCTAGATTTGAGGATTTTCAAATGAGTTAATGAACAAGAGATGAGGGACTGGCGGCAGCCAGAGGGGCTTTGGGAGGATAGGGGTCTGTGGCAGTTCGGTGTTGCAGAGCGCCAGAGAGCGCACTGTAAAAGTGGCTTTCATGTATGTATCAAAAAAATAAAATTAGATACTCACCAGCATCCAATGGAAACAAGCATCTTGCTGTTGCTTCATAGGATTTGTCAGAGGTATCTAGGCGAGATCTCGGTAGGTACTCAAGGTTGTGTGATCTGATCGGACTCCTGGACATATTAGGTTTCAACGGAATACCAGGAGCTACTTCCTTCCCGTAATTTTCAGATGTCGGTGAGTATACGTAGTCTGTCTTTGGAAACTCACTGTGAACATACATAATTAATTATAATTGTCGCCTCCACTGAAGAGAGTAAATCACAACAAAGCAATGTTAGGTAAATGGTGCGGTCACAAGCCTCTGCTAATCTGAGCATCATAAACATCAAGAATCTGCAAATCAGAACAGATGAAGTAACACCAACCAAAAAGATGTAGAATACACCCTTCCACATGCGGAAAGGCCCCAAAAATTAAGAGGGAGGGAAAATTCTTAAGGGTAACATGTTGAAGAAAAAAAGAACACCGAGGAGAAAGGTCATCAATTTTGTAATTAATGGGAAATTTTGCTGGGCGCTAAGAGAAAAATGTGGAATTTGTACCTCTTATGAACCATTTTACTTAAAATGTACGTAAGCAAAAGTGAGACAGAAGTGGTTTGGTGGATGATGCAGATTGGGCCGATTAAAGAAGAAATCATACTTCCTACAGGAAAGGAGGGGGAAAAATTAAAAAAGTAAAAAAAAAAAAAAAAATTTAAAAAAAATTAAACTTTTTTTACAAAATAAAATAAAATAGAAAATAAATGAGGATTACAATTATGATGGAGTCAACGGGTTCTTGTAATAATTCAAAGCATTCTTCATGTTAGAAAT